ACAGGACTCATTCTGGAAGGTACTGAAACTGACAAGAATAAATATGCTGAGATTGTCTGATGTGAGTGAGATTAAGTGCAAAGACCTTGATGAACATATATTTTATTGAGCATAGAACTATTTTAATTTAAGAAAATCAGTCATGACCGACTTTCCCTGCGCAGCAGCCATGTCTCTGCACGCTGCTTGCTCAGATTCATCTTCAGAAGCTCTCATTTACATCCTGCTTGTCAGTGAGAGTCACAGAACAGCCATTCAGCAAATTCATCTGCGTCTGCAGTGGCTATTAGCGTGACAGAGCACACAGAGTTAATGATGGTATGAAACATGTCTGTGGCTGCCCAGCTGTGACTGTATACATATGTGACAAATGAACTCACCTTTCCTTCCCTAATTTTATAAAAAGATCATGTCACGGTCTATCATTTGACTCCTTTGATGTGGGAACAAAACATTTGTCATGTCTGCACTTGTTATTTTTTTCCGTGTAGGAGAACATTTGTGCACAGAGATCACCTTGAAGCCGACAGAACAGCAGCATCACGTCCTGCCAAAGTGTCATTTATGGAAATGTAACTGAGACTGAAAGGACATGTTCACCTTGTTCAATCCCCCAGAAACAGAAGCTAAGATTGCTTTGTTTTCTAGATTCAGAAGTTTCAGATTTATTTTTAATTGGCCGCCACCCGAAAAACAATAATCCAGCAATAAAGTTTCTACCTGTGTGATTTTATCTGTTCACAAATATCTCATGAACGACTGGACGGATTATAATCAAATTCTCAGAAAGCGCCATCAGCTGATTAACATTTGTAATCAAACCCATTCAAGATGGCTTCCAAAGCTAATAAAAAAATTTTAAATGGCTGAAATTTTATCGATTTTACATGCAGGTGAAGGTTCTCAGTCATCCACGTGATGGTTATCCAAAGGGCTCAAATGAAGGCAACCTGACTTCTTTGGCTTCTTGAAGACGTTTTGCTTCTCATCCAAGGAGCTTTGTCAATTCTGACTGGAATAGGAGAGAGTCAAGCTTGTAAACTGTAGCTGTCTATTTGAAACAACCTATGAATACCCCCCCCCCCCCCCACACACACACACATACACACAAGGAGTCATTGATGTCGTTATGTCCTATTGTGTTAGAAAGTGTATGTGACGTAGACTGAATCCGTTTTGGAATTAAGTTCCCAGCAAACATTGGTTTGATGACAATGTCGTATTCCTGGCCAAAAATGATCGGGGTAGGATGGCTTAAATTGGTAAAACATATGTAACAGAACATTTCCTAAAAATCCATTCCAATACATTTGTACATGTCTACAGTTATCTGGGGTTACAACTTTAATTTTAAAACTATTTAAAAACTGTTCATCTTATAAAATGGTTTGTATTTTAAATGCGTCCCATCATGGTTGAAATTTCAACATCCACGTATTGGACTGACGTTTCAACATTCATCAAACATCATCAAATGCCCAAATATTTGCTGGGTTTTGAATTATGCCAATTTTACTAAAATACAAATTTTCTGTAAAAATTTCATTTTTTATCATTGCATCAAAAGTCAGAGGAGTTATCGTGCTGCTGCGCCCTGAGTGAGTCAAGTTCTCTCCCATTGGTCAACATCATCATAAAAAGTGTATTTTTCGATTTTCAAAAGTCAAAAGGATAGCTCAACTAGTAAGGCACCCGACTTACACGCAAGGGACCTAGATTATGAATCCAGGCTGGGGCAAATACTGTACCAACATCCAGTGTGGGTCCTCAGGTAAGACCCTTGGTGCTACTGCCTACTTCATACCAAGATGAGAAAAACCAAAATGTATGAGATTCTGACTTAGATGTCGATTGGTGTTTTCTTTTTACAGATACGATGTCCGCTGATGGCCATTAAACTTTCAAATGAGAAGTGCCAATAGACGTTGAATTCATGGCCAGAAAAGATGTTGTTTCAGCTTTCATTTTAGAACTATTTGTCCACCGTGACAGGACGTCTTGGACTGATGTTGCTTCAACGACCATCAAACGATCAAATGTTTGCTGGGTTCTTAGAGTCATTTTAAACCTAGTTCCAAAACAGTTTCAGTCTAGGTCACACCTTCCTGCATCTAATCAAAACAAGCATTCAAACACAATAGGACCTAACGACATCAACAACTCCTCAGGGGGTATGGAGAATGAGTATTCACAAGTAGTTTCAGCTCATTGAGCAACAACAGACAGCTACAGTTTGTAAGCTAAACTCTCCCATATTCCAGTCAGAAATGAAAAAGCTCCTCAAATGAGGAGCATAACATCTTCAAGAAACCAAAGAAGTCCAGTTGCCTTCATCTGAACACTTTTGATCATTGATTTTACAGATACAGAGTTTAAATTGACTCTGACAATAGATGCTAGCTGTGTCAATCACAACCCCACTAAATTATTGTATGTGATGTTTTTTCCAATATCTAACCAACAATTATTATAACTCCTTAACTTCCTTTATAAGATGTCATTTTAAGTCTGTCATAATAGGGGGTGAGTGATATGCATTCCTTAAGTGAATGACAGGCCTTCAATCACTTCCTGTTAGGAAGATTGGCAGCATACATCTCTGTGGTTTTACCTAACTAAGCGACCATTGTGTAAAGAAACGAAGCTGTCTTAGAGAAATCTGCTTGTGAGTTTTTCCCCCTTTTTGTGGGGTTAAAAATAAAAGCTGTAAAAGGATGCTTGACCAACAAATAAGTGACACACACTCTTAATAAAAGCATGTATACATTGCCTATTTTTTCCCATCTTGATGGCTCTGCACGAGAGAGGGAATTGGAAGCCTGAAGCAGACGTGGAATGTAGGTCAGATTCACGTTTACAAGTGATTCACGCTTGCAGCATCTTGTGGAAGGAGCCTTTTCTAGTTATTGTGGATCTACATAAAATACAATTCTTCATCTGTCTCTGGTATTTATAGGTTGTCTGACAGTTAATGATTCTCTCAGATATCCTTTAACTTCTCTTTTCCAGCGTTGCAGCCAGGTGTTGAGCAAACTGAGAGAACATTTATTTTAAACTCCTTATTCTCTGTTAGTAGCTGCATCAAAGTGGAAAACAAAGCCAAAAACTTTAGACTAAAGTGTGATTAATCGCTTTTTCCCATTTCTTTATTCCTCTTTTCAGAATCTTCTGATCGACCTTCTCTCTGCATGACGAGGGCCCCTGGCTTGACTGACCAAGAGGCTGAGTGGTACGACTCTAGCTCAAGATTCCTTGTGCTTGTCAACACTTCTGTGCAAACAAAGAGGTCCCAGAGAGGAGCTGGAGCAAGATCATAGCTGGTGAGACCCTGTCTCAGAGAGAAACAGCTGTCGCTTTTGTTTTTTGATTTTTTTCAGTTTTTTTCTGCTGAAAGAAGAGCTGAAAATAAGCCCCAACATGTGGGAGAATGACCAGCCAGAACTCCCAAAGGAAAAGATATTTTAAGTCCCGCTTTTCAACTCAAGTGCAGCCGTGCAGCTGAACATACTGGATTAAAGATGTTCCACCTGACGATTGACAGTCACAGTGTAACATGGAAACAGATACTCAGAAAACATCTCTCTTTTTCTTCAAGGTTATGTAATCTTGATCTTAAAAATTACAGGCAGCTTAAATGAAATTTTCATTTTACAGACATTTGATTTGTGGCCCACAAAAACTCTCCTTGTGTCCTCTTTACTCATTAGTTGGCTGGTTTGGCATTTAAACAAGAAAAGTGGATTAATGTTGCTGCTCTGCAACAAAACGTCCTCTGAGATCAGATAATATCACTAAAGCGGCTCTCCGGGATCTCGTGCGTGGTCCAAACTTCTCGGCTGAGGATGAAATCTGAAGGAAACATCTCCTGTGAATCTGGTTGGAGTAGCAAAGGGAAAAGGTCAGATTCTTTAAAATCGTTTGATAATCAAATCTGTCTTGGCTGCATGTTCAGGTTTTACAGACAGAAAACATGTCTACTGCTTCTGGAGAATCACGTGTCATGCCTGTACTTTCAGTTTCATTGATAACAATATGCACATACAATGTTGTGTAAAGGTTTAAAATAACCAAACTGGTATTGTTCTATTAATTTTAATAAAGAAATGAGATTAAATCTTGTTTTTGTGACAGGGTGCTGGTAAAAAATGGCAAAAAATCTCATATATAACATATTATTGAAGTCGTCTGTTATATTTAAACTCAAAACAGGTTCATTTACTCAGTTCAGCAGCTTTATGTCTCAGTTAATGATATGTCAGAGTTAAAAGGTAACAAAGAAAATAGAGACTTAGAAAATGTTTTGATGTCAAACTGAAAATGAGCGAAAAAGAAACCAAAGTCCGTCTACACCTTCAGAAGGGTGTGAGGAATTACCAATCAAGACCATTTTCTGGATTCTGAAGTGTGTTGCATTGGAAGTAAATAAATAACTTAAGCTTTTTGCATGCTACTGTTTTCCTTACTTGTCAAAATAAATGTAGTTACGCTGCCTTCTTTTTTCCCGTTCAGTGTGCACAAGCACTTCTGTGTCTGCAGATGGACATGGATTCATGAATTCCCTCTCTGTGTGCACACCTGTGAATGCTTCCTTACACCGCTTCCCTACAATCACGTGCATGAGTGTGAGAGAGAATACTGAAACTCTGAAACAGCATTTTTTTATTTTATTTTGTGTAAACGTCAATGTGTACATCAAGGGCGTGACCCTGGCTGACTCAGCCGTTTGGCATTCCTCAGCAGCTGCAAGACAAGCGCTTCAGCTTCCGTCGTCCAGAAACAATGGAGACAAAAGGAGCAAGCTTAGAATCAAAACACAAGCGGCGTGCACTGATGACTTACACAGGACACAAATTATTAACGTGGGAGGAAGGAGGATTGTCTTCCCCTGTGGTGTGTCACACACACACACACACTTCATAGGTATGTGTAACATCCTCCCTCCACTCCTGGCTCCACCCTCAGTCCCAGAGCACAGGCTGGTTGACCTGGGAGGAGGAGGAGACAGCTGGGGAGGGAGGTGGAGAGGGGTCCACGGAGCTGAAACTCATTTCTGCTGGTGCAGCCGGAGGCACAGCACATTGCAAAGGAATATTGGGACGCTCAAGGACCGGAGACACACACACATGGCTATTGAATGGACTGCAATAATAAACAGTTGTGAACGACAACACAGGAAGGACAGGAGGGTGCAGGACGTCTTCGTTTCACTAACCAAAAGATAAACTGTATTTTCTTTAAATTGTTTTATTTTTTTCCTGACCTGACTGATTCCATCAGGATCCATCTGAGATTACACAAAATGCAAAAGTATGGTTTAAAAACAGAGATGTGAATATTTTGAGGATAATTTGACCGCAGAAGCAAATCATAAGTGAGTACAATCCTTTTATAAAATTTGTACCGATTTATTAGATGATTAAAGATGACCCTTAAATCATTTTTCGCTACAGGTTGATGTTAACAATGATCTAATCTCAAACTCACTCTTGGTGATTGGTCTGATTTAGAGAATATATTTATTTAGGTCGGCTAACTTTAGGTTTTATGCACGCCTGTGGTAGATAGTATCCCACTTCAGCTCTGTGTGCATTATTTATTAGTTTGATTCAACCAATTTATTTCTATTGAACATCTTGTCATTGATCACTGACACGTTTGATCATTCTAAGCCTTAATAAAATGTAAGTAAATAAATAAATAAATAAAAATAAATAAATAAATGAAAGAAGTGGCATTTAAATCATTATTTTAAACAAGACGTATGAAAAGAAGTACACTGATTTCCACATTTAGCCTTTGAGCCTGGAAAACATTCATTTTGGTTTGATAGAAGAAAATGAGCTATTTAGTTTCTTGACTGAACACAAGGTAATAATATTTATTCATATGTACATTAAAAGTGGTATTTAATGCAGTTTCTTGACCTCAAGGGCCAGATCATCACTGTCAGTTGGTTTTCTAAGCAACACAAAGCTTGTTTAAACTGCTGGTATTTAATGGATTGCAGTTGTCATTTCATTTTAAACCTTATGGTATTTTAAGTACAGCTGACTGTGGTTGATTATAATAATTCTGTCATAAAAATCCTAACGGAGACCAGTTCCTTTGAGTTTTTCCACAGATCAGAAACATGAAGAAGGCGCTGCTCTCTGTTTGTTGTGGCCTGCTCTTATGTGTAACAATAATGGGTTGATGTTTTGTCTTATAGCCAAACAAAGCAAAGGAACACATGACAACGCCTACCATGCACTGACAACAAGGTAAGTGATGGAATCACACACTCACCTTGGGGTGCTCTTCGTTCTCTCTCTCTCTCTCTCTCTCTCTCTCTCTCTCTCTCTCTCTCTCTCTCTCTCTCTCTCTCTCTCTCTCTCTCTACATATACGTGCATACATGTGTGTTTTTTCTTGGAGAATGTGTGTGTCCTGCCCGTATTTTGAAAGGACAATTAAAGGTCTTCAGCTGACAGAGAAGATTTGTTATCCCAGGCAGGATGAATGTGTACGCCAAACGCTCATGTGCGGTTTGTCAAAGCCCGTTGATTTATTACTCGACTTTAGAGGAGGGGATTAAGAAATTGGAGCGGATCGTTATAAAGCTTGGTTTTCTTTGACAGGGAAGGCGATGATTACAGGATTTCCTTTAATAAAACTTGTCCCAGCAGAACAGTTTCCACCAATGAAGGAAATCTTTCTGGTTCGTCAGGGTGAATCGGGAACCCGACACTGATTTAAAGCGGGTTTTTTCCCATAAAATTCATTCCCTGATTGCGGCTTCCACCAGAGAAAATCACAATCAACACAGTTATTGTCATAGCTGGCTCCGTCTGGTATCCAATGGGGAACGGTTTCATCACGTGGTGCAGATCTGACCATATCAGCTGCCAACCTCCAGGCCTGTTTATATGCAACCTTCTTTTCTATCCGCAAAAGGGAACACTCTGAATTTTATATTAGCTGTACGACGCCCTGCTTTTGCATCAGGGCACAAGTTTGCTGCTGGTGTTCTAGTTAATGATACATAACAAGAAAAACAGTCAGTGGGCTTATGAACGGTCACTATCAGCACTGATAAGAGGACTTGGACCTTCTTCTGGACCAGACTTGGCTGAAGGATGGCGACAAAGTCGCTGCCACTTAGTGGCACAACTCAGCGCTGATGTGGGCAGGAGACAAGTAGGAGGGATGACGCGTGGTCCTACATGATTAACGTTTAATGGGGGAGTTTGGGCTACAGTTTGCAGCGGACAGGATGGTCTGACTGACACATATTGACAGAGAGTCGTGAATGGAGAGGCGTGAATCTGGGTTTTAATGAGTACATCAGGTGCCCCATGCACATTGAAATGCATGAGTATGTCCAGAGGATCCAGATGTCATTGATCTGAGTCATTCAGTAGGTAAAGTTATACTTTGTGTGTGTGTGTGTTGAAGTGTGTGTGTGTGCCAGTTTTGATCTAATTAGACACAAGGGTTCAAAGGGTCGCAGCCACTTTATCATGCAGATGAAATACCAAACAGCAAAGCTAGTGGCACCAAATGACTCATCGGAGCTTTTACTGTGTAAGAATCTATTTATCAGTGTGTAACGCCTCATGCTAAATTAGGACGAGGAGCAGAGACCACACACGGTGACGTGCAGCCTCAGCAGACTTGGATGCTGATTGGGACCCTCTTCATTTCCAGTTCCCTGCTGCCCGCGTCAGGACTCAGGGACGGATGTGAAAAACAAAAAACAAACAAAAATGATCAGGCATGTAAGAGGATGTCTCCTCTGTGGAGCTGACTCTCAATGACAAGAAGAAGAAGAAAGTATAATTTCTATAGCGCCCCTCAAGATAAAAATCACGAGGGTATGGGGGATTGTCTCAGAGGGAGAAGGATGAAAATGCAGCAAGTTAGTGAAAATACCAGGTAAGAGCAATGAATAAAGGGAGGAAGTAGAGAAGAATGGAGAAGGTGTCTGAAATGTGTTGTTTTGGTTCACGCTGAACTGCTAATGAGGACTGAGAGGTTCCCATCGATCAGACTGGGTCAGACCTTGTCAACGGGAACTAATCAAAGGACTGGCAGGCACAATCAAGACAGAGAGAGTTGCAGGAAAGTGACTGATCTTTAATTATGTCTGGATTATAGCATCTAATGTGAGAGCACCTGTTAGTGTTATTGAGCTCAGTTATTCTAAATAATCCAGTATAGTAACACCGAAACAATCTAAGCCTACAACACCTTCACTGGGTCATTGAAATGTGTTTGGAGATTGTCTGTGGAGTTATTTACATTCTGCACTGCGTGTTAAGGTTTTAACGACAAAACTGCCAGCTGAGGTGGCTCGGGCATCTGGTTAGGATGCTTCCTGGATGCTTCCCTGGTGAGGTTTTTGGGCACGTCCAACCTATAGGAGACCCAAAGGAAGACCCATGACACGCTGGAGGGACTGTGTCTCTGGCCAGGGAACGACTTGGGATTCACCCGGAGGAGCTGGCCCGAGTGGCGGAAAGAGAGGGAAGTCTGGGCACCTCTGTTTAGACTGCTGGTCCAGCGACCCGTCGCCGAATAAGCAGGTTAAAATGGATGGATGACAAAACTGCACTCTCACAAAGTAGAATAATCTTAGTTTTTCAAACCGCCCTGCTACTGACCAGAGTTTTTGCTAATTAAAATGAGCCAATTAAATGAACCACTTATTCAAAGAGCTTTTAACTGTAATTAGGGTTAGGGTTAACTTGACCTAGGGCTGACCTTAACCCTAACCCTTGCCTGGGTGGCAACAGATTTATGATCCCTATTTCTCTACTGCTTGAGACACTTTTCCCCCAAAACATGTCTCTTGAAGACGTTCTGTTCTGCACTTTGTGATGGTTTTAGTTTTTATAACTCAACATAGCAGGGACATGATGTAGTTTGTTAGGAGAATGACCAAAACATCTGTGCGTAAAGGACGACCGAGTCGTTTAAAGATATGAGTGTTTAGTCCTCGTAATGTTGCTTTTTGCGATTCAACAATCTGTTTCTGTCATCCCCGAAGGCTTTGTGAGTTTGAGCCACATGTGTGAGAACGTATGAGATGGAAAGCAAAGGACATGAAAATGGATGGCTGCACACCAGTTTGCCCATGGAGAGGGAGGCGGAGGGGAGGCTGGGGTGAGGTGGGGGTGGGATTCTGACTCCCTCATTAATCAGACTGAAAGCTTTAAAGTAAAGAGAGGAAGCAATGCAGCGAACTAACTACTAAAAGCAGTGTTTACAGTCCATCCAGCACAGAGAGATCGGATCATTTGTGCTTTACGTTAAGCCAGGCAGAAAAAACTCAGCGCCGATGTGATGTGCTTGGAATACATGAAACCGTATCCGGCAAAGTTCTGCAGACATGACGTTCTTTCATTGTGTTGCTACGAGGTTCCTCCTTCAATGTTGGAAACATCAACACAAGAAGTTCAGAGCTGAGCGTAATGGCAGCGGCGTCTCTGAGCTGCTAAAGAGAAACCGTTGACACACAAATGATCCCAAACTAGTGACCAGCAGTTCAGGACAACAGGGTCTTATACAATATGTCTGAGAACAATGATGAGAAAGATGTACTACAGATGTTTCCACGGGTCCAAAAAAGTCATCATCTGTTTAGATTAACCGGTATTTAAAATAACTTTTGTTTAAACCAAAATGCTGTAAAATATATAAATATGAAAATACAAACTCAACAATGATCCGTATTGAGAGAAATGGAATACATGTTACTAACCCTAACCAGCTCAGTGGCCTAGTGCTAGAGCATCCGCCCTGAGACTGGGAGGTCAGGGTTCGATTGAGTCATACTTTGAAAAACTGGGACCCAATGCCTCCCTGCTTGACATTAAGCATTAAGAGGCTGGATTGGGGGGTTAAACCACCAAATGGTTCCTAAGCGCGGCCGTGTCTGCAGCTCACCGCTCCCCCAGGGGATGGGTCAGGTGCGAATAACAAATTTCGCACACACACATCAGTGTGTGTGACAACTGATGGGACTTTAACTTCAACATGTACCGATATTACATATTTAGAATACTAATTATGAGTAACTGTATTCTGTTACAGTTACTATTTTTTAAAATTGTATTTAGAATACAGTTACTTTTGTAATACTATTGGAAAACGTGTGTGTTTTCCACTTTCCACCAGAAAGATAAGTAAATATATTTTGGACATTGCCTGTCTCCATGTTGTGTAGAATATAGTCTGGCCACAGTTCATTAATGGCTCTCGGTCGTGGGGCGGGACCTACGGTTGTCTTTTAAACCGTTTCCGGATGCTGTTGGATAAAAAACAACGTGACGTACTCATCACTACAAATGTTAGTCAACGAGGCAGTCCACCATACTTCGTCAAAAAGATGCAAATACAACTTTTTCTAAATTACCTTAAGTACTTATATCTGCTCTTGAGTCAAGGACAAACCCTGGCCAAAATAGTCCAAATTCGTTTTAAACAAGTTGTTGCCATCTTTATATTAGTAATGTTCCACCCACCAATAGAACACTGTAATTGGACCGCTACGAATGTCAGTCAACATGCCATTGCATTGTTAAACTAATACACTGGTTTTCTAAATAACAGAAAAACAATCTATTGACACTTTGATAAATAAATAAATAAATAAATAAATAAATAAATAAATAAATAAACAAACAAATAAATAAATAAATGTTGTTTTATTTATTTTTCCCAGTCAGTAAATTATGTTTAGTCTCAACATTCCCTCTATTTTCCTGCTGGAGTAGCTACCAACACAGGTTGCGACATCTAATAGACTTAAATGCTGTTTTTAAGGGGAAGTATTCCAAGTATTTAGAATGCAGTGCCAAAATTAAGCAAAGTAATGGATTGTGTTACAAAATACATTTTAAAGCAGGTATTCGGTATTCTTTAACCAAATACATTTACAAAGTATTCTCCCCAACACTGACAATGATAAAATAACTTACAAATACATGCAAAAATGATCAAATCAAGACTATGTTCACAATAAAATCACGTGTTTAATGTTCAACCAGAATGAAAAACCAGCATTAACAGATCCAGGGTGTTTGAAGTCACTGATGGAAAGGAAAGGTAGTACTGTGTTGCTATTTAAAAACAAGGAGAAAAAGTGTCATTAATAAATACATAACTAACAAATAATGCACAACCTTTTGAAAACACTAAAACACAAATTGCACAACCCATTTGGCCTCTGGAGGCAGTAATTTTTTTAAGTAGGATGAATACTTTGAAGGCCACCTCTCAAGCCAGAAGGTGAAGGCTTCGCTCTAAATGTTGGGTGGATTCAACAAAACCGTTTGTGCCTGTTTGAGTACAAACCGCGCGTAAATGTCCTGGATTCAGAAGTTTTCTGTCCCCACATCAGGAACATGTAGCAAATGCATTGCTTCCATTTTCCCGAGTCTGGAGAAAAGCTGTTTACCATCCCTAAAACACTTCGGTGGTGTTTTTAGTGTGCCTTCTTTTGCATAAAAGCATATTTTAAAAAAGATTTCACCAGAGAATTTAATCAACTGGGCAGATTTTTATAATTAGATTATTGGAGGTCATGATGGACCAGCGCTTCATGCTCCAATAAATTATTCTGTAATCACACAGAAGGGCAGAATTCTCCTCAGATTGTGACTAAAACAAGGTCAAGAGAGCCCTTGATGAATAGAAAGCCTCGCTGCATAAATTCGTATTCAAACAAAAGTATTAACTGCATAGTAAGAAGGAAAATCTAAAATTTACTGTGAACAGATGAAGGTCATCATTTTACAAGAATTCTAAAAACTGGCAGGACTCAGACAAACCAGAAGTGTTTTTTCCCTCTTATGAGAAATGCTTTTCCACAGATCTTTTTTAGCCACATCTCCAACTTTGAGCTGGACAGAGAGGAGCGGCTGGCCCGGTCCATTATCCATTCATCTGAAATACATTCCTCTGGCTGAAGCCCTAAACACAGTTTGGAGATGTTATATGACGGCTTTTCACCAACTTAAAGAGTGCAAATATCTCATGATGGCCTTCTAATTGCATCTGATTGATTTAAATTTGCATGAATATTTTGTCATTTGTACTGTACCCAAATACCCAAAACAAGAAGTCATCATGGTCAAAAACAGTCTTTAGAAACATTATGAAAACATTTTGAAAGTCCTTTCACAAGAACAAGATTTTAGCTTTAGACACACCATTATTTATCTTAAACAACTCTAATCCCAGAAATGTAAAGATAGCAGCTCATGCTAACAATGTTTTAATCAACATTTACAGTAGGGATGTCCCGTTCCAATATCGATATCGGAAGTAATTCAATATCGGGCCACGAACAGTGTATCGGATTATATCGGACGGCATCAACAATTTCAGATGCAAGCAGTCCATTAAGGTTCCCATTTTTGCAAACAGTGGTTTCGAATTTTTTTTTATTTTTTCACACTTACTGTTATTGGCTCTTGTTCTCCGATTGAGTAAGATCACCACAAAATAGGTAAAAGTATGTATGATTTGTGCCAATATCATTTCAGATTGATATCGGTATCGATCAATACTGAAGGCTGCAAGATCGGTATTGTATCAGAAGTGAAAAATTTGTATCGGGACTTCCCTAATTCACAGTGTTGATTGTTGTGAAAAACACACTTTTATTAATAGAAATATTGTTTTCTGGCTGGAAGTGCTTCACTGCTAACTCCCACTACAAATAACCAAATAAATGCATGTGACCACATAATACATGTATGACAGCTTGGTGATGTTTGATGAAACACGTCACGAGAATAATTGGGATTTCCTTTTTAACAGAGCTGTTTTTGGACACCAGTAACTAACCAGTTAGCCGTTAAATTGTTACGCTGTCTGGAATTAATCTCTAAAGGTCATTCAAAAACCTCCAACTGGTGTGATGACCTTTCCAATCACTCTAAGAATGAAATGTTGAATTTACATCACCAAGTAATCAGTGTTGCGAATGTCACTTCAAAATGTAATTAGTTATAGTTACTAATTACTTTATCAACAAAGTAACTGAGTTAGTTATTGAGTTACAAGAATATAAAAGTAACTAAGTACCAGGAAAAATAACCATTTCATTAAAATTTTCATAAAAATGTGAAAGAAAAAGTAAATTTCCTCTTTATAGAACTTACTTAATTTACTATAAACAATTACAATACCTAAATATAAATTTCTAAATAGACTGGAACACAACAAAATGTGTGTTCAAATGTTTATTACAAAATTAATAATTGAAATAAATGGGAACCTAACAGGAGGAACTGCAAACAGGAAACGTTACATTAATCGAACATATCCAAATGTCACTGTGTGATATGAAACTTGACCCTAATCAACTAAAATGTATTATTGTAAACAGAAAATACCTGCAAAGGGTTCCTGAGCCTTTAAATGGTCTCTCAGTCTAATTACTGAAATAAATAGACTTTTGCATTATATTCTAATTTTTCCAGTTTTACTTGTATGTATAATTGTCTGTTTTTATTAGCATTTCCACTATTGATAATCTACTAACAGCATATTTATAAACTAAAATCCTTAAAAACACCATAACAGGCACAAATTTGATTGAGGACTTACATTTCTTAACTTGGGTCTGACCCAAATGTGGAAGTGCTGCAGCTGGGTGTTAAAGTCGTTCTAGTAACGCCCATGACGTCTGAGACTGATACAATCAGAGTTAGAGCGGGACTAAAGAAATAATCAGGAACACTAACTGGTTCCTGTTGGATACCTGGAAGATGGACTGGGAGGACAAAAGATCATGACGACGAATTAATGATAAACAGGTAAACAGGTGAGTGGACCTTCCTTACATGGGAAGTCCTGTAAAGAAGTGTAAGGCTGCAGACTGCAGTCTCTGGGTCTGCAGCCTGATCACGTGTTCCTCATTCCTCACTGGTCGTGATGCCTTGAATGTAAACATCCACCCCTTTAGCTTCCAATCAGCTGATGACAGCTTCAACACACCTCGCTGCTGAATTATAGTAATGCACACATTTTCTTATCGGTAACGGAAACTGCGTTATGACAAAAGAAGAAAGTAATAAATTTGATTACATGCTACTGAAAAAACTAACTTCCGTTTTAACTCTTTGATGCGTGAATTGTGAAATCTTCAACCATGACTTTTTAAACAATTTTTTTTCTTTCATCGTTAGGTGTGAATGAAACAAATTTCATATTTACATATTTTTTGTAACATTTAATTTACACATAGTTTATTACATGTCCACCTCAGTGGACAGCGTGCATTCTGAACATGAAATATGTTGGCTTGACTTACCGAAGTACAAATGGAGGGGCTCAAATGCAATAAAGTCTTCAACAGCTGTGCTTAATAGCAAAAATAAATAAATAACAATTTTGAGTACCTGTCCACTGTAGTGACCATTATGCATCATAGGATTAAACACCGTTATTCCCAATCCCATCAATGCAAGTAACATACACTTCCTTTTAACACAACAATGTTACCCTTTACATTTAAGAAACTAGGTTTATTGAAAGCAGTTGACATCACTTGGTTAAGAAAATTCAACATTTCATTTTTCACAGTGTTGAAACCCACCTAAAACAGTCAAAAGTTGCTACAAAGCCAAATTTGGTCAAACCCAATAACACCACTCTCGTTTATAAGAAAACTGCCAATTCGTTTGCTTATCCACTCTACTTTCATTAATGCTCAGTCTGGATTTTTATTTGTTTACATTTGACGAAATGTCCCTCCAAAAGCAGCCCCGCTACTCTGTTCTCAAATTGTCATCACGTTCCTATCAACTTTCTGTTCTCTTTAGACATTTATTTTGAAGCAAAGAAAAGTAAACTTTGAGTTCATTGCGACCAAGAGTGAGTATGACATGAAGGGAGGAAAAAAGAAAATGTCTCGATGCATGTGACGGAAAAAAGCTGGGGAAAGGGGAACAAAAAACAAGGAAAAACAGGAATTCAGGGGGTGAGCAGGGGATGAGAACGATAAGGAGAGCAGAGGTGAATAGATGTAAAACTGGTAGGATAAAGAGGAAAGCTGTCAATTCGACCTTGAGAAAGTTTGAAAAAGAAAATAAACCAAAAATGGACTTGCGTCAGAAAGAATGGGAAGTTTAGAGAAATGAACAGGCTGAGGAGTTAATAAAAACACAGAGACACCAAAACATGGCAATGTATAAATGGCAGCATGAGGTTTTGCCTTTTATTGCTTTCACTGACAAATTTCAAAGTTACTAAAGATCTATTAGTAGTATATGATGTGAAGCTGTTCCTGTGGTTAATGGCTTTTTGTTTATATTTATATAAACGTCTAAGAGTTTCAGATTCTCAGTAACTAAATATGGAAAACCGAACCAGCCCGCTGAGAAGAATAGGTTTAATTTAGCAGAGTTTAATAATGTGGTTAAACATGATACTGATGTTGTGAAACGCTACCAGGGGGGTGCCTGGAGCACAGAGGCATGCTTGACTCCTGTTTGTCATATTAACCACAGATTGTTTACAGAAGCAACAAACACATTAACACTTTGCTTGTTTTCCAGGAATGGAAAGAATCAGTGCGGAAACAGCCTGGGATGGGTTAGGTCTCTTCTCCGTGGACGCCACAGGAAGAAACAACTTCTCCTTGTTTGTTACTGAGCTGAACTCCATCAACGCTTCCCGCAACAGCGGGGGATCCCTCTTTGGGATCTTCCCCGAGAATGGCTCCAATGCCACGCCTCACGCCCTGCCTCCACCCAGGACGAGGGACCTGGGCCTGGCCCGGGCGGAGATAGCCGTTCTTGGGGTGGTGCTGGCTCTCACCACCTTGGGGAATGGATTTGTGTTGTGGGTGCTTTTGAGGAGGAGGAAGCACAATGCTCCAATGCACCAGTTCATGGTCAACCTGTGTGTGGCTGACCTGGTGGTGGCGCTCTTTCAGGTCAGTTCACAAATGCTACAGCATGTGTCTTCTGATAATACACAGAAAAAGTGTCTAAGTCATTTTTCCATCCACAAATTTTTGGTTGTCTTCCCAATCACATCCTCTCTGTGGCTATGAGACCCTCCTCATTAACAGGAATTACCTTTGCACACCATAGCCAGAAGGTTTATCTTCATCAACACTCAAGGCTTGTTTCCAAAATCTGCTTTTCTGCCAACTTAGATGGTTTTCTGTAAAGGACCCAGGAAACATTTGACTTTTTAAAACTCTATCAGGGACTCATTTGTCTTATGAAAGACCTTGCTGCTAAAATAAAGATCCCATTATATCAGATTTGACTTTTAAGACACCTGGGAAATTTTTAGAGTGATCAGGCCTTTTTACGATCAAAGTTTCATACATCTGAAGATAATTCAGAGCTAGAAAGTTGCCCTTTCTGTTTTATTAACAGTGTTTTTACTCAAACTCCATCATAGATTGTAAATTTTATCAGTTAAAAAAACTTAGTGAGTTATGTTATTTTCCAAAGACCGATCTTAAAGGTGTGGTTGACTTAAATGTTTTTTCTGATTATAATCGGTCACTCTGAGTTTTTCATTCAGGCTGAGCATGAAAATAGTCTCCTACACCTATCTCCTGCATTATTTCTGATAGAAAACAGACGATCAAATGCTAGGATTTAAAAATTGTCACATATCTATGTCACACTGTGAATTTGCATTCATGGCCACACCCATCTTGGTTCGTGCCCGCCCACAGGAAGGCTTTTTAAAACATTTTTTGCAGCGAGGAAAGAGAGTGTGTCTTAATGATAGTGACTTTGCAACATGGCTGAACGCATTCTGTTAGCCAATCAGAAGCGAGGTGTGTGCATATCATTAATAATAATGAGTAATCCTGCTGTTTCCAACCCACCTCAGCACCAGCAAACTTCTGCATCTCAGAACAGAAATATCGTAGATTTATTTTTAAATGACTCATAAGGCATTGATTTACACTTAAAAACACTGCGAATGTTTTGAACAAACAAATAAACCACACCTTTAAGGCTTAATAACGCACAGAACAACGTTACTAAAGTGACCCTTATTGTAAAGCGTTGCCCTGTTCTGTTGTGGACTTTTGATGTTTATATCGTCTGAAATGATTCTGACATAGCAGTGACTTGTGCTGAGCTGTGGTGGCCTCATGGAGGGGGCCATCGACTAGCACACTGCTGCTAACCACTTAAACATTCTCTCTCTCCTGATAATAACTTTTTGGTTTCCTTGACTTTTGATGTGCTAATACTAGTTTATCCGTTTAATTATAGATCCACTAGGATAAATACAATAAAGTTTATCTCTCACCAAATACAATATTTACTAAGACATCACAATATAACTATAGACACATTACTTGTCTTTGTGTGTGTGTGTGTGTGTGTGTGTGTGTGTGTGTGTGTGTGTGTGTGTGTGTGTGTGTGTGTGTGTGTGTGTGTGTGTGTGTCTGTGTCTGTGTCTGTGTGTGTGTGTGTGTGTGTGTGTGTGTGTGTGTGTGTGTGTGTGTGTGTGTGTGTCTGTGTCTGTGTCTGTGTGTGTGTGTGTGTGTGTGTGTGTGTGTGTGTGTGTGTGTGTCTGTGTCTGTGTCTGTGTGTGTGTGTGTGTGTGTGTGTGTGTGTGTGTGTGTGTGTGTGTGTGTGTGTGTGTGTGTGTGTGTGTGTGTGTGTGTGTGTGTGTGTGTGTCTGTGTCTGTGTGTGTGTGTGTGTGTGTGTGTGTGTATGTGTGTGTGTGTGTGTGTCTGTGTCTTTGCCTGCTCTGTCTTCTCGATCCCCAGTGAGTCGTGGAGGATGGCTGCTTATACTGAGCCAGGATTCTCTGGAGGTTTCTTCCTGTTAAAAGGGAGTTTTCCTCTCCAATGTCGCTGCATGCTTGCTTAGTATGAGGATTGCTGTATAGTCACTGACACTAGTCAGTGACTTGATGCAATTTGCTGGGTTCCTTATATAGGAAACATTATTTCTGATTGGTTTAATGAACTGTGAATTGGAATGTTTATTATGTGAAGTGCCTTGAGACGACTCTTGTCGTGATTTGGTGCTATACAAATAAACTTGAATTGAATTGAATTGAATTGAATTGTGTTGTGTTTAGTTTCAAAGAAGCATTCTGTATTAGCATTAAAAGCAAATATGTGATCACTTCCTTTACTGTAAATATCAAGCTCTTTAATTATAAAGAGCCATTATTTATGATAAACATCATTTAAAAAGAGGTTTGTTGTGTGTAAATACAAACTTAGTGTGAACTGCTGATTTACTGATGTATGGTTAGATATCTACAGCAGCCTGCAGCACGAAATGATAAACTGCCAAGCTTGAGCCACCAAGACGTAGGAGTTTAATTCGTCCAATCCATTCCAACAAAGACATGTAACGTTGCTGCCAGTAATTAAAGATGTGTTCTTTTGTAATCTGTGATTCCAGGTTCTCCCCCAGCTCATATGGGACATAACAGAGAGGTTTCAGGGGCCTGACCTGCTCTGCCGGTCCATCAAGTACTTGCAGATAGTTGGGATGTTTGCTTCCTCCTATATGATAGTTGCCATGACAGTGGATCGGCACCACGCCATCTGCTGCCCTTTGCAGGCCTACCGTGTTGGGGCGATGTCCCGCTGGAACACTCCTGTTATGGTGGCGTGGGGCCTGGCGCTGGTCCTCAGCATACCACAGGTAGGGAGGGGTGAACAAACAAACCCTTTGACACACTTTTATGCACATGCACACACAAACATGCTGAAATAAGAAAAAAGAAAAGACCTCAGCAGGCGTCACACCCTGGTTTGTACAGCAAAGCTCAAGATGCTGGCCTATTTTTAGCTGGATGAGGTCACTGCAGTTCAGGTGAGGGAGAGTCACCTTGTGTTATGCCTGCGGGTGAGCTGACCACCGGTTCATGTTGCGTCCATCAGGTGTTCATCTTCTCCCGCTCAGAGGTGGCTCCTGGAGAGTACGAGTGCTGGGGTCACTTTGCTGAGCCGTGGGGACTGAAGGCCTACGTCACCTGGATGACCGTGGCCGTGTTCCTGCTGCCCGCCCTCATCATCACCATCTGTCAGGTAAAACTGGTTGGACCTCTCCACTGTGTCCACAAAGACGATAGACAACAGGATTGCACGGATGTTACAGAGAGATGTGGCATGAATGAAATGCTGGGTAAATGTGGCAGCCATTGTTGAGTAACCCATGGGACTCTGCAGTTGGTGTTATGTAGCTGACAGGCGTTCTGGGCTGCCTCCCACCAGTCCTGCTCTATTTGGGGAAAGATATTTCTAGCGTCCAGCTATTTCTCCTAATTAAAAAAGCACTTGGAGGTCCACAGTAGAGATGGCTGCCCATTCCAAGAGCAGCAGACCCCATCTCAGCCAGACGTACAATCCACGACTCGTTTCTTAATATCACGTTTCAGATGGAGGAATGTGTTTTGACTTTTTAAATGAGAAAAGGAAAAATCATACCCCAAACAAAGAAATCCTGAACATTTTAGAAGACCTATCTGCATTTACAACATTTAAATTCTGGGACTTCTTTTTTTCCTTAAAGATCTAAAGAAAAAAGAAGACAAACAGCCTTTTACCCACTATTCTGACTCCAAGCTTCCTTCTGGAGGTTAAAAGGTCGAGTTGCAATTTGTTCATGTAGCTCACTTCCTGCAAAAAGCAACAAAATCGGCTTTATTTTACAGATAAAATACAAGTTCAACAAAAAGTGCAAAGACAAGCACACACATGTCCCATGACAGAGGCATAAATGGATAAATAAATCTAGAATAAATCCAACTAAAATAACATATTGCTGCTATCCTGTCTCATGTTAGTGATAATGTGATATTTTTTAAAGTACTACGTGACATTTATAAATGACTGTTATAGAAATTATATTGTTTGCTTTATTTTATTACTACTGAATTGGCATTAGGGCATTTTTAGAAGGCGTGGTGGTGCTTTGTAATTTTACCAAAAAAAAAAAAAAAAAAAGTCACACACACACACACATGCTCTTTTCTGTCCCGCCTCTGTTAAACTGGATTATTGGTCAGACTAACAATCTGTCTATCATAAAACTCAGCTGAGACTGATGGAAGAACAAAAATCCTGTTTTCCAGATTAGGATCTTCCGGGAAATTCACAACAACATCTACTTGAAGTCGGAGCGGATGGTGATGGCTGAGCTGAAGAGGAATGAAATCCTCTTTTGCTTCCACGGCTTTAAGAAGGAGGACGAGCGAGCCAGGGAGAGAGGGAGGCAGCTGATAGGGGCCGGGGGCCGGGAGGGGAGAGGGGCACAGCTTTTAAAGGCTGCAAATGACAGTCCTCACTGTCACATTCACAACAGCCACGTGGGCGAGCGTTACGACTACGTTCCACCTGTTATCCAGTACAGTAGCTGCTGCGAGCACCAAACCACAGCAGCGACGGAAGAGCAAACGCCCAGCAGCTCGGATTTCCACGAGTCTCTCACAAACTCTCCCCGCACCTCCCTCGATTATGTTCCCCCGCCTCCTCATCCTGTCACCCCACCCCCAAGCATCACTAAAGCCATGTCCAAGACAGTGAGGATGACCCTTGTCATCGTGCTGGTCTACACTGTCTGCTGGTCACCGTTCTTCATCGTCCAGCTGTGGGCAGCCTGGGATCCCGACCCTCCCAATCAAGGTCAGTCACAAACACCCCCACTGTGTGCGCTGCTCCCTTTGACTTAACAAGAAAGGCAAACATCTGTATCCCAGAAATCTGTAGTGAATCCTTGATGTTGTTTTTCCCAGCAGGACTGACGCTCCTCAGCCCAGTTTATCCATTTAATTGCCCCAAATGAGCAAACTGGACCTGTTTTTACACTTCAGACAGACGAGCACTAAGTGATTACAGCCGTAACCTGTGATCACTGCTGTTTCCCATCTTGCTGAGTAAAGATCCCTTGTTATTTCAGTAATCATTCATTAATCCGAGGGCCACTTGGTATTCCAAGAACAAGATCCAGTGTGAATGTGGTAACAGGGAGGATAAGGTCAGAAACCATGTTTGTTTTGAGCCACGACCAGAAATCCCTGGATCACATGTCTCTGGCTACTGTACATTTTGGCAAACAAACAGCATCTGTTAATGTCTTTACATGAGGCAATTGATGACGACCGGTTCCACCTTAAGTTGTGGCCGATATTCCGGGCTGAGTGGGTGTCAGACAAAAGAGAAGAATAACAGTAAATAACCTGTTTACATCCTGCTCATTTTGCAATCCCATAGCTGGTTTCATCAACAGAGATCTGTGCCAGCAACGCGTTGTCAAAAACACAGGCGGACAAGCTGAGCCAAGTGTGTAAACACGTACACAAAAGCACATATGCATATAAAGAGTGTTTGCACATGCAGCTACGAGTGTGCATAAATATGAATGAGCCCTTACTGGCAGACTGCTATGAACATACGGAAACACACATCTGATCGTTATCAGCCTCGTGTTTCTGTTTGTCCCTGTCTGATGTCATCGAGAGGCCACAGTGAAATAAACATGTTATTAAGTAAAAGCTCTATTAATAAATAGATTAAAAAAATATTGGATTATTTTCCCTCGGGGACATTTTTAGTCCAAAAGGGAAATAAAGCAAAAACAATAAACTTGAAGGCTTTTCTTGTCATTGTTTCCTGTGAGAAAACAGTGTCATGTAAGTTGTACCGTGTCCTCGGTTTGCCCTCATTTTGTGTATGTGTGTGTGTGTGTTTGAATTCTCATTTTTATCCTTCTTTGAGTGTGTTTGTCGATGTTTCCGTGTCTTCTGCAGGAGTGGCTTTCACCATCCTGATGCTGCTGGCCAGTCTCAACTCGTGCACCAACCCTTGGATCTACACCGCCTTTTCCAGCAGCGTGTCTGGAGAGCTCCAAAACCTGCTTCACTGTCGGTCACGGCTTGGCCGACGGGGCTCCCTGCCCGATGACTCCACTGCCACGCACACTTCCACCACCAAGGACAACCAGTACTGACAGAGGCAGACGGGACGGAAGCTCACGCACCGAGAAATGCATGGAAATGCAAGGACGTGCTGCTGCACACAGATCCACCACCGCTCACGCTCCTGCAATCACTGGATGCAACAACACGCTGCTTGATAACAGCCTGACCTCCACCAGATGTTTGCACCAACAACGGACAGCTGTTCTGACAGCAGGACATCTATCTGTCATCACCTGACCGCCCCACCCCTACAGTGAAGGAAGGGTGTCATTGAAAGGCGTCAACACCGTGCGCAGGCCTGCCTTTTTGGTGCATCTGTGATGCAAAATGACCTGGAAAGTAAAGAGATTTTCACCTCCACAGCTTCTGAGTTTGTTCAGTGATTCATGTGAGGAAAACAGAAAGAAAACACTGGCTGATTCTGACGCAGCAGAGCACGAGGAATGCAAAGGAGGGATTGCTAATAGCCTCGTGGTGATGTACAAAGCAGCAGCAGACAACAAGCTGTGGATGGAGAGAAAACCGAGCTGCAGCCGCGTGAGCAGAAATCATTCTGCATACAAAGGATTTCTGCAAAGAGCTGCAAAACTGGGGATTAACTTACAGGAAGAAAGAAACAAAAACAAGCCTATAAATGGACAGAAAGTCCAGTTAATGTGTCTGCATTCTGAGCAAACACAGTTTAAATGACACTTCCTGTTATGAACTCTTGGAAGTACTAAACACAAACATATAGAAGAAGAAAAAGAAATGAAAATATTCAGTCACATTCCATGTGCAGCACAAACAATGTAAAGTATATTTATTGACTTTGTAGGGCACATTATTTAAAAAACATCTGAATGTGAATCATAAACTAAAGCCGTCAAGCCAAAGATTTTCTAAAACTTAACCATCTACGCAGGTCTTAGTGGGAGAGGCGATCTGGGATTCAGCTGAAATGTAAAATGAAACAAGTCATTTAAATCGTCTGAATAAGTTCAAACCAAGTGCCTGTTGGATATTTTTAGAGGATTATTCTTCAGCTGTGCTGATCTTAGACTGATTCCTCACCAGAGCAGGGATCATGAGATTTGTTATATCACACTCTGAGCCATTTATGTACTTTTATTCTCTTATTTATTATTGTAAAATAAGAATGTACACATATATATGTATATATCTATATATGCATGTTTCAATCCTGCCTTCCTCCTCCAGTTTTTACCTTGCATCTGTGCAGAGACTAATGTATTAAACCCCCTAACTGCATGTCAAACTAAATGTTTTTATTTTTATAAAAGCTTATAGCTCCATGAGCTACTGCACAGACAGCAGAGCTGAGATTAGGTTTTCAGATCCGATGTTCCTGATGATCCCGTTGTGTTTTGTTCAGCGCTGTTGCGAGTGCGATGCTTTCAAGGTGTCTCGGGAGTGCTGGCCCGGGTCGAGAGGAGAGGCCTCACCTTTTTCCTCTGGGCGCTCGTAGTGTTTGGGATTCAGGCACGCCACGGTGCATTTGTTCCCCAGACACGAGCCCACCCCTGCTTTGATTCGCTGCCAAACAAAAGGTTGCTGCAACAGCGTCCCGCGTCTCACTTTGTTATATCAGGAAATGGATAAACTTCTCCCAAACCTCCGGAGTATTCCTGTACTTTTCCTTTCTCCATCAGGAAGCTGGGAGGTCAGAGGATGAATCCGATGCATAAAAATAAAAAAGACTTAAGACTGCCGTACTTTTCAAAGACCAATTATCCTTCATCATTCCATTATGCTTTTTGCAAATCCATTACAGGGCATTACAACAGGTTAATAATGAATGTACTCTAATAGATAAAGACTTTCCTGACACAAAGACCTAAAAATAGACCAATCACTGAAGTGAATTTCCTTTTCGCTGTCTTGCTTTTCTTTAGAAAAGACCTGACAGTTACTGTTGAACTGCAGCCCTCATCATCCCTCTCTTGTCAAAGAATGATGGATATGCTAGGCTGCAGTGAAGAGGGTGCTTACACTGAACGTCCTAATGCTTTTAGTTTTTACGGGAGGTGTCTAAACTCAAGGTCACCTAGTTCTTACCGGTGGACAGCGTTTGCTGCCCGCCTGTGGTGGCGTATGAGAATAAACAAATGATCAGCGAGCAAGGACGGAGACACGGGGCATCTTCCTTCCTTGGATCAGCCTGAGGTCAGCCAAGGAGCACAACCGCTGGCACTGAAGAATGACGGCGCCCAGCAGCCTTGATCAGAGTCGGCATAAATCAGGCCCAAGCTTTACTATTTAGAGCAATGTCGCTTAACTCTGCAGACCTGATGACTGCTGAGGCTGCTAAACTCATTCCAAGATGACAGGAAGGCAGATCCATCCCGGACCGGCCTACGCAACCAGCTCCGGCGTCAGTGTGAAGCATTGCCTTTTAAATTCAGATAATGCAAAAGAAAAACAGTGATCTTGTTATTCCTTCTCTTCTTCAATTTGTTTTTTCTTTTCAAATGAACAGCCAAGACCCATCTCCCATGTGTGTTTTCCTATATATAGACAGATGTGTACTTTTCAACCAACCATTACGATTCAACACAAACTTTCACCTCATATTTTATGGAAGAGAAATTCAAATGGATCTCTTCTCCGAGGGCTAGCTTTTATCGCCCTCCGCCACCTTGTTTTCATTACTCCGAGCACGGCTGTTTTTACACCTCTACAAGCCCTTCCAGGTTTTTCTTTCTTTGCAGTCGGAACAGGCATGTGGACTTTGTCTGATAAAACACGTTTTATGGGAATTCATTCGACATGCGTTGTCAGGATTTATGTGCTGAGAAAATAGCGTGTTGTGATGCGTCTGCTCCCGTTTAACCTGCAGTGTTTCATAGCTGCAGGCCAGCTCAGCTGTAAATGACAAGAACAATGCTTAATACCAGCCGCTGACCTTCTGCTGTGTAATGAGGGGTTGCTAATAGGATGGAGAAAGTGAGCATGTTCCCCATATATGGTTGTTTTATTTGACTGGAGATTGATTTGGGAGGCAGCGCGGATTATGGGATGCACAAACAAGACAGGAAGAGGGAAATGATGCAGTCACTTTGAGTTTATTTCACAGAGGCACCGATTTGACTGGACATTTATGGAAGACGTTGTGGATGTGGTCTTCTGTTTGATTGTTGGGTTACTATATTTATTTTTTTTTAAAGTGCAGGAGGGGTGATGCTCATGACATGCTGCAGACAGAAAGTGTGACTCCATGTGAGCATCATTTGTGAGATGCCAGTTTCCACATTGCTGACTCTGACTAAGCCCATCAGTGTCTGCTTCTGGAGCTGGTCTTTTACACACTTTTCTTAAAGTTTTTTTTTTTTACTTCACAGAGAACATTTTATATCATTTTAATACACTGAAGCTCTTTATTAGAGGCTGAATTTTCTGGAAATTTGCCCTAAAGATGACAAAAACAGACATAAGTCTGCACATTTTCATTGATTTTTATTTTATTCAGAAGCTACAACCTAAAGCTGTTTTTTTTCAACATATTTAGACCAAACTGCAAGGTTAACTAAAGATAAAATACACTTTTTAATTTAAATACAGAACATTCCTTCTTTACTTTTTTTATTCTAGTTTTATGCACAATAATAAAGATTAGATCACATTAATGCAGGGTCTCACACAACAAACTGTCTTCTAATCAAACAAAAAGGATGTAACAGCCAACTTGGAGAATAAGACATACACGAAGAAAAACCCCACAGATGAACTATTCATAAATTGTAATTTCCTGCCTATTCATTCTGAAGTGATGATTATCTCTAGATATTTCTCTCCACATCCATCGTTCTGAGCTCAGACTTTGAGAGCATGAGTTGTCCACTCTGCCCCAAATCACAGAACAAAAAGGAGGAAGAGTTTTATTACGAGCAGCAATTTGTTGGTTTTTGTTTATTTCTATTTACATCCCTGCTTCCAGCCATTTGGCCTCTTCCCACCATTTAATAAATGACTCCATGACAGTGTCTGGATTTAATCCAGTTGAACTCATCTCAGATTTGCCAGATGCTGAAAAGTGCTCGTGTTGAGGGTGTGTGATTAGAACACTTTAAACCTCAAAAGATTTATGAGAACATGTTCCTTGGTGAGCATCACCTATAATTCACATCATGATGGAAAAGAGTTCTGAGTTTTTTTAGCTCTTCAATCAGTAACTTATCAGCAAGTTTGCTTGAGGTGTCTGAAATGTGATTAGCTGCAGAGGAAATAAAATGTGGATTGTGCAGTCTTATTACCTAAACACATATGTGAAAATCTTATGGTCTTCAAAAAGCAGCGCAGAGCTGCCACCGTGTGTTCAGCTGGTGCCACTGCACATGGGAGTCAGAAACCAGCTCCATCAACTGCTAGCAGAATTAATGCTTATATGTGTTGGCATGCACTGAGAGAAAACAGGACCTGAGCTGCTGGGGCGTCTGAACACTGATGTCCTTGACTTTTTAAAAAACGCTGCTGAGGCAGTCTGCTTCCCTGCAGACAGAAATAAAAGCCAACATGCCAATCTCCAGTTCAGCTATGCTTTTCAAAGTCACGGTTCAAAGGAGACATATTATACAAGTTTTTGTTGTTATGAGGGTCTCTCCTGCCTCTATAAACACTCCAAAAGTAAAAAAAAAACATTCATCTTTTTTTCTGTTAATGTTTGGTTTAGGAATAACATGCTTAAAAAAAGCTGTTTTTAAAAAATCCCAATTTGTGACGCCACGAACAAGGAAATTAGAATTGGACCACCATGTGCAAGAGAGTTGCTGATGGGGGAGCAGCGTCTCTACACCAAGCCCCTCCGGGTTATCAGAGCTTCTCAGCTTATAGCAGCCTAAGGCCCAGTCCCAATACCCACACTTCCACCCTTCAAGTGCACAATTCCATCCAGGGATGCAAGTGCGTTCCGATCATCAAGTGCGGAAGTTGATCACACCTCTTTTTACACCCTTGAGCCGCACTACGCCCAAGTCCACATACATGCAGTCATTGGTGAAGGGTATTACCCACAATCCATTGCTGCATGGGAATTTTGAAAAGGCAAAGCAATAGCTCAAGTGCTTTTTCTGAAAATGTGAATTTTATGTTTATGTTTATTCATTTAGCAGACGCTTTCATCCAAAGCGACTTACAATTCATAACCTATAGGGCATGTTGTGATCTGTGGGGGAAACCGGAGTACCCGGAGGAAACCCACGCATGCATGGGGAGAACACGCAACTCCACGCAGAAAGGCCGCAGCAGAGTTTCGAACCTTAAATCTTCGTGCTGCGAAGCAACAGTGCTAACCACTGCGCCACCATGCAGCCCATTTTCAATTGAAAAACGTTCATTTTAGGACGATTAATACTTTTTCATGCTCTGAATATTTGACTAAGATTTAATTCAGACAGCATTGAAAGTAAATTTTGTCAAATAATTGTAAGTTGCCGATTAAACATTTGTTTTATAAAAGAAACAAACAGCGACCAGCATCCCAGCATGCATCGCGGTCGATGATGCAATTCTCCGTCCCAATTCGGACATCGATTGCACACTTGTATAATACGCACTCAACCCCTTACTGCACACTTCCTTTCATAGCGCGCTGTGCAAGTATTGGGATTAGGCCTAAGTGGGTGGGCGTGGCCAGCTCCAACATTTTTCGTGTAAGTGACAAAACCCTGAAGCATCTCATTCTGGAAGGTACCGATTCAGGTAAGAATGAAACTGCTGAAACTGAGTAATGCGAGAGGGATTTAGTGCAAAAAATGTAATAACTTCATGTCCCCTTTAAAGCAAAGTTGCTTTTTAACTATTAAGACTGTTTTAAAGCAGGTATGAAGTTTTACTAAAAAAGGTCAAATGAATCAGATGTGGGACGGAAAGAGAAAACGCTCAGCAGAACTGCTTTTCCATGTTTTTTATAGTCTGTGGAATATAAATTTGCTTGGACGTAGTTATCCAAACAGATTTATATTCTAGAGAAACAAAACATCTCACTTGACATGTTGCTAGGGATTAAGGGGTGGTGAAGTTCCTTCATTCCGCTGGAGAAAAATGGTATTTATGGAGGAGCAGAACCAACACATTACACACAAATTAGAACAAGCCATTTATTCGTTTTCCTGGAAGAGACACATATTTGAAGGCCTGTTCAGGCCAGCTGGTGCTGACACATTGTTGACGTTTCACGTGTGTGGAACTCAGTTGGTATTCAAAATATCTGCATGAGTCCCGCTCCGGCCACAGTACCCACACAGAGGAAGAAGCAGAATGTCCTTCAACACAGAGGACAACTGGTGACAGATTTATTCTGAAACGTTACAAGACCGATTGCACGAAACAGTCTGATTTTAGAAAATTAGCCATCGTCTTTGCTTCTTGCTCTAAAGCAGAAGTGGCAAACTCCTGTTGGTTCAGCTGCAACAGCAACTATTAGTCACATCCACCAGAGTCCAGTCTTTAATGATCCAGAGGTGGAAACAGTGTGGATCATGTTATGCTTGGATGGTGCTCTTGGCGCTAAAGGCCAGGTAATAGACCAAGATACCAATCAGGGCAGCCACCACCTCAGTTGAGACCCACGGGCCGTTCCACGCTCCCTGGAATGAGAGTTTTGGAGCAATTGAAGCCATAATAAATATCAGAAAAAGTATTCAGATTTTATTATTTCAGAATATGCACAGCTTTGGAAACTGGAATTTAAAACTCTTAAACACTAATAAGCTCAACCATATTATGATACATGAATTTAAAACAAACTGTTTTTATAAAACCAAGTTTCTATTTGGAAAAAAATGTGTATACAAAACCTTACCCAGGTTTCTTTATCATTTAATAGTTTATCTTTACATTCTTTCTGGCATCAACCAAGAAAATAGAGTGCACATTTTAAATAGATATTTTCACTTGGCACAACTTCATATTTAAACTGATCTCAGATCAGTCACAAAATGATGCTTCCTGGGGCTCTTTATTACGTTTAACTCAACGCAGTAGCTCAACAGGTAGAGCGGGTTGTCCAGTAATTGGAAGGTTGCAGGTTTGATCCCGGCTCCAGACAGAGAATTCTGCTATTGTGTTCTTGGGCAAGACACTTAACACACCTTGCCAGCTGGTGGTGGTCGGAGGGACCGGTGGCACCTGTGCTTGGCAGCCTCGCCTCTGTCAGTGCGCCCCAGGGCAGCTGTGGCTACATCGTAGCTCATCACCATCAGTGTGTGAATGTGTGTGTGAATGGATGAATGATACACTGTAGTGTAAAGCGCTTTGGAGTCCTTACTCTGAGAGGCGCTACACAAGTGCAGGTCATTAATCATTACATGGCTCTTCAGCTGATGAACAGGACTTTATGTGTTTACTAAACAATCATTGCATCATGGTTAAGACTCACCCTGTGGTCAATGTTAACAGAGAACAGAGGCTGGATGGCATTTATGTCTTCATTGTTTCTCTGAGCCTGGAACAAATGGAATTTATTATTAAAATATATTTACTCATAAAAAAAAAGTCCCATAAGGTTTCAGCTGATCAAATAACAGAAACAAACCTTGCGCAGAGCACTGTAGGACTCCTCATCGAAGAATTTGACCTGATAGCTTCCAGAAGTGGCTTGTTTGTGAGGAAGACTCCAGGACACCTGAAAGAAGGGAGACATTAAGCACTTGTACACTAAAGTGATTTAACACCTACTATTTTAGCTTTAGCTGATATAGAAACATTTAAACACTGAGCCCATACCTGATATTTGCCAACATCCTGACCTCTAGTCACAGGAAACTGTCTTCCGTTGACATCTGCATACAGGGTGACGCTCTGAGAAGGACAAGGATCACGAACATTGGTCCCTTCGTGAAGCAGCATGTTTAATTTAGCAGGTGTTGGAGGTGGACTGGTACCTGGGCTCCGTTGGCACAGGTCAGACTGAGCTCAACGATGAAGACCGACTCTGAGGAGATGACTGCGTCCGACGTGGTGTAGGCCGACGGGGTGATGACTGGGTCTGTGCAGCTCTCTCCTGTCACCACAGGAAGTAATATTCAGATTAGACATAATCCGTGACACCATCACTTCGGCTTTAACACATAAACATGTTTCAGAGAGACTTAAGCGAGCAGCAGATATCGAACGTACTAGTTAGCTTAAATGCTAACAGAACAAATCAAACCTGCTCTAAACCCGCTGGTTCTCCGCACACCTACCCAAGCAGGAGACCGCCAGCAGCGACAGAAAAGCAGCTACCCGAACTATCATGGTGTCGGATGTGTTTGGTAATATTCTTGAGGTACGGTGATTGAGTTGCTGTACTTCTTTCACACTGCCTTGAATAAAGGAAGTACAGCTCAGCGCTAAAACCCTAGTGCGCATGCGCTGCAGCTACGTGGACTGAAGTGTCGCAAAGGGTTGTGGGAAACTACATCGTGGACACGTCATCCAAAGATGAAAACAAAGCCATTGAACACATTTCCCGCTGCCTTTAACTCCTCGCTGTTCTTTAAAATGTAATTGAATGCATTACTTTTCTTTTAAATGCATGCTGTTTGTTATCACTACAAAACCTATAATCTCAATACAAACATATGACTTGTATTTATATTAATCTAGTCTTATAGTTTCTTTAATTTGTACTGATTGTAGCTATTCATAGACGAGACTGCACCTTAAAATGACTTCCTATAATTTTGTTATTACTGACGAACCCCCGTTGACACATTCAGCTTTATTCTAAGAACTTACCTTCAGTGATATACATAATTAAACTTTGCAGGAATGTTGTAGCTGCTGAAGACTGAACAGTTTAAAATTGTATTCAGGAGAAGTTATACTTTCTGGTTGATGTCAGGTGAAATGAGACAAATACAAAATTTTGAACGTTTCTATTGAAAGAAAAAACATTAATGGAACAAAATTTCTTTAGGAAAAAAAGGCTAATATAAGCAAGTTCATCCAATAATCTATTTTCCTCCGCTTATTTTGGGTCAGATTGTGGGGCAGCAGCCTAAGGAAAGGGGCCCAGACTTCTCTCTCCCCAACCACTTGGGCCAGCTCCTCTCGAAAAATTCCGAGGCGTTCCCAGACCTTCCAGCTCAGCTCTCTTTACCACGACTGACTGGTAAAACGCCAGCATCACTGCAGACACAGTACTTATCTATCTCACATGCTCTTTCCCTCATTCATGAACAAGACACCTAGATACTTAAACTCCTCCACTTGAGAATCTCATCCCTGACCTTGAGAAGACATTCTACCATGGTCTCGGATGTAGAGGAGCTGATTCCCATCCCATCAGCTGCAAACCGCACCATCGAAAGCTGGAGGTCATGATCTGATGAAGCCAACAAGACCACATCATTTGCAAAAAGCAAAGACCTGATTCTTAGGCAACCAAAACAGATCCCCTGAACACCTTGGCTGTGCCTAGAAATCCTGGTCATAATAGTTATGAACAGAATCGGTGACAGAGGGCAGCCTTGGCGGAGCCCGACTTACTGCTGGCAATGTGAACCAAGCTTTGGCACCAGTCATGCAGGAACCTGTATCAAAGGGCCTGGTTCTCCATGCTCCCAGAATACCCCGCCCAGGGCAACATGTGATTCACTGAAATGAATGCAAGGTTAAAGGGTCTTTGGGGGAAAGAACAACAGTTGATAATCAATAAAATGCTCAGGTGAGAAAAAAAGAAATGCATAAAATATAAAAGTGCGTGTCCATTTTAAATAATATCTGAGAAAATTAGAAATTTATTTATGTATGTACAAAGAAAAGGGGTGAAACATGTAAAATAATTTACACCATTCCTCACAGCCACAATGTTCACAGTTTTCAGAAATGTAACATTCTTATTGAGAAACTTAAAATCGTGTGCTCAAAGATCTGCACGTAACCCTAAAAATAAAAATAAAAAATCAAATACATTGTCTCCAGTTCTGAGATAAAAACAAACATCCATGCATGTTGAGTAAAATCAGTTTTCATATCTTACTGCATGTTAGTTATTCTGGAAATTTTTTGTGAAAATAAGAACCAAGGGGCTTTTGAGGGAGAAGGCATTCAAAGAGAATAATCCTCATGGGGGAAGAGACTACGGGTCAGCGATTTCAGTTTTGTAGACACTGATGTGCTGAAAGCTTCTGTCAGAGCCCTTCGGACAGTCCTCAGTTTTCATCAGCATCTTCTCTCTCTCCCTTTTCATGTGGTGTGCTGAAGCAGGTCCTCTCACTCCAGTGGATCTGCTGCTCTAAAAAGCCCAGCTCATCTCCCCTTCCAGCCCTCCCACTTCCCTTTTTTCTGTTGAGCTTGAGCAGAAGGTGTCGAGACGGAGGAGGGTTCCTGCGGTGCTCGCCGTAAAAGAAGTTCCTTGAAGACCAACTCCATCTGGCGACAGACCGCCTTTAATAGGAGATGGACAGATGTGATGAGAGGGAAAACAGAACGGTCCTTGTTCTTTGAACTTGTCGTTATTCAACAGTGAGTTCTAGCGTATTTATCGGCTCAGAAACAGACATCTGATAGATCTACACATTCACCATCAACCCACTGATATTTTACAAATGTTTTCTTCTTTACAACCTTAAACTGAGTAATAATAAAAACAAAACCAATTTCTGGACAGACCTTGTCCACATGTTTGAGAATGTCCTCTGAGGATGTAGGTTGTCGAGTTCTGAACGTCAAAAGAGAAATCAGAATAAAAAATTATGTTCCTTTTAAAAAGGAACACAGCAGACTGAAACTGAACTAATAAAAATGAATGCGGACATATGCACCTACAATTAGCTTTGTGTTAAATTTTTAATGTAAATCAAATAATACATAAAGTCATCCCCAAATCAACTTTTTTTGCTGATAAACCAAATAACCAAGTGTCTAATCGTGCTGTAGACACGTGTAGTCAATAATTTGGCACTTCAGTGCATCTTAGTTTTGGGCAGAATATTTAAATTTTAACTATCAGTGTTGCACCCTCTTCAGGTAAAAATAAAAAGCTTGGTACTAGGGATGACCTAGGGATCAGGTTTTTTTTTTACCCTCGAGTCCGAGTCATTTGATTTTGAGAATCTGCTGATACCGAGTCCCGATCTGATACTTTCGATACATAAAAAAAAAACCGTTCCAGAATGTTCCTTATTTTTTATTTAATTAACTTTTAACAACAGATCACTTCTGTGAGGTAGCTTGAACAATCAAGTAATAAATAACAAATTCTTCACTTTTGGACTTTATTGCAAATATCAAAAGTCTAATATAAAAAACAACACTTAAACTTAAAATACCTGGCAGGGGTCCATTTTGCCTCGGCCCCCAAAATGCTTAGATACGTCCCTGGGCATGGGACGGAGTTTTGAAGATGATCTGAATTGTATCAACTATATAAATACTACATGCTGATAAATTATTGCTTTATACAGGCACAAACGTGTAGTGGGATAAATCTACCTACATTTTATTTTGTTAAGAACTTTGTTTTGTTTTCTTGGTTTTTATTTTACTATCTTCCTGTCCTGTCTGTCTCTGATCTTCCTGCATCTCCTAGTCCTCCAGAAAAACTGCCTGCTTCCTTCTTTTTCACCTCACAAGTAACTTTTTAACTAGCAGATCAAATTGATCTATTGACCGCAAAAAAAGGAGTGTGCGCTGCGCTGCCCGGCTGCGCCATGACGAGCGCTGCAGCAGGGGCAGCGCGAGCGCGTCCACACGTTATGCTCAAATACAAACAGAACTTACCAGAGAGAAAATGAACGGACATGAATGACTGTGTTAATTATATATTTTTTGGTGACGCCACTTAGAAACTTAGAAAATGTTACTGTGGCCGTGTGCAGAACACAGCTGGAGTTCATGAATAAACAGCGGTCTGCTGCATCTCTGCTCAAAAGAATCCCTGCTACGCTGAGTCCATATAGAAACTGGATCTTTTTTGGGCTCCTTCTGGGTGTGCAAGTTAAGGGCATCAGGGGAGCTTGACAACCTTTAAGGAGAACCAAGTTGCTCTCTTGTAATTTGAACCCAGTATCCGAGTCCGGATCAGGGCTTGGACCGGGAAGTAAAGCGTGATCGGGGCCGATTTCTGATCATGTGATCGGATTGGGACATCCCTACTTGGTACAATATGATGTCACAGTGCTGCTGCTGCTGTGTGTGTGTGTGTGTGTGTGTGTGTGTGTGTGTGTGTGTGTGTGTTAGCATCTCCGCCCTCTCGGTCTGCATTTGTTGCAGGAAACAGGAAGTGGGAGTGGATTAAGACTTACTACACAAATGCTGTTGCCTGGCAGACCGAGAGGGCGGAGCCACTAGCAAGTACACACAACATTCTGACATCATAATGTACCAAGCTAATGTCATAGTGTACCTCTTAGCCAATAGCGATGGCAGATTAAAATTCAAATGCAGTGCAGAGATTTTACCTGAAGAGGGTGCAACACTGAGTTTGGGCAGAATATTTAAGTTTTAACCAAGATGCACTTAAGTGCCACATTATTGACTACACATGTCTACAGCATCATTAGACATTCATTTATATAGTTAATCAGCAAAAAATGTTGATTTGGGGGCAACTTGCTCAGGTGCAGTGGTCTCTAGTAGGAATGCATGCTTTGAAACACCCGTTTTAACTTTTATAACTCACCACACTCTCATTTTATCCATTCCTTTTCCTCTAATAAGTTTATGTCTAAAATGTTGCATTGAAGAAGTTAATTATACAAATTATTCGTACATTTCATATTGATTCACTGTTTGTAGCTGAATTTACCTGTTTCTGTTTGTACACTTTCATTATGCAATGCAACACTTTTTGCATGTTAGCTGCTTACCATAGCCATAACAGCCTAGCTTATCACTAAAATCATTTAAAACTGGTGACACACTTCAAATTTAGAAAAATGTAGAATATTATCGATAAGAAATTATAATTTAATTAATAGGAAATTCCTCAGATTTGTTATTTATGTTCATATTATTTAAGTCTGTGTACCGATCAGTCCGTTTTACTTACTCTCTGCGCATAAAACTAGGGGAAAGTGGTTTCCTCAGCTTGCTTGGTGGCATGATGGGGATCTGGAGATTGCTCTTTGCAGCTGAGGGGGCGCCGCCCCCTGCTGCTCTTCTACTGTGATCCAGTGCATCGCTGCTATTGGCTTGTGGGCATTCTGCCTTCATCTGTGCAGCAAGCACAGAAACAGCTGTACCATTCGCAGGTGTGAACCTCATTTCCAAATCTATAACCAGAACAAGTTATTCATTAGTCTGAGACTCTTTGGCTTCAGATTTGAAGAGTCAAATAAAAGCTCCTAATCTTACCATCTTTGCTAAAGGTGAGCTCTGCTTCTACTTCCCCTTCCTCAATTAAAGCCTCACTGTAAACAAGTGAACCACAGATGATCTCATTACAATATGCATTGTCCACATGTTATGTAGATGTTTCCTTCTGAGGTTAAACCTATTAGCTTACCTGTCGTCCTGCTCCAGAGACATACACTTCTCATACACCGGTCCTGGCACTTCACTCTGACTGGGGAAGATGCTTTCATGTTGGATGATGATGCTCTTCACCAGGGCATTGATCTGAGGCTGCAGGGTCACGACATCATCGTCCTGCTCGCCCCTCACCAAGCTTGGGCCAAAACACACAGCCAAGTTGTAAGGCTGCATCATGTTCTCGTCACTGTACTGAGACACACTGGTGACCAGAAGACATGGGATCAGTTTACTTAATGAAAATGTTTTATCTTCTCTTTATAAATGCAAACACAATAACTTCTCTTATTTCAGCCAAAAGTTTTACAATTATATTTTTTATGACTCCGTCAAAAGAAAAAAAAATAAAGTTATTGTGCTACCCTTAGGAGATTGTGAAATATTCATGAAGTTTTTTTTATTTCAGTTAAGAGTTTGCTAAATTTGGAATTTTTTGGTCCTCTAGCTTGATAATTTACAGGAAAACAGGTCAAGTTGCAAACTATAAAAACTGATTCCTAGAACAAAAGTTAAAAAAAACCATTGTAATGAAGTTCAAAAAAGTACAGGCACGACTGAAAGTTGAGTAATATCTTGCAATATTTTATTATTCATTTAATGGTATTTTTGCTCCAATTGTAATTAAAACTGCAAAGAAAAAGAATGTTTTTCTCCTTGGTGAAAAACATTCATATGTTCAGTTAATTAGTACGTGTGCACAGGGGTGCAGATAGGATTTTCAAACTGGGGGGGGGGGGGGGGGGAACAACGTTCCAATGTACCCCCCCCCCCCCCCCACACACACACACACACAAAAGCCTTAACTAGAGCTCAGTCAGTTTGTGTAATTTCATCCAATGGTTTACGTAAAAACTAACTTTTATATTCGTGTTTGAAACCATTATGCAGTGGAACGCTGGCAACAAAGCTCTGCCTGATCAACACTATCCAAGTCAGTCATTTGTTATTCTCCCAATCAATTACTAACCAAAACCTCATGTTTTATGCAAAACATTAAAAGATTTTCAGCATACCAATCTTTACAGAAAACATAAAAGCCCCAAAAAACTGCACATAATATAATACGATATTCTCTTATCACTTAGAGCAGTAGTTCCCAAACTTTTCAGCCTGACCAACAGATTTTCCTTCGTATTTTCACGGTATTTAGAAATTTTCATGATATTTGGAAAGTTTTAATTTAGATATTAAAACAGAGAAGTAGGTCTTTAAAATATAAATATATGAAAACATGACAAGAGAATAATACTTGTAAAACGTGTTTTAGCTCCGTTTGTTGGCTACAGAAGCACATTCATAATCTAGAAAGGTAAAGTCGCCATCTTAAAAAAAATGGATTGGGAGACTATTTGTGTGATATGCTTGTCAGCCACTCGATGGTGCCATCGGATAAGAGAAATACTCCGGAAAGACTAAGTGACGTGTATCAGGCGTTTCAAATCCTACATCTACTTTCTATCAGAAGCTAATGCAGGAGATAGGTGTAGGAGACTATTTTCATGTTCAGCCTGTATGAAACACTCAGGGTGATTGATTATAATCAGAAATACATAGAAAAAAGGATTTTTCAGTGAACCACACCATTAATACAACTCAGCTCTTACATGATTCATTTTCAAAATTCCCTTCTTCAAACAACAAACCTTTATTATGATCATTTATAATAACCGTTTTATTTCATCCCTTACATTTTTATAAGAAGTAAATAAAATGTTTTACCTCAGCTAACAGCATCAAGTCTCAACAACATAATCCTGAAAAAAGTTGTTGTTTTTAATTAAACTTTATTGTGCAAAATGAGTAGTTAGAGTACTCACTGATGAAGGAATGCGAAGAGGTATCTCATGACGATAATAATGGGCTCTGGGTACGAAGAGATGACCGCCTTTAGCTGAGCTGCCCTCTCTGCCTCATTACTTAGATCTAAAGAAACATGATGATGAAAGATAAGCTGATGCAAAACACACACACACACACACACACACACACACACACACACACACACACACACACACACACACACACACACACACACACACACACACACACACACACACACACACACACACACACACACACACACACACACACACACACACACACACACACACACACACACACACACACACACACACACACACACACACACACACACACACACACACACACACACACACACACACACACACACACACACACACACACACACACACACACACACACACACACACACACACACACACACACACACACACACACACACACACACACACACACACACACACACACACACACACACACACACACACACACACACACACACACACACGTGCGTGTTCAAGGAGCTGATTGGTGCTGCTGATGGGAAAGAGCGGAGTCTTCAGACATCTGAAGTAGAGCTTCAGGACTCCAGCCACAGAGTCCAGATCATATTTCTGACCAGCCAAAGGGTCGTTACCTGCAGGGGAGACCACAGCACACTGCCTCGCTTTATTTATGCTCTACAGAGAGAAAAGCTGGAAACACCAGCTGCTCACTCACAAACACACCTTGCTCAAATGCATCTTTCAGGCTGTTGACATCCATCTGAGATCCTGGTACCCTAAAAATCCCCTCATGATGGAGACCTGATGAAAAAACAACCATGTATTCATTAGTCCATTAAAACTGAATGATCAAGATCTCTGCTGAACAAACAAACAGCTTCTGCGTCTGAGGAATACTCACCGTAAAGGTTTATGAATCGAATGCAACTTTCCACTACAAATGGAATCTGTTGACCCGATTCCTGAATGAAAGAAGTTGGGATTTTAGGTTTAATCCAGAATAGGTTCATAAACATCATCTAACGGAGAGAAAAATCTTGTTTTATCCAATACCAGCTTAGTGTAAGGAGTATGGTGGCTACCTGAATGAAGGACAGCATATCTCCACTGAAAAGTTTATGGTTGTGCAACAAACTGGAACTTGAAGGATTCTTTTTGATTCGAGACCTCAAAGAATTCCTGAAGAACACAATGAAAAAGTTTTTTTTCCAGAACTGAGTCATTATGGCATCTCACTTTTTAGATGGTGCGGATTGTGATTTTTTTTTAACCCTCTGATGCATGAATTATGAAATCTTCAACCATGATTTTTTAAACAATTTTTTTCATTCATCTTTAGGTGTGAATGAAACAAATTTCAACAAATATTTTTTGTACCATTTTGTTAATTTACAAATAATTTATTACATGTCCATCTCAGTGTACAACGTGCATTCTGAACATGAAATATGGTGGCTTGACTAACTGAAGTCCAAATGGAGGGGCTCACATGCAATAAAGTCTTCAACAGCTGTGCTTAATAGCAAAAATAAAGAAATAACAATTTTGAGTACCTGTCCACTGTAGTGACCATTATGCATCAAAGGGTTAAATTAAACAGCTCGTCATCTTTTTTGAATTATTTGGGAAATTGCAGTAAACAACTCCAAAGGTAATCAGAATCCAGGTAAACTGCTATAAAACAAAAGTACCAAAACAAAAGTTGGGTGAATACATTTCCTTGTAAATGCCTCAAGAGCCTGTGTGAGTCAGATCTTATACATTTTATTTTCTAATATTATATTTAATAAATTTTGAGCCTAAATATGGAATTGTAATATAGTTTGAATGCTTTGACATTTAACTGTTATTTAAAAGTGCATTATTTTACAAATCAACACCCCATAGTCTGATGAATAATCCTAATTTATTTATTTATTTATTTTTATCTGATGTACACCAAGCAAGCCTTTGTACACTGGTATGTGGGTTCTGGTTTCAGTACGAGTTCCAGTTGGTGGCGAGGTAAAGCTCTCAGCCATATTGGAATCTTTGAGGCTTTGCGTGAGCTGTTTGTCTTCTTGGGTCGTTTTTTTATTTATTTATTTTTTTATTAAAACATTTCACAGATAATAGGAGGGCCTTTATAGTCAAAAATATTTAATTTGTAACCTTTTTCAGAGTTGAACATTGCAGAGGTGAGAGGTTTCCTCTGAATGAAGGTGTTTATTGAGCTTTGATCCTAAAGACAAAATATTGAGTCCTGATCTGCATAATAAACACTCCTCTGTTTCCTTCCTTCTGTGATCTGATCCTGCTGAAACGAATGCAGAACGAGTTTCCCTCTGACACGTTTGTGTTCGTTTCAAACACATTAACTCAAGAGTATTTAATTTTTTTTACCCCCTGTCCTGTCTGGCTGTGAAGCAAACAGAATTAATGTCTGAATGCTGGTGACAAGCCTTACAGATTTACTCAGGTGGAGCATCAAAGCTTCTGTTGTTAATGCCACGCCTGATACTTAATAACTTTATTGCTATTGTTTTTTGAATGCTTGCATTTCCGACCAGACACGGAGACAGAGGTGAAAGAGAAAGGAAAAGATAAAAGGAAGGGGGGTTCCACAAAGATTAACAATCAATGATGAACAGGGGTCTGCTTCTAGACCTGCAGAAAAAGGACACACAACAATACAACAGGAGCAAGCTATCACTGCGTCAGCTTGATGAGAAAATATAAAATCAACCTTGTTTTACTGAACAATCACACAATAATAAAATCACAGTGCATTTAGTGCCAACCACAGCCTTAAGACATGTGAGCGTGCCCAAGTCCATACTTATGAGAGCACCATGTGAGCACCTGTGTGTACACGTGCATGTATATGTAAGGTTTCTCTATAGGAGCGTCCAATAGGTTTCTCTATTAGAGCATCCAAGAGTCTGAGGGGCCACAGATCCGCCCCCCAAAGATGTGTAGGAGATGGAAGGAGCTCCAAGTACCAGAGATCCAGGAGCTGCCCCAGAGCACAGGGACCCCAGGGAGATTGCAACCAGAAAAGCCCCAGCCCTCCTCAAGAGGTGCAGAGGATTGCCCCGGGGGGCCACATCCAGCAGCTGGCAGAGCCCCGGGAGATATCAGCGGCAAGCCCACAGGCCCGCCCACAGCCTCCCACCCCCCAGCCGGCCGAGCACGGAACCCAGTGACCCGGGACCCAGGTGCAACCAGCCCCGCCGGGGACCCAGGGACCTAGACTCCACCAGGCGGCCACCGGGATTTATAAGGCAAACACCAAAAATCTTAAACCCCCTGACCTGGGAGCTGCGAACACTCAGACAGATCAAGGCGCCACAGTCCACACCAAGTGTGGCAGGGGGAGGGGAGGCGAAGATGTATAGCATCAAAAGAAGTCCCAGGAGAGGGGAGGAGTCAAAAGCCCAACCTGACATATACATTCATACACAGACACAGTCACACACATGCTCACACATACACACCCCTTTTACTCTGGTCCCAGTACTGCTGCACAAAGGGTACAACCATCACCGGATCCCAGAGTTCAACCCTTTCTGCTGGGGTGCTGATGAGCAGGCTCCCCCGCCCAACGATGAGCAAAGCAACCCATCACCCCAGACCCCAACCAGATGGCCAGATCCCCCTCCTAGCCTCCAGCCCCAGGAAGCCAAGCGACAGAGGTGTGCTAAGACCCCTAGTCTCCCTCCGCCTGCTCCAACACAGTGTTGATGCATGTTGATGAGGTGTATTCCATGGCTGTGGTGAGCGGGCAGTGCAGGCATCGTCTGGCCTACACCAGCTGATGCCACCACACCACCCCACTTACACCCATAGCCCTCTGTGTTTAATGGGCCATTCCCATCTGTACCGGGTCGGCCCGGGCCGGCTAGCGTAGGTTGTTTACATATCTGGGTGGTCTGGTATTTTTCAGGGCCAACCAAGGCTCATTCTCAGCCCTCTTCTCGAGGGGGTCTGCTTCAGGCCGACCAGGGCCAACACACCCACTGCTGACAGCAAATTCACACCTTCCATTAGAGTAAGCCTCTGATTGGTGGGTAGAATCAGCCCATATGGGCTTAAGGCAAGGATGTGTGGAATCAACCAGGCCAGGCTGGGGCCGACTGGGGCTACCCGGCCTGGGCCGACCCGGTACAGATGGGAATGGCCCATAAGTGCAGTTTAAAATTGGAAGTGGGCACCGGCACTCGGGACGAGGCTGAAAAATCCCCTTGCCAAATGCCATTGAATGTGCTCACTCCCAAGGCCCTAAGTGTGTGTTTGTGTGGAAGTCGTTTGGGGGCAGGTTGCCACAGGAATGTGGAAATGGGGTCCATACCCGCACCCCCTGACTTGTCCACCCCCCAAGGTTCTAGGTGGATGTTTGCGTGATGATGTGAGGAAGCAGAAGGAGAAAAATGTGTAGGGATGGGGAGCAATGGCTGGTTGGCCTAAGCCCTCCAGGGAGCCAGCTCCCCCACTGGCCCCAATAGGCACCTCCGTTGTCAAAATACCACCCCAGGGCAAGGAGCCAAGATCTACCTGAGGCCCCTGAGCCCAGGTCAGGCACTGCTGTATGTTCAGCCTTCTTCCCGGCAGCATACATATCAGGACCCGACCCCCAAGGCCCCGCCCAGATCCCCACACGGGGCCGGCCACCCCCACACCCCGAAGCCCCCACCCAGACCTACTCAGGTGTAATGCAGCTGCCAGGCAGCAACCCATGGCCACCACCAAGACCCCCAAGGGGCCCCACTCACAACTGCCAGTAGTCCCCCCCCCCCCCCCCCCCCCAGGCATTCCAAGCACCTCCAGAGGGAGGCAGCAGCCCCCCCAGTCCCAGATAACCCCAGTGAACCCATCTCCAGGGAACGTCCGGATACTCCAAACTCAGACCCTCCACCCCATCACCCACATCATCCCGCAGGACAATATCAATCTACCCCATCATCGCTATGTGATGGAACCGATCAAAGGAGCCTAAAGAGATGGACTTGAAGTGGAAGCAGAGTATAATCATAATTTTTACCTGGGCTTGCGTTCATTTGATGCTTCTGCAGGAAGAAATGAAAAGGTTAGACACAACAGAGAACCAAGTAGAAAAGGTATCTGACATTCTATCAGCTGTTTAAAAGAAAAAGGAACAAAACTGTCTTTTAATGTAACACGCCGCTGTGTTGTACGTTTTTTTATGTAAATGACACTTTGCTTTGTTACTGCAGGCTGCTTTGTGATATGGTCACGTGAGAATTGCAGAAGTCATACCTTTTTCCACAGCCTCTTTAAGCAGGTCATGTTTGGCTTGGAGTTTCGACTCCAGCGAGCTGCCGACGAGGAACTCTTTCACTCTCTGCAAAACAAATAAAATCCATCAGTCTGGAATTCCTTTGAAGAGTGAACTTTTGGGATTTCTCAGACCCAACCGTGAAGTAGAGGTTTTCTATTTCCTGCAGGTTGGCCCTGCGCCGGGTCCCGTTGGGTCTGAGGCTTAGATTCTCATTGCTGCCCTCCTGAGGCTGGCCACTGCCACTGTTGGACTCCAGATCATCATCACTGATCCCCTCCAGCAGGGACGACCTAGCTGCTGACATGCTTGTGCGAGCCTGCATGAAAGTGGGAATAAAAGAATATGCAGAGGCGTTTTGACCTGATAGATTGGGGAGGAGTTCAGGTGCATCAGAGACGGCTGCATTCCACGTTTGCAGTTGTGCACGTTGGTTTTAAAAGTAGTTAAAAGTAATAATTCTTCTAAATGCAAAACAGCCCTCATTTGTGAGAAATAGACCTAGACCTACATGAACCACATTTCCAAGTTAGTAAATCAAAAACACCAATAATGATCTAATCCCGCTTTTCAGTTCAGACAAAAACATCGTGTACAGAACTATTACTGACAGGATGAGATGTTCTTTACCTCTCCGGATTCCTGCGTGACCGCCTTCATTCGGGTTTGTATCTGTTTGAATCTGGTCTCCATCTCACACCTCGTTTCGCTCTCTATGCCGACTTCAGAAATCTGCCAGACACAAGGAAATCTTGTGCCTGGAATAGTAAAGAATAGATAAAAAAAAAGTATGTTTTGATAAAGAGACACACCTGATCCCCTTCATGGGGCTGATAGGGGAAGCGAAGGGGCATGGAGAAGGTGCTGTAGTGCTCCTGCAGGAGGGCGTCTCTGTCTCGGCCCTGGTCTAGTTCACTCACGGCTTCCTGGAGCGGCTCCAGACCTGTGCTCACCTTCTGCTGGGTTGTCACCCGACGAGACAGGTAGGCCTGCATCACCCGGCCCAATGTTAGGTGGTACCCCACATCTGCGCACTGAGGGATATCATGCCAAAGTTCATGGAGCTATTTTATTATAAAAGTAAGAAAAAGAGTTGCAAACTGATGGTCTTACATCTATGAGGGTAGAGATGTCCTGGAGGAAGTATTTATTCATGGAGGAATTAGCTGCAGCCAGGTTCAAGAGGTAATCATTTCTGGCTTTGCTGCACTTTAGTTGGATCTCTTGAACTTTAATTTGTCTCTGCAAAATATGAAAATAATATCAGCAAGGATTCAAACAACAACAGCATGCATACTCACATTTCAGCAGAATAAAGATTATTCACTTTTTCTATCAACCTCTCCAGTTTTTTAGAGTTGCTCTGCTTCTGCTTTTCCTCCTGTTTCTCTGCCTCTCTCAACTTCCCCTCCGCACACACAAACTCAGAGTGGTACTGGAAGTACGTCCGCCATGCCTGAACAAAAACTTCTTTTATTTAGATGTTTTAGAACATAAACAATGTTCTGGTGATGAGTTTCTCTCTTACAGTCAGCAGCTCAGTGGTGACCTTGAGTAGACCGTCCTGCAGCTGAGAGCAGAGATCTTTGCTCTGCAGAGACAAAACACAGTGAGCCTCGGTGGGTTCAATGCCAAACGAACATTGGTTTTAGTGTTGCACCTTTTTAGCAAGGCGCTGTGTGTATTCTAGACAGTGTATGATGGGCTGGACCAGAAGGTTGCTGCAGCTTTCACCAAGTCTACAGTGGTCCCTGCTTTCCTGGCGGGTCTGAGACAAAAGAGCCACCCAGACTTGGGACACAGAGTGATTACCGGGGTCCTTCCTGAAGAGAAATGCATCAAGAAAAATGCAATAAAGTATGAAAATAAACATGTATACAAAGACTTCCAATCCCATCACCTCTTTATCTTCAGAGTGAACCGTTCAGCAAGCCTCTCCAGGGAGCGGGCGTACTCGTTCTCGATCTCCCCTCGTCGCCTCAGGTAGTCAGTCATGTCTTGCAGCTGCTGGGTCTTTTGCTCGAGTTGCAAATCTAAAACCTTTAGCTGGTCTACAAGCTGGCAACGTACCTCTGAAAGTTCAAACAGTGGAGGAGAGGAAAACTGTCAAGACCAACGGCAAGCCTGACTCATTCAGAACTTTTTGTTGCAGGGCGAGAAAGTTAATTTGCAACATTTCCCACACAACAGCCTGCTGATGACAGTCGGTGTGATAAAGGGGAGGGGGTGGTGGGGGGGTGAAAACGGCACAGATGGGAACTTCTACCTCTTATTTGTGTGTCGTAGTCCATCGTACCGACCCTCTCCTTCCGATGTTTGGCGTGAGAACTCATTGTTGCTCCAGCAGGGTGGAATCCTGTGGGGGTGAAATGACTGAATCAAAATGTAAGAATTAAAAACAAGCTTTGTTCCTTTTGTTTATCTCACAACATGGACACAATGCGGTTTTTGTGGATGCAATCAGCTCTGGTCACACTCCTGGACAGGGTCTCCTAACAAAAGCCAAAGCCTGCAACCCACTGGTGCACACACACACACACACACACAACTGCTTTTCACACACTTTCATGCTCCAAACTCCCCCAGCCACAACAACTTCCTCCTATCAGAGAGAAAGATCAAAAAGTGTTCAGCTTACTGTAACACATCTCCTCACACTGGCCACCCTCCGTGGTGCCTTTCTGAGACAAACACACACCTAGAAAAGCAGATGGCGTGTTGCTTGTTGCTCCAGACACACTGCAGAACTGCAATGTGCAAATATAGCGCTCAACATCTCGGCTGCCCTAAAAATAGGTTGAACCAAGAGGAACAAAACTCTCAGAGGGGATGGTGGCTCTGAAGACAACAGGTGGCTTTTACCAAGTGATGCAGTTCCAGCGAAGGTTCGACGTGCTTTTTTAAAACCTGGATGACTGATTTGAAATTTGGCTGAACCTTCACAGCAGCTTTTACTTTTTGTTCTAACTAAAACAAACAGACCTTTGGTCATGAGAAAAGTACATGAGCACATGATACTTTTACAAAACCACAAAAACATTGTTGCTCACACTTATAAAATAAGATATTTAATGCACATCAAAGAGCAGAAAAGGGGAAGAGCAGATTTTTTTTACCTCTTTATATGGATAATAAAAATACTCTTTGCACACAAACATCACCAGCACTAGCTTGCTGTACCCCATCACTTCCCCTTTTGGTGCCTTTTCCCCAAAAGTAAAACATCATTCATCAGCATTCTCGTCACCTAAAATGTGCTCCGCTTGCTCTTTCAGAGATTTACCGACTAAGCTGCTAAAACTGGACGACACGTTCATGCAAAGCCAAGAGCCCCTTTGCTGGGCTAAATTTTCATCGTCACCCTTTTCAATTACATTTGGGTTTATTCTTTCAGTAAGTGATCTCTAACAAATCAAATGCTTGTAATTAAACGGGATAAAACAAGCAGCAACCCATATCTATGACCAGTTTTGGAATCTCAGCGGCCTCTAGCTGAAATTATAAAGCAGAATAGCTTCTCAGGGCATAAAATAAAGCATCTGCATTAAATTTAAACTCTGATTTATTATGACAACAATAAGGGAGAGGCTGATTTAATAAAGTGGCTTTACCTTCAGATGTGTAGACAAGCCTCTTCTCCTGACTGGTGCAACTAAATAATGCCACAACGCTTTCACCTCCCCCTCACATTGGACATGGATGCATGTGGGTGGAGTAGAGCTCATCTCTGAGTCTCTCTCTCTCTCTCTCTCTCTCTCTCTCTCTCTCACACACACACACACACACACACACACATACACACTCTCTCTCTTTCTCACCCCTCATCTCACTCACTTTGAGACATCAGTGTGTGATTGTGCAAGTGTGACAAATGACACAAATGAAGGGAAAAAATAACTTTCAAAGGAGTCCTTCCTCTTTTTCCTTTTCATGCTGCCTTCAGACTTTCACTCCAATCATCGACCAGCTGTTTCCACTGATTAGCCCATCCTCCTGGGTTGTTTGAATGAAATCAGCTAATTCTAATTAGTGAAAAAACAGTTTAAACCCGCTGGAAGTAACTGCACATTTTTTAGTTCTTATCTACCATGAAGCTCTATCTCTCTCTGTGCTGTTTCCTTCCCTAAACACAGCTGGATCATGTTGCACAAGAACATTATAATCATTTTTAATATCTGATAAAAACGAGAACAGGGGTTTAGATGGTTCAGATGCTTGTGTTGATGCTCAGGGAAACTTTTCTGTACTTAGATGTTTTTACTGGTTATTTTTTACAGTTTTTGTGAAACTTGAAGCTGATTATTTTAGTTCCTTGTCCAGGAAGGTTTGTTGTGAAGTGTGTAGTAGTCTGTTCAGATCTCACCTCGAGGAGGCGCCATTTATTTTAGCTTCACTGTAAATTCCTGAGTTTGCATTTTCTTCCCATGCATTTGTGGATCAGACTTCCTCTGCCTTTTGCAGATGATGTGGTCTCACTGGAGCAGTTCGTAGAGTGTGAAGCAGCTGGGATGAGAATCAGCTCCTCTAAGTCCAAGACCATGGAGTTAGAAAAGGGTAGAATGTCTTCTCCAAGTCAGGGATGAGGTCCTATTTCAAGTGAAGGAGTTTGGGTTAGGGTTAGTGATGAGGGCGTTGTACCGGTCTGTCGTGGTGAAGAGAGAGCTGAGACAGGAGCTCTTGATTGACCATGGTCCAACCCTCACCTATGGTCACGACCTTTGGGTAGTGTCCAAAAGAACGAGATCGCGGATACAAGCAGCCGAAAAGTTTTCTCCGCAGGGCGAGAATCTTGGTCATCCAGAAGGGGCTTGGAGTAGATCTGCTGCTCCTCCAGAGAGGAGCCAGCTGAGGTGGCTCGGGCATTTAGTTTCAATGCCTCCTCCCCGGTGGTTTTCCATGTACGTCCAAGTGGGAGAAGACCTAACGGAAGACCCAGGACAGGCTGGAGGGACTATGTTTCTCGGCTGGCCAGGGAACACCTTGGGATTCCTCCAGAGGAGGTGGCCCAAGTGGCTGGGGAGAGGGAAGTCTGGGCCTCCCTGCTTAGGCTGTCTGACCCCGGCTAAGCAGCTGAAAATGGATGGACTTCCTCTAATCATCCAGTAATTTGCATGCTGGGTAATTCTAGGATTGTGCAAGCATCTTTAACTTCAACTGTTCTGTCAGTTATCCATTAAGTTTGGTCATTGTCTAGTTCCTGATGTCTACACTGAATAGGTTTGAATTGAAACATATTTTATTTTACCATTTTCTTAAAATTCCCAATGCCTCCAGCACCAGAGACACACGCTTCCAAACGGTTTCTATTTTAGTAGAAACATCAGTTATTGTTTTCCTGACTGCTACTTTGGTTTTCTGTAGGCAGAAACAAAAGGATTTAGCTTTAAATCAGATTTTATTCTGAAAAACAACCAGAAGCCAACTCAGCTTTGTGCATCAAACTTTAATCTGTATGAGACTTTAAAAAGTGGCAATACTTATCATTTCACTTACTGTAATTTATAATTTCACCAGACTAGGTCAAATGTTTAAGAATTTTTATTTCAAGTCACTTTTTATTAACAAACCGAGACACCAAACCAAAACTCTGATGCTGTCTTTACTGTAATTATTTTCCAGAGCTTTCAGGTATGAAACCTACCCAGTAAAAACATTCAGACCAGTACATTTAGTTTCATTTACTCCACACACCATTTCGATTCCACCACAGCAAACATAAAAGAGTTAAGAAAAAGTGAAGATGCAACTCTGACAAGTCTGTAAAACCAAAAACAGCTGAAGGGCTGGGTTAAAAGAGGAAGCCTTTAAAAATGCCTACGACTGCAGCGTCATTGTGAATCAGAGGAAGAATCTTTAACGTCCGTGCTTTCTGTGGCCTCGCTGACTTCACTCAGCTCTTTGCTCTCTCCTCCGCTGTCCCTCTCGCTTTCTCTCTCCTGATCTCCGGGGCCTGACGGGCTCTGGCCCGATGAGGCGTCTTGACCCGACACACGGACTCCAGGTTTTCTCAGCTGCAGGAGGCAAAAGAAGAGACGGTGCTTTTAAAATATTTCTTCTCTTTAAGGAGCAACAATAAATAAATGAATGAATGAAACAAGAACATTTAGAGAATTTAAGTCACCTCATCAGCCATGTGAGCCAAGTCTCTCTTCATGGCATAAGCGTCCTCTCCATCAGCATAATATTTTGGCTCTACTTCACTAATCCTGCAACAAAATACTTTCGTTAGAGCACGTGTTTCGCATTTTATACATTTTGATTAGAAAAATATTTAGTCTTTTGTGTATGTAAAGCATGGACGTAATGGGGAGGGGGGAGATGTCCCCTCCACTTTTTCCAAAGTCAATTTTTGTCCCCTGCACTGTTTACCACCCAAAAACAATATGACGCCATATTAAACAGACACTGGTTGAGCCCTAGGACCAAGTGGAAAACAACCATTTGTGTTGAAGCCCATTTCCTATTAGAGCATACTGTAAAGATCTTACCCCACCCCCCGGTCCTCATGCCGGTTGTGCCCCCCTCCACTTCTAAAGTGAAAATTACGTCCATAATGTAAAGGGCCTGACAAGCTACAAATCCCCCGAGCAAAGGGGGTTCATTCTCTACATTTAACACTGGAGATGCGTTGAAACTTTTCTGTTGAAAATGATCCCAAAGTGCAATTTCAGTTTTCGGCCAAACACCTAAATTACCGAAACAACACAGCCGAAACAGACTGTCAGGTGAACCCCATTTTCGGTTCATCTTGCTCCGCCCTCATGTGGCTACTTGCTCTTTGCTTCATAAAAATCATGCATTTGTACTGATTTCAAAATAAAGTGTTTACCATTTTAGTAATGCTGTTTTATCACTGTAATACTCACGTGAATTATGACACACTATTACTTTCAGTTTCACATCTACCGCATCTGCCCGGCCTTTTTCTTCTTTTACATTCCTGCTACGTCCGTCACTATGAGCGATGTTTTTATCATCCATTCTACACCCTGAACACAGTGAAATACGCTTTGGCTTATGTGTGTGAAACATGCTCGTCTCCTCTCCTCGCTCGGGAGCCTCCTGACTGGGGGCGGTTTTCAAACTCTATAAAACTCCAAATATTTCAATAGAAACACCCAAAAGTGTTGCTCAGATTCAAGTTACACATCTCCACTATCTTCTGGTGTAAAGCAATAACTTCATGAAGGATTATTTTTGGCTCGTTAAATGCAATATTGCAACTCTGGCGCTTAGAGGATTTATTTAACTGTGCTCTGCAGTCATTTCACTAAGCCTGTACATTTATAATTTATTATTTTAATGAATATTAAACCCATAAGGTGCTGCTATGGTTCTGATTACTGACATCATTTCTTTGTGTTTCGGTTTTCGGCCTTGGTTTGCTCGTTTTCCTTTTATTGCCAAGAATTGTCATTTCGGTGCATCCTTATTTACCACACACGCTCCCGTACTTCAAAAATCATCACAAACACAACTGTAACACAAACCACAACAATTGATTAGGGCTGGGCAATATATCGGAAAATTTATCATTATAGAAATTTCTGACTCTTATTGAGAAAATTGTTCCCATGTCAATAAATTTGATAATAAAAAAGAAGTGTGTAGGTTGGCAACGTTCACGTCCCTTTAACTTTGAGTTAAATACATGTGACAGCCCCATTTAGTGGACGACTTTTGTTTCTGCGTTTTCCTGCAGTTATCGTCCATTTATCTTTATGGAGGTGAAATCCTCATATTGGTTTTAGGCCATCTCGCCCAGCCCTGCAACTGGTGCTGCTCAAACACTCAACGCACACATACTGCAGTATTTGGGGAACTGATTTACGTTTAATGGTTACTAAATTGTCATTTTGAAGCTCTCTTTAGAAATTCATTGGGGGGGGGGGGGGGGGGTCAGCGATTGTAAATATCACTGTGTATTATAAATAATCTGCTGCAGCTGAACCTTCATTTGAAGAAAATCATGAATTGAACTGAAATCTTAATTCCTGCTAGAAAAACAAACAATTCAATATTTTCCTGAAATCGTTCAGTCCTAGTAAAATAAAGATGTTTAAATAAAATATTGAATTTAAGTCAGTTTTTGTCTGTTTTATATTGTAAGTAGTAAATTAAGGAATGGCGTAAAATGTCCAGGGCCATTCTTATAATGTATTTTCTACAGTTTAATATATTTTTTCCCAATAATTATCCATATGAAATGTGGTTTCTACGATGCCCAGCCCTATGTAAGTAAGTAAAGTAAAAGTTTATTTATATAGTGCCTTTCACAGATATAAATCACAAAGCGCTGATGTCATGTGGTCCTGTGTTCTTTTTAAGTTTGAGCCAAGTTAAATCCTATAAATTTTACCACAATTACAGCTGCTGACACAAAAATACACTTACTGAAACTTCAGTGTGTTTGAGTACAGGTGCAGAGCTGCTCGATTGCTGCAGGAAGAAACCCAAAAAACATCAGTAACCCTGCAGAAGGAAGTGTTTTAAATAATATACAACTGATCCAAAAACAAAAAACAAAGCAAATTACCTTTTGCGAACGTGAAGCGAGACATATTTAGCATTAAAGTTTTCTATCATGGCCCGGCTGGCCTGGTCCATCAGCTTCTGAGCCAGACCAAGACGTCTGTGGGACCTCTTTACTGCCTAAAAGACACGAAGATGGGGAGATGTGCTTAAGTGATCCACATCAGGTAACGTAGTATCTTTTGCTGAGACTCACCAGGGATGTGATATGTCCATGAGGCACATCATCTGGGTCCTCCTCCCTAAAACGTTACCATCATCACGGCATTGAAAACCTCATACATCACTTTGATGAAGTGCTACGAAACTAACAGTGACACAGATACTTACATCTTTGCCAGCACGTATCCAACAATCTTACCATTTTCATCTTCAGCAATGTATGAGAGCTGGAAGAAACGTGGGTTTAAATTCCAGCACTCTTGGGTCTTTAAAAGGCAGCAGCAGGGACTCAAGAGCCATGAGACTCACCTGAGGCCAGGACAATCCGTGATAAAAGTAATATTTCATCTGGTAGTTTTCTGGGAGACACAGCAAATTACAGTGCTGCATGTTCATAAGGTCCTCCGGCTGAAATACATTAAACAGGATGCTCCGTAAATGACTTAAACAGTTAAAATAAAGCAAGAAGAGTCGGTAGTTAGCGTAGCTACATTCATTTGTAGCTACACAGCGTGGCTCACGGGAACATTTCTGTATACCTACCCTCGCGTTTCGTATATTCATGGCGGTAATTAGACTCTAATCACGCTTAGGGAACTAAATTAAACTAATTTTGCACCGGTCAATTTACTCATAATACCTACACAACAAAGTCTAAAGGGCTCGTTTAGCTGGCTAACTAAGAACACTAGCTAGCATGGAAGGAAGGAAAGAAGGGGCAGGCGAGAAAAATAACTTCCGGTTCAAAAAAGACTTCAAAATAAGAGTTTTTTTTAAATGCAACATTCCCCTCCTGAAGCCAAAATCTTCCTCCTGGACCTTTGCTCAGAGAACTTGGAGTATGGCATTATAGAATATTTACAATAAATACAGTTTTTTAAATATTTAATAAAAAAGGTCACATGCAATAGCTTCAGCTGGCTCTGCTACCATAACTTCAAGGTGCATCAGCAGTTTATCTTGTTTGGCCTAATCCTCCTGGATGGTGGGTTAAGATTCGTAGCAGGTGGTTTGTTTGGTTTCTTATGCCTGCTGTAAATCAGAGGCAGACACAATCTGGTGTTTGGTAACCTAAATGTTTGAATGTGTGCCATTAGTGAGCTTGAGGTATCTTAAGAGGACATCACATCTTGGTGAGATTAGACCAAGCTGGGACATTCTCTGCTTGTAATTTATCATATCAATTAATGTAATGTGGTATATTTTGCTTAAGCACAGAGAGCATGTTCTTTACGGATACACTATAACAGGCCTGTACCTTCTGATGTGAGCTCATCACTTTTTTTGAAGCACAGGATTTGCCATTACGAGAAAGGTAACCTTGTAGAGGAATTGCATGGATGACATGAGACCATAAGCTTTACTCCTCTAGCTCAACTGAACTCCAGCTCACTGCAAACACTGCACACAAGACAAAAGCCAGAAACAGATGCACCAACCTAATTCACACAGAGGTGCCGAGAGACAATTATGTTTTGCATTTATTCGCACAGCTGAGACAGTTAGATTAACATTAATTTTTACAATCATACAGCCTAACTTGCGTGTGAGTGTGACTTCCTAGTGTCTGCTACAACCCCAAAATGATGCCTAAACCACGAATACACTGATGAAATACAAAATTTACAGATGAACAACTTCCTATAGTTTTTGAACCAGTTCATTATTAATACAATTAAATTTGATTGAAAGAAAATATTGTTTTTTCTAGCAAAAGCTGGCTTGACATTTGTTTTTGCTTTGCATGAAACAAGCTCTAGTTACATACAATGATTTTAAATTATATACGAAGACATTTTCTTAATGTTATAATCAAACAAGTGCCTTTGTCACGTTTTGGAGGGATGTTAGAACCTAAAGTGCAGAAACCCAGGGTGACACGAGGCAGGAGATGATGTAAAGTAAAATCCTTTAATTATGAAGGATGAAACGAAGAATAAATCCAGGGGCAGGGAGCCAAAGTCCAAAAAATGTCCAAAATCCAAAATAAACTAGAGATCCAACTGAGACACGAGAAACACTAGAGACTAGGAACGAGAGACTGATAGAATTACCACAAACAGCAACAATGGACCGACAAGAACAACAAGACAAGGAGAGGCTTTATACACTGGGGCTGGAGTGATAGGAGACGAGGAGCAGGTGTGTGGAGAACTGGCACAGGTGAAATCACTAAGGAGGAGAGGAGCAGAGTAGGACACCAGACCTGACTGGGAAGGACAAACAAACAAACACACACACACACACACACACACACACACACACACACACACACACACACACACACACACACACACACACACACACACACACACACACACACACACACACACACACACACACACACACATATACTGATCTGGGGAACAAGAGGCTGGAGCTACAACTAGAGGGGCTGAGGATGACTGGATGACACAGGACCTGGGAGGAATGATTATAAAGGGCTACAACATAAGACACACAACAGAGATGCAGACAAAGGACACATGAGGGTGCTAAGAGAACACAAAAGGGAATCTAGAGAGGGATGGAGAAACATTAGGAGACACATGGGTAAAGACGCAGACAAAGGACACATGAGGGCGCTATGAAATACAAAAGGAGAACCTGGAGTGGGAACTGGAGGAGCTGGGGGACAAAGGGACACAGAACATGACAGCCTTAAGCAGGGCGAAAACTCTGCAACTTTTTTCAATTTTTTTGAGCCGATTGTTCTCTTGTGCGAAAACCTTTGATGCTGGGGTGAGTTTTGCGTCATGTAGTATGAAGGTATCGCAGTGATGAAGCAGCTATCCAACCCAAAAATACAAGAACCGCTCACACAGTGCATGCAACAACCCGGCTCCACAGGTATTTCTGTGTCAACACACATTGTTTCCTTTTATTTTACACTTTACACACAATGACAAGGATCGTCAAGAAAGTGAGTTTCCTATGGTTCTGTGAAATAACACAGATCCCAAAACATTTTTTCACTTCCTTTCTTTTGTCTTCCTTTTCCAACCCCCATAAACCCCTGTGTGTCCATCTATGGAAAGCCTGAAGGACAAATGACATAACAACACAACAATCTCAGGGATTTCTGACTCAAAGGTCGGATGTGTAGTATTAAAGGTGCTGTAACGCTTTTTCCAAACAAACTAGGCCAGCTAGCTAGCTTACACCAATACGGTCCCAGAACTCTCACCACTCCCATCGGGTATAATCATTATGCCGCGCCCCTCGGGATATGTGAACATGCTCTGCCACGGTGAACAACACAAAGCAGTACTTTTTGGTTTTCTTCAGTTGCCTTTGTATTTGCCTCAATCCTAAGGTCAAAAGCTTTCAGATTTTTGTCTAGCAGATCAAATCTTTCTTCAAATCTTTCTGTAAAGGCCAGCAGGGCTTCATAGATATTTTCATTGCTCACCTGTTTCCCGGCAGCTTCATTTGTCGGTGTTTTTTGATTGGGGCTTTTTATTGGAGTGTGATCACCAGTGGGTCTTGCTGCTATCTGTTGATTCTCCATCTCCTCTATGTCTTTGTCCGCACATGCTTCTTTCATTGCCGCGAGGTTGTAGTCATGGTCGGAAAGGCTACCTATTAGCTCCGCCATGTTAGTCATTTGATGTTCTGCGTTTGCTACTTTATCTGTCCAATAACTCTTCAAAAACTATGTTCCAGGGGTTCCGCTTTCCTTTCAGTTTCGTTCTGAATAACTGTTTATCAGAGAATTACTTCTCAGAACATTTAAAACCCGCCGTTTTATCAGACCTGCCAAGTTTCCACCTGCACACTCCGCCATCTTGAATTCCCCCTCTGCCGTCTCACTTTCGGTTGTGTGTTCTGCTGAAAAATGACACCGTGCACAAAATGTAGGTCACGGGGAAATGCGAATATGCTGAGGTTCGGCGAGACGGACAAACGGGTGGTCCAATCATTGCTTTCGGTCCGAATTGATGATTGGCAGTCCGAAAGCAATGATTGGCTGAGGTTTTTAGACAAATCCGAGATAACTACTTTATTGATTTTTTTCTGGTTTTTTCAGTCTCCATAACATATTTATAGCTGGACTATGTTAGCACGTTGCTAAAAGGCCAGAAAAAAACAGTTTTAAGCTAATTTGTTTTCCAAATTTGCTACATAACCTTTAAAACAACTATTTTTAGAACACTTTCGGGTCTGACGTGTTGCTACAAGAGGTACAGTGTGTGCAGTCAGGTTGCATCTGAGCATTGGGTCGTACAGTGTGAAAACATGACTCATGAGTGTTGTTCTGTGAGGAAGTCGTACAGTTTGAGATGGAGCTGCTACGAGTGAAAAAGTTGCACAGTGTCTGGCCGTCTTTACTTACACACTTTAAATGTGTTTCCCGATGATGGGGACAAGTTGGGTGAGCTGAATTGATAAATAAAGATAAAAATCACAAGGTGATTTAAAGAATAAAAAAATAAAAATAATTTAAAACATATAATCAAAAAGGGGAAAAGTGAAACATTTAAACGAAAAAATTAGGACAAAAACGAATAAGAAAAAGATCATTCTGGATCCAGAGAAAGGCAGAATTGGTAGGGATAGCTTCATGAAAAGAAGGTAGTAAGGAAGAATAAGCAAGAAGTCCCACAAAGCTAGTGCAGTGCACATAATAAAGAAAATAAACAGAATTAGATGAAAGGCACAGTTTTCTTTAAATAAAGTAAACCACATTGTTTATGCAGCAGAACATACAATGTTTTATTTTTTATTGATTCCTTTGGGGAGGGGACATGGCCACCTCTAAAATGTGTTGGCCACCCCACTGGCTCTATCTGCCCCCTATGAATTATTTCTGGGGGCGCCACTGTCCCACGATTTCTGCCCGCACGAGTCCTTCAGGTAAACTTCTATCCAATCAGCAGTCAAGCATGCAACTTGCGCAGGCGTCACAGGAGAAAGAGAGCGGGTATTTTTAGAATAACGCCTTGCGAGACGGTGTCGACAAAGTTTTTATCAGGATGTGCTTTTAAAATCAAGATTCAGAAAAGTGAGCGACTCGTTGGCGCGTGATGGGTGTAGAGGGAGGTCTGGGACTCGGAGGAGAGTGACCAAAAATCGCCTGTTCAGATGGAGGCAGACGCGAGGTTGGAGTCAAGTTTGTGGGTCGGGAGTAAGAGATACCTGGCTCTCCTTACAGGCTGGCACTTCAGCTGGACCGAGGCTGACAAGAAGGGTCGTCACAGGAACACAGGTGAGTGAGCAGGAGGGAATCAGTGGCTTTTACACCAAACATCAACTCGCCCACAATTATTTTACATTTTAGAACAGCAAATAACAAATAATAATTGTTTGTTTTTTTAAGTAGAAACTTATTTTACTTTGAGTTGTATGTAACTCGCACGTGCTCAAAAGTTGGGGGGAAAAACACTTTCCATAATAAAGGATGATGTTGATGTTCCAATTTTGAGCGACAGCATGGAGGGAGTGCTTTCAAAACATGAAGAACGAGTTCAGCAGCACCAACGAGACTCAGTTTACAGAAAACAAGAAAGCTCCCACCTTGAAAACGGGTTGATTTAAGGCAGAGGCTGTTCCTCCCACCAAACACACCACATACTTTCACCTTAACCACAAACAGAGAGTAAAACCCAAAGATGAAGGCCTTTTACCAAACTAATAATAAAGTCAGTAAGTAAGTAAGTAAGTAAAAGTTTATTTATATAGCGCCTTTCACAGATATAAATCACAAAGCGCTGTACAACATGATAAAGATCAGGGCAAATACCTCTAACCAATAAAAACATCAGAAAAACAATAGCAGTGATAAACGTAGAAAATAAAATCATGAGTATAAACAAAGTGAAGGTGTGAACCCGAATAGTTGATAGTGTAAACTATCATCTGACACTGATGCAGCATCACCAGTGCCAGTTATGAAATGACCCTTTCATAAATACACCACATTGTTCCAGGCTCTAAGGGTTAAAACATTTATTTAATTGGAAATGTTCATGTGATGGATTGGTGACCCTTTAGGGCAGGTTATGCCTCTCGCATAATGACTTCTGTATCATCTCCAGTTCCCCCTGCAGCCCCATTAAAGGACAAACTGGATAGAAAATAGACGGGTGGGTGATATCAGTTACAGTTACACAGTAAATTATTGTGTGTGTGCGTGTGTGTGGTAAAGTTTCAGTACCTGTGGCTGAGGTGATTGGAGTGCAGGAGGGCCGGGTGGAGATCCTGCCCCACAAGTCTGTGGAGGACACAGACAAAGTTTTTACTGGTAAGATGAACTTTTATCTCTTAAACGACAACGCGCCTATGTGTATCTGATGTATTATAACCGTTGGCTATAACGGTTTCATTTATAGCAGTCGTTATTTGGTTTTCCTTTATCTGTCACCCACTTTCAGTTTTCTACGTGAAGCGGAGCAGAGGCTGGGGCACCGATGGGTTGCTATGGAGTCTGGGCCGAATCCAGTTCAGCTGCCCCAGTCGGGTCCTAAAAACCATGTGGACAGATGCCCTCACAACTGCTGTCAAAACACACAGTAAGGGTGGACAAGAAGGCTGTGTTGCTTACTGACAACCTTTTAAATTCATCATCTGTCTTGGACCAGACTTTTCCAGCTGATTTGTGAGATCTAAATGAATCTTTCAGGTCCTTTGCGACCACAAAGGTTGTTGGTCTTCATCAACCCGTATGGAGGAAAGAAAAAGGGAAGAGAGATCTACCATTCTCTGGTAGCCCCTCTGTTTGAGCTGGCTGGAATCAGCTCCCACGTTATAGGTAAGCTCTTATTCTTCTTGGCAAACCTCTGGTTTCTCTGCTTCATTTAAACACTTTAATTTTTAGTAACAGAACGGGCAAACCAGGCCAGAGATCACCTCCTCAAGAAGCATCTAACAGGCTTTGATGGGTGAGTGCTGCTGTGGCGCTAACACTGTGTTTACAGAGCATTATGTAGCAGCCCTTTGAGAAGAAACATTTGTGTATGTGTGCTTCCTGACAGCGTGGTGTGTGTCGGTGGGGATGGCATGTTTAGTGAAATACTCCACGGTGTGATTGGGCGGACACAACAAGAGGCAGGTGTTTGTGAGAATAACCCCGCCGCCACTCTCAAGCCATGTCCCCTTCACATCGGCATCATCCCTGCAGGTCACTGTTGTTGCGTTTTACTAAAACTGTTCAGCAGGATTTAGAGACGTTACACAACCTTTCTGACTGCATGTATCCACTGCAGGCTCTACAGACTGTGTGTGCCATGCCACAGGAGGAGTGACTGACCCTGTTACTTCAGCCTTGCACATTATCATTGGTGAGACGACGTTCTTACAAAAAAGCACAACGCGATTGCTTTGTTGACTGATGTCTTTCAACACCTTGCAGGAGACTCTCAGCCTTTAGACGTGTGCTCAGTTCATTATGGCTCTGGTCTGGTACGCTATTCGGTGTCTCTGGTGGGCTACGGCTTCTACGGAGATGTACTGGCTGAGAGTGAAAAGCACCGCTGGATGGGACCGTTAAGATATGACTATTCAGGTCTGGATTGATGAAAACAAAATATCTAAGATTGTATAAATTATCATTACCAAACCTAGAGTTCCTGCTTTCTACTGTAGGTAAGATGAGGACAAATCATTACTGCTCCACACAACTGCAACCACATTCAGTTCAATTATCTTTTATGGTCAGTTCACAATATGTTCAGGATTAAAATGAAAGGTTGATTCTTATCTTGTATTACAAGTAAAGAAATAAATAAAGGAATAAAAAGTTTTAAAAGTCTAAGAATAAAAATCAAGAGTCAGTAGAGTAGAACTGGGTCAATTGCTGAGGTGCACTTGGAGCAGCTGTAAAATTAGCTAAAAGTCATGTTAGTAGATTTAATATTTAGTCTTTTATGGAGGCAGCTGATATGCGTGAAATGATCCATAATTTCCCAAAACTACTTACTGTGTATTGAAAAATGCTTAGTGTGCATCTGCTTCTGCGCACTTTCTACCAACATAGTTTCTCTGTGTGTTTTGTTTGTTTAGGTGCATTAGTGTATCTGAGCAACAGGAGCTACTCAGGCACAGTTCAGTATCTACCAGCAGACCCACTGCTCTCCAGCCCCAGAGACAAAACGCGCTGCCTCTCAGGGTAAAACACCAAGTACTAACTAAACATTACATCAGTTAAAACATGCAATTATAGGACCAACCACTTACTATTTTAAAGCATCACATGCTGTCATACAAATGACTTCTCATGAGTCTGTTTCGTGTTTATTTTATGCATGTTATTACTTTTCTGTGTCTGTCCAAAGAGGTGAGGCTCCTGATGAGCAACAAGCTCTACTTCCAATGAGACGTGATTGTGACTGAAGGGTTCAAAATATTCTTAATAAAATCATGACAAGTGTTTACTAGTTCAGCATGTTACAACAAGGCCAAAGTAGGATTTGAACACACTAAAAGCTTGGCACACTGATCTTACACTCAATGTGTGTGTGTGTTCTAATCTAAGTTATCTGAGAGTGACGATGATTTGTTGAAACCCTAAACCTGTTTAATCAGCAGATGAGGAGGTGTGTGTGTGTGTGTGTGTGTGTGTGTGTGTGTGTGTGTGTGTGTGTGTGTGTGTGTGTGTGTGTGTGTGTGTGTGTGTGTGTGTGTGTGTGTGTGTGTGTGTGTGTGTGTGTGTGTGTGTGTGAGGGGTTAGGACCATTATTATTCAGGCCACAGTGAGATTGTTCAGTCACATCTCTCAGTGGGGACTCAGGTGTTGGGTGGATCTTAAGAAGGGAACCATGGCAGTAGGAACCTGATCTAGATGAAAGGTGAAACTTGGCATCTAATGAGGGTTTCTATTAAATGTCTGAGGCAGCTGCACTTAGCAGTGAGAAAGTGGGTTTAATGCTGTTGAATAAATTTTGAACCCATTAATTTCAAGGTGATACTGTTTTGTGTGTGTGTGTGTGTGTGTGTGTGTGTGTGTGTGTGTGTGCTTTTAGGTGTGGTGTGTGCGCCAAAAGCACAGAAAGACTTTTTCCCAATTCTTCCGATTCGGGCTCTTTGTACAGCTCCTTCACTGAACAGCTCAGCACCGAATCAGAAGGTAAACACAGAACAGACCTTTATTATAACCCACCACCCAAGGGCAGGCCGCAGACAATGGTGTTTGCCTTTATGTGTGTGTTTGCAAAACATCTCATTGCAGATGTTAATAAAACTTGGGTACATCTATAACTGTTAACTTTTGGAGACAGCCCCATTTAGGCTGGTGGTTAAAGCTAATCAATCTTATTGAGGCCAAAACAGTTTAGACCCAGTCAGGTTTATAGAAAATGATCTGTTCGTAGCTGAAAGTCATTTACAAACTTTGAGCTTAGAAGTTCTTACAGTTTTTGTGTAATTAAGCTTATTGTTGATTTCAGTTTTTGGCAACACTTTATAATATGGGTCCCTTTATTAATATTTCTTAGTGCATTATTAAGCATTAATAAACTTTTAAAGTATAAACTGCGTAATGTTAATATTAAGTAATGCATTACTAAGCAGACAACCCCACCCTGGCTCGTTGTCCTAACATTAAGAACACTTAATGTACTGATGAGGAATGCTAATAAAAGGATCCTGTCACAATGCGAGTAGGAGGAGGTTAGGACCCAAGATGCAGAACCCCAGATGACATGAGGCAGGAGCGATTGTAAAAGTAAAATCATTTATTTAGGATGGGCAACAAAAATCCGAAAAGGCAGGAAGCCAAACCTAATATCTAAAACTGAAAGACAAAAACCAAAAGCTCACTTATGAGCAGAGACCTAGAAACCTAGTGGGGGGACAAAACAACGCTGACAAACATCAATGGACCGACAAAACATTGAGACACAGACAGGGTTATATACACAGTGACTGGGTGATTGGGAGATGAGGAGCAGGTGCGTGAGGAGAGAGGACTGAGGGGAGACTGGCAAATTCAATTAATTTAATGGGAAGGGAAAACCAAGCAGAGGGGATAAACCCTAACCTATAAATCTCGAAATAAATAATAAACCTAAAAGACTAAGGGCACAGGAGAACCAAAGAATAGATCAGAGAATCAGAGAGAATTTTATTGCCAGCGCTCCAGCGAACCAGAGCATAGGAACTTGATTCCACAGAACAGCCTGACCAAGGTTACACATACACATATAGACAGAACAGATACAGGCAGACCACGAGAGCAGCTAGCAGCTATAACGGCGCTCATTTCAATAGATGAAGAGGGGATTACATGAGGAGAGTTGGGGGAGGGAAAAAAAGGCAGACCAGAGACCCGGGGGTGTGTGTGTGTGTGTGTGTGGTGGTGGTGGGGGGGGGGGGGGGATCCTGGTTTCCTCAGCGGGAGCAGCCTGTGTGGCATTCAGCCAACTGTATCCACAGGTGGGTGGGAGGTCATGGGAAACCACAGAGCACATTGAGTTCCTGCATTTTGATGACCTCGCTATGCAGAGACCACAATCTGAAGGGGGGGGGGGGGGGGGGGGGGAGATAGGTCGGGTTTTCACAGCATCTGTCTGCATTCCTTCCATCGTGGGGGTTGTAGTATGCAGCTCCAAGGCTGCTATGGCGTCAGATTAGATAACAGGACTTTGTTTGGGTCAGGCAGAGATAATTTTCCTCTCTGCCTTAAAGTCTGTATTGATCATTCAAGTCCCCCAGTGAAGCCAATTCAGGTATTAAACATCTCCACACCGTCCAGTGACCCTCTCCGAGATGACATCCATTTTGCGCACTAATACTGGCAACGCAGCAAGGACATTGTCCAGCTTACGTTTCACCTCGAGTAACATCCCAGTCTGTGAGGCATCCGCCCGGGCGGTGCTTGCCATGGGTGCGGGTCGCACTCCAATCGCTCCCGACTTCCCAAATTTCCAGAAAACCAGATATCCTCCCACTCCAATCAGAAGAAATCCAGTGATCATCAGGCCAAATATCCACATATCTTCGACGTCCTCAATGGACAACTGAGAGAGACAAACGATCCTCCAGACCTTCCAGGAATCGAGCGCATATCCTGCTGCGTGTGTCCCTTGAGGGCAGGTGGGAGCCCCCTCCTCCGTTCTCATCGTGGAAAAGATCTTATCAATCGCGTTGAATGACCAATTAATTAAATCCATTTCTAAAAAATAGGGATTCCCAGAAGAAATGCAGAGAAGCGCTCTGTAGGCAGACGGGACAAAGAGCCTTGGGGAAAAAGATAAGGGAGCAAAAAGGAAGCGTCTGTACTCTGCGAGTGCCAGAAGAGGCACTAATGACCTGAGGAGTAAGGGAGACTAATTAACAAGTGGGGAAGGAAACGCACACTAAAGGAGACTAATAAAATCAAAAGGTGAACCTACAGAAAAACTACAGAGGGGTGACTAGGGGAGACCTGAGGGAGACCGGGAGGGAGCTGGGGACAAAGAGGGGCACAGGAAGCTTGGGTACACATGAGGGAGATCCTAGAGGGACACCTGGAGGGGTTGGGGAACACAAGGAGGCACATGAGGAACACAAGGAGACACATAAGGGGAATCTAGAGGGAGCTGGAGAACACATGAGGGGGACGCAGGACGTGGACAATGACAGATCCTTTGTCTATCAAAGGTTGAATATGGAATGTGAACACCAAAGCGACATCTAGTGTGTGGAGATTGTAGTTGCAACAATAGAACAAGGTTTCCAGCTGTCGGGATGCCAGGTTCAGTGACGATGAGTGAAATGTTTTATTTGGGTCCATCTGTTGTAGGCTTCACCTAAACTCACTCTGGTTTTAGAGCTTTCATGGTTGCTCCTCTTCTGAGAAGTATAACATCTTCTGGGCTCAGAAGCAGCTACTTGACTTGCCGAGTCTGCCATTTTCCACAGGGCCAGCCTTGCTGTGCCAAGCGGTCTGTTTGGCAACCCGCAGTAGTGCCCTCCATTGGCTGGTAGATGTAAACATAAACCCACTATCGTGCCTGTCAAAATAAATATTTGATTATTCTTCAACTAAAATATAGCTTTTTTAGGAAATACTGTACCTCCATTCTGCACATCTCTAAATGTGGATGTATTATTATTTTAAAATATAGATTTTTGTTAAATAGTTTCATATTCAGCCTTAAATGCTTAATAATACACTAAGTAATCTTAATAAAGGGACTCTTTTTGTATAGCGTTACCCAATTTTTGACCAAAACAGTTTTAAAGTCACAATGTCTTGCTGAACATTACATTAGCTTTAAACTCTGCATCTGAAATACTTTATTTCAAGGAGTGCTTCACTCTAAGATATGAAATGTTGATTTTACTTTACAAAGTTATCTCTATTGGTTATAGCTGCTTCAACGTACAGAATAAAAACATACAACAATGTACATTGCTCTTTGCATTTAAAGGGATACTATGCAACTTTTTTCATATTTTTCATTCATTTTCTTGAGCCAGTATGTGTTAAATGACCCCTTATATGGTTAATGAAAAGTCATTCAGACCACCACTGCCCTCTGTTGCCAGAATGCCGCATTTGCAACTTCAGAGTGCTGGTCCTGTCTGTTGGACATAGAAATAAATAGAGCTTACATACTTGGTCTTCCATTATGTTTCCTGCATGTTTTAGATCAGGGGTGGGGAACCCTGGTCCGTCGAGGGCCACTATCCAGCATAATTTTGTTTCAACCCTACTTCACCACACCTGATTTCAATCAGCAGGTGATTAACAGGCTTCTGCAGAGCCTGATGAGCTGCTGAACAGGTGAATTAATGACTGAATCAGAAGTGTTGGAGCAAAGACATGCAGGATACCGGCCCTTGTGGACCAGGGTTCCCCACTCTTGTTTAAGATCATAACACAGCTGATGTGTTTGATTTAGTGACGAACCACATTTGTAGAAACTAATGAAAGCTGAGGAGACGTTTCAGCTGTTAGATTAAGGTGTTAAAAAGACTAAAGTACAGCGAGGAGATAAGTTTCACTTTTGGTTCTACTAAACAGACACTAGGGGGTGCTAAAAGCAAGCAAAAAAGCCAAGTGTGCCTTTAAGCAACTAGGTTTAGTGGAACCAGCTGACATAACGTGGTGAAGTAAATTCAACGTTTTCTTTTTTGAAGTGTAGGCTGTTATTACAAGCCGCTTTTACCTTAAAATATCCCGCTTGGAAACAGACACACTGATACTTATGGCAGCACTTTTATTTTAATATCTTTAAACTAGCTTATATTTTATGGCCTAATTGAGTATTTTTACAATCAAACTGTCATTCTGATTCTGTTTGTCTCTTCAGATGAGTGGGTGAGTGTGGAGGGCAGGTTCAAGGCCGTGTCTCTCACCTGCATGTCCAGCTCATGTGCTAAAAGTCCTCAGGGCCTCTCACCCTCTGCCCACCTGGCAGATGGAACAGGAGACCTGATCCTGGTGTGGGACACTCACCCTCTCAGCTTCCTCAGGTTCCTTCACAGGCACACGAGCACTGAGGACCAGGTGTCAGATCTTCACGTGAAAAACTTTATAAGAAGCTTCAAAATTGCTCCGGCTCATGTTCTTCTCCACTTCCTCTAGTTTGACCTGCCCTTTGTGGAGGTCCATCGAGTGAAGGGGTTCCGCTTCTGTCACACAGGAACCAGTGAAGAGGATTCTCTTAAAGAGTGTGAAAGCCAGGGTGATGGCACTGATGGAGAAGTGAGAGCATACTTAGACTCAGGAGGCAGAAATGGATCACAGCAGCACCTGGAACAAGTGTCGAGGAACGAGGAGAAAACGCTGACTCCATTCATGTGTGGTTTGTGCTGCAAAAAAGTTCCTTATGCGTCGGTGTGGAACTGCGATGGAGAACTTCTGCCTTTTACCGACATCTCTTGCAAGTAAGAGAAAACTGCTGGATGTCAAATGAATCTGTGCCTCTCTTTAGATTAGAACATTTAAAAACATGTTTTTTATTTGTCATCAGCTTTATTTTTTCTTTTCTGTGCACCTTTAAAAGGATTCATGGCCAGCTGGTGCGACTGTACGCTCGAGGCATCGAGGACACGGCTGCCATCAGCTGCAGTTAGAAGAGGAGCGAACGCAAGAGAACAAAAACTATGAATTGTCTGAATTTTGGATGATGAGGAGAAAACTTAAGCCTAATGAATGATGGGTAAATGCAAATGTGTATATAGTTTTCACAGTAATAGCAGAAATGACATTATTGTTAAATATGTCTGTCTCTGTGTGTGATTGCTCCTCTTCTGTAAATTTATGGTGGCATTTTTCTGCACAAGGCATTTTTGCTGCATCTCCCTGGTGTGATGCTTCTGGTCCAATTATTTTTGTTGTTTTTCTTGACTGCTTTCAGAAAGTAATGTTATAATGGATGACAACAAAAGGTGCAAAAAGGTGGACATAATTTTTATGTTTTTTGTTTATTTATTTAGCAGACGCTTTTATCCAAAGCGACTTACAATTTATAGCCTATAGGGCATGTTGTGATCTGTGGGGGAAACCGGAGTACCCGGAGGAAACCCACGCATGCATGGGGAGAACACGCAACTCCATGCAGAAAGGCCGCAGCCGAGTTTCGAACCTGCAACCTTCGTGCTGCGAGGCAACAGTGCTAACAACTGTGCCACCATGCAGCCCGATGATCTTATGATCAACTTGATTTCACTTTTGAACAAACAAATGCACCAACTCTTCTTTTGTTGTGTTTTAGCAAGACGGTGTAAACCTGATTAAAACAAAACAAAGTGATTAAAAAATGGTCGTTAGTGCTTATGGTTATGTTCCAGCACAAGAATGGAGTCTCAACACTTCTACTGACACCAAAAATAGAGGAAAAAAAACAAGCCAAGTGTAAGAGTCCCAGTTATTTGAACACATGTTTGCTCTCAGTTTTTCCCATAACTTTCCGAAGTTCCCGGCAGGATCCTAGTTATTGCTGTGAAATCGCATTTAAGTGTTTTTACTCCAGCAGGTGTCACACCTGGTGAAGATAGTGTAAGAAAACAACATTAAACCAATGCATCCAGCTAACAAAATCAGCTACTTTAACTTTGTTTTTAACTTGTGAATTGTTGGAGATCAATATGTCATTAGAGATAATTTACTGATTTGAGAAACTCACCTGGAGGATGACATTCAAACCTGCATTATTTGTGAAGGTTAACCACACAGGTATTCTCCCGGGCTAACCAGTTCACCAGGCCCTCCCAGTATAAGCACTAGTAGTTATGCGGCTCGTGCTTTGCCTCATTCTGGTTTGGTAAAGACTTTAAATAGAAATTCTGATTACAGAAAACAAACTTTCAAGTGTTCCTCAGAGAAAAAAGATCATTTGTAAAGTCTGAATGAAACTAAATTTTCCTGCTCTTATTTTTCCCTTTTCACTAGAAAATTAAAGGGAAGGTTCAGATCTGCTGCATGGCGGTTTCTCAAAAAATGTAATGAAAATATGATTTAATACCTTTTTTAGATGTCTCTTTGAATGGCTTCAGTTTGAAGAAACAGACTAATTCTGGGTGGATTGACAAGCTAACGGCTAGTCACAGTGGGCCATGATCAAAGTGAAGGGTCTTCAAAACAAACCTGACATCAAGTGTTTTGTGCAAACCGATTTAGACCGCCTTAAATTTTACATTTCACAATTACTTACATTAGAATAATATTATTTTGAAAAATTTGGAAATAAGATCTAATTGTAGCAGCCTTTACCTTCAGGTCAGTTTCCTATATGAACACAACTGTGTAAAGATTAAATAAACAGCTGATAATTTATTAGGGTTACTATTGTTTTACAAGGACATTGTCTCTATCAGAACTAATCTCCGTTTCTTCAAACTAAGGTTGTTCGAAGAGCTACTCCGAGAAACCCACCTCAGCAGAAACATTCCCTTTCAAAATTAATGATCCCCTAAAAGGTTTTGGAGGGCTGCGGATAGAAATTGCGTCATTAAAACACTTCAGTTCTAGATTCATTTTTGTGAAATCAGTGGTGAAATGGTGCTCTTTTGTGTTTATGCTGAAAAAATCAATCTGATACAACAGTGACTGCAGTAAACTTTATTCATTGTAATTTTTCAGACAAAAATTTCCATCTGTGTGTGTGTGTGTGTGTGTGTGTGTGTGTGTGTGTGTGTGTGTGTGTGTGTGTGACATTGAGCATTAGGCTGTGTGGGGCTGCACCCACTTGTACGTTCCCTCATAGCGAAATCCCACCCTTTTCATTAGATCATCAGCTTCACTCGGGCCACGACTGCAGACAGAGGGAGGAAGTTAAAAACTAGTCTAAAGAATAAAGTGTATTTACATTTTGTTTTATAAAACGGTGGGTTTACCTTCCAAATGTGTAGGGAACCGGGTTTATCTTTTCTGCTTCTATTTGGTGGAGCAGCGGGGTGAAAATCCTCCAGGCCTCCCGCAGCTCGTCGCTGTCAGAAATTGAGAAGGACATAAAATATGTATATGTTCACACATATTTTTGTGTTTCCTCAGCTAATGTTGCTACCAACCTGCGAACAAAGTGCATCTGATTTCCACAGAAGACATCCAGTAGGAGTCTCTCGTAAGCATCTGGGAGCTTCATGTCCTGTAAAACAGACACGCTGCTCCAGGTGTTCCTTGTATTTGTGTTTATTGAAAGCTCTTACCTTGTATCTGCTCCTGTAGGTGAGATCCAGCTCAGTCTCCTCTGGGCTGAAGTGACCTCCAGGCCTCTTGGTCATCATTTTCAGGTAAATGGCTTCATCTGGCTGCACCCGCACCACCAGCTCATTCCTCTGACAGCTTCCGTCAAAGATGTCTCCTGGCACATCCGTGAATTGCAGACGCACTTCCGCTTTCTGCTCATTCAGAGCTTTACCACAGCGCAAAATGAAGGGAACTCCTGATGGATGGATGAGTGGGTGGTGAGAATGAGAGGAGGGAAACCATCAGATCAAAGCCGTAACTCAGCCTCACCATCCCATCTTTCATTCTGAACATAGAGCACCGCGGTGGCAAAGGTTGGTGTGCAGGAGCCTTCAGGTACGGTAGGATCATTGAGGTATCCCTGCTTGAAGTGGCCCTCCCCCTCTGGATCTCCAACGTACTGACCCAACACCACGTCTGACAACGTAACAGGAGCTACACACTTCAACACCTTCACCTGTAACACATTAAAAGTGGTGCGAGGAAACCTTAAGGACCTAATAGTTAGACACAACATCTAATCCCTAATGCTAGTTACCTTTTCATTCCTCACGTCATCTGGATGGGTGGAGGCAGGGTTCTCCATTGCAACCAGACAGAGCATCTGCAGCAGATGGTTCTGCATGACATCTCTATATTTAAAGGACAGAGTCAGACCATTGTTGAAATGAGAGTCATAATAAAATGCATATGATGGTATCCTCACCTAATTATACCAAAATCATCAAAGTATCCTCCACGGCCCTGAGTGCCAAAGGGCTCCTTAAAGGCGAGGACCACACAGGCCACACTGTTTCTGTTCCAGATGGGTCCAAAAATCCGATTCCCAAATCTGCAGTTAATAAAAACAACTGCAGCTTTAGCGTTACACCCACGGTAAACACCTATGTGTGTTTTTCTAGTTACCTGAGCACCATGAGGTTCTGAACCATCTCCTTCCCTAGGTAGTGATCTATGCGGTAGATCTGGTCCTCTTTGAACAGGGAGGACAGGTGACCCGACAGCTCCTGTGAGCTCTGGAGGTCGCGCCCAAATGGCTTCTCAAATATTAGCCTGTTCCAACCTTTGCTGTGAACAAATATGAGTGTATGAACAACTAAACTGAGCTTTTCCATCATCCCTTTTCAGAACTGAATTGATACAAACTTGCAGTCCATGCAGTGGTTTCTGATGTTTGTGCTGACTTGGTGGTAGACAGTGGGGGGCAGCGCCAGGTAGAAGAGCCGGTTGGCATTTGCTCCCCCAGGCAACGATGACAGGTGTTTGTTGAGTCGTTTAAAGGAGCTGATGTCATCATACCAGCCACTCAGATAGGAGATTTTACTGATGAAGGTTGAGAGCATCTCTCTCTCTTCATCTGTAACCTAAAATGCATCAGTCAGTTAGTCCTACATGTTCAGAATCTTGTCCCAGAGCTTAAAATGTATTACCTTCATGTAAGGCAGACATGTTTCTTTAATGTTCTCCACAGTCAGGTTGGACCGGGCAAACCCCACAATGTACGTGTCATCAGGGAGAAGGCCATCTCGGAACAGCCACCTTAACAAGTCAGACAAAAGCAGGAATGTGGGGAAACCGATCAAAGGTCAAACTCCTCAGAGCACAAAACAACTTTTAAAGCAGCTCAATGTGTTAGCTGCTGGTTTCACTCACCATAAAGTTGGATAGATCTTCTTTTTAGCAAGATCTCCCTGTGCAAATGACACAAAATAAATTTGATCTAACTAAAAGACTTCGAAGCTACTCTGAAGAATTAATCAAGAGTCCAAAGAGCAAACTCTGGATAAGAGGTGAAAGAGTAAGGGCTTGTTTGATTAATACAAAAAAGTTCTCTAAAATAGTTTAAATCTGGTGCAGACGAGTCTAAACACTCACAAACATCCATGCATGTTTTTTATAAAATTCGCTCCTGAGACATGTACTCACTGATGCTCCCAGGATGATGAATATGTGCGCGTTGGAGTAACTGGACCGTTTCTCTCCATAGAGCTCCCGTCTGAACTGTCCAAACACATCTGAGCGAGTCAAAGTTTCGGTGCTCATGTTCTGGATCCGTTTGTCCCTTACAGTGACCACTGATCTCCACCGGCAGCGTGACACATTCTTTAGGGGCTTTTCAGTTGTCATCGCTGTCTTGCAGAAACTAAAGCTACTCTATGCTGCCATCTATTGTTGCAAAGAACAAAAGCATGATTTTTCATAGACGTACAACCTCAGCTCTGCAGTTTGTGTGTGTGTGTGTGTGTGTGTGTGTGTGTGTGAGAAACTACACATTCCTCCAGATCAAGTCTGACGGTCTCTTACTACTCACACTGCAGGTTATTCTGGGCGTAGATGAAGTGTGTCAGGAATTTGTCCACATCCTAAACCACTCCTTGGATAATAGGTGACCTGACATTTTGTTACAGCTCACTGCAGGAAGATTTCTTATCAACTCAAAACATCTTAGTGGGTGAATTTTCACAGGCTGTAAAACTAGAATCGTGACGCGTGATGGCTATAAAACAGTATTTGTCATTTATCAGTAGGCAAAGAAATTCCTTCAATAAACTTTTTTTTTAAAAGTTACAATTTCATGCAGATATGACATAAAAGATCATTAATTATAGCTAAATGTGATTAATGCCAGTATTTGCTTTCCAAATTCCAAATGGATAAAGCGATGGACAAGAATGGTGATTTAATAGAAAAGAAGCATCGCTTACAAAAGGCAAAATATTTTTAATAAAAAATATTTTTGTTTAAAATTTTTTTAACATTCATCGCCAGATAAAAAAGAAAAAAAAATGTCCCATTTATTAATAGTTTTTTCATACTGGAGTGTAAAACACGCAGGTTGTGTTCACAGGAGCTGAGTTTTTCTGCAGCCGCCACTCCCACGTTCAAAGTCCACGCATTTCTGAATAACCCTAACCACGCTACAAATCACTTTCCTGAGTTTCCTCCATAAATACATTTAAAACCTTTAAACCCCACCCTGATTTCTCTTTAATTCTTTACTTCAGCCTCCACCTATCTGCTGGTCACCATTTTTGCTACTGGCTCAAAGCTCCTCAGCAGGTCCTCCAGGGTTAGTGTTGCTTTGGCTCTGAGCTGCTGAGTCTCAGAAGAAAGGGGGGACAAATGAGACGCTTAATGGACAGACGGGGAGGTCAGCTGAAGGTCCAGTGCTGGTGGAGATTGGCGGGATTACAGTAGTCCATCCGAACCTCGTCTCCACTCAGCTGTAAACATTTCCCATTGTTTGGATTCCTCAGAAGATTGTCCTGAAGAAAAGAAGAATCAGAGCTCAAATGATTGTTTCAATCAAAATTTTGACATCAGAAAAACAAATCGTCAAATGTATCCTCCTGCCACGATCTAGGAAGAACGGTCCACATGGAACGTTTGAGGCTAGAAGACGTTAAAAGTTGTTTGGATTTAGAAGATATTTCATTTGGAATTTTAGAGGATCTTTACACTTTTAGCCTTTTTATCAGCTACACAAAAAGCCATCATAAATAAACAAATAAAGTTTGAATTAATAATTAGCCTAATAAATTCCTCTAATAAATAAATGTTGAATAAAATAAAACCTATAATTAATTAAATAAATATGTGATTGATAAAATAAGCTTCCCATAAAACATATTTAAAATATTAATTTAGTTTGTACTAATTCATGTATTAATTGTTTATTATTATTACTATTATTATTATTAGTGGTAGTAGTAGTAGTAGTAGTGGTAGTAATAGCTTCCTGTACACAGAGAGCTTGCAAATCCCCTCCCCCCCCCCCCCCCCCCCCCACACACACACACACACACTTACTTACCAAACAGGAACAAAAGTATTTCCTCTGACGTTTAGAAAAGAGTTCACATGACTCCTTAAACCAGCATTCTTGCAGTTACAAAAATCTAAATCAAGCTTTGTCAAGTTCATCTTCCAAGAATCTCCTGCAGTTTTAGGGATTTTTTTCCCACGGTTTTGAGTATTTTACAACATTTATATTCTATTCTATTTTTTTAGATGCTATGCTAAAATCCTAGTTAAAAATCCAATAAAGAAGATTTGCCACCACGTTGAGATTTCTCCAATGACATGGGCCTTTGGTGCTCGTCACCTCAGTAAAGATCCACTCCTGTTGTGGAGATAAACTGGTTCCCCTCCCCTTTAACTGGCACAGCTCAATCTTCACTGGCTCCGCCTGGTCCGACGCGTGGAGACACAGCTGCTTCCCAATGTTATGACGTAGCTCCTTATGAGATGAGTACTCAAAGTACTAAAAGACACAATCAACCAGTTTAGACCAAACAAAGCAACTCCTTAGTTGACGTTGGTGAATCAGAAGTTTTGGGGTTTGTACCTGGTTGCCTCCCATGTTGTGACACACATACATGATCAGAGGTTTTCCTCCCTGATTGTTCTCTCCAACATCCAAACACGTGCTGGATCCAAGGTTTTTAATCTGCATCAATACACAATAATCCTTCAGAACACGCAGTATTTTATATTTCTGTTGTTTACAAACTAAACTCACTGCTCCAAATTTGACGGGCTTCAAGTCCGGAATAAAGATCTCCGGGTAGATGGTGTTCAGGTACCAGGAGAAGTTCTTGCACTGCAACTCCTCCCTCAGTCTGAGGCGATCAGAGATGTCTCCATACTTATTCTGTAACCATCAAACAGCCGTGGTTACTAGCAGCATGTAGCAGCGTAAGGATGAACTCAACAACATGTTTGATGAGTGAAGGTGATGGATGGAAAACAGACCTCACTGGCCATAACTGCAGCGTTCTTGTTGCGGCGATAGAAGATCTTCTTATAATCGTCCATCCAGACTTCAGCTAGGCGCACCTGGTTACGAGTGATGACCTCAGTGCCCTTGGGAAAGGTGTGTGGACTTTTTGTCCGGAAAACGTGACCCACTACAGAGCACGGGATGATCTCCAGCTGACCCCCACACTGCCACACCTACAAATGACATACAAAGACGACAAACGCATGAACTAAAAGCTAAAGACACTCATTATATAAGTGCAGCAGTGAGAGTGGAATGAGGCTGACCCTAAAGGACATTTCCACGTTTTCTCCACCCCAGATCTCCATCTTGTCATCATATGTTCCGATGTGCTCGAAGTACTTCTTTGAGATTGCAAAAAGGCCTCCGGCAAAAGTAGGAGTCCTAAAAATTTCATGGGCACGGACAAAAGCTTTAGGCTTTTAAATGATTCAGTAGGTTAGGAGTGAAAACAACATGATCCGTCTTACTTTACAGGGTAGGTTTCATCCTTGCGCAGCTTCTTTGCATCCTCGGGTATTGGCTCCCAGCCAAAAGTCAGGCTCCAGTCGAAGTTACCCCGGTTGTAAGCTCGGTTGGTGGACACGGGCTTGTGGAACTGAAAGTTGTTGAGGTCTATGGTGGTGATTTCTGGGCTGACTACAGCTGTGGGCTCCTCAACGATGCGGGCTAAAAGAGGCTCCAGCCAACCATGGAAACACTCACCTGAACAGAGAGAGGGGACAACGTAATAAAGTACAATCCAGATAGGAGAGGGTTAAACGATGTGCTGCGGGTTCAGATGCAGCCTTTGAGGTTACCAAGACTCACAGGATGGATTTTACCAGATCATGGTTCACCACCAACCTAGGCTGACATGTTTAACTAAACATGCATTCAGTGGCTAAAAGCTGATTTTGAAAACATTAAGAAAAATATTGTGTATCGCGATAAATCCCTGTGATATTGCAATATATTGCATATATGACACAAAATTATACAACAACAAAAAAATACACAATTTAGTGTAGTTTATTCTAAATATTTGGTTTATAAATAAGATTTCACTTCCATAAATGAAACAAATACTGTAAATATTCATGGTCATTGCTATTTCCAAACTGGAGCATATTTGGTACAAATTGTGAACCACAAACATATAAACCATAGAAAAGTAAGTATAGAAAATAAAAGAAAAGAAAAAGAAACAAATAAAATCAAATGTGTCACTAAAGTCAGGCACTTCCTGTGTTATCTGCCTCACACAAGATGGGTTTCATTTTCTGTTTGACCTACTGAACATTTATATTAACCTGTGTTTTCCTGACAGGTTTGACATAAAAGAGGATGTTAGACAGGTGCTTCCTTTAACCAAGTGAACAGATCTAACTGTAGCTCCTGTTGATGTCAAAGCACCAGCCTGCTAGTAGGAGAAATGTTCCCCTGCATAAGAACATTTTATTCACTTTCTAACCTTTGTAAGGGTGTGTTGGTGATGCTACAGGTGTGTGTTGGTTTCTTACAATGTGCATCGAGGAAGGTGAGCACATCAGCCTGAGCAATACTGGCCCCCAGCAACCTGGCAGTGATCAGACCTTTTCTCTCTGGCTGTCGGACCATGCGGACGATCTTCAGCTGTTGCACAAACTCCTCCAGTTTACCCTTAAGGTGGTCTGCAGAGAAACATGATTATCTTCATTTCTATGCTTTCAGTGATGCAGAGAAACCTTCCCTCTTACATTCATGTTCAACAGCAATTAAAAGCAATGTTTGAAACAACTCCAGGTTTACTGTCGGGCATCCTATTGACAAAAGGGAAGAAAACACGTTTACCAGTCAAATCACTGCCAGAAGATTGCAACGGAGTGGAAAACTTGCTGGTAAAAATGGGTCCTACTTCCTCTCTTAGAACTTTTGTTACCACAGAGAATGCCACACGTTTCTCACCAGCTTGAGGCTGCAAACCTGCCGCCCACATGACATGAGAATCACTCTGGGACGTAAAAGCAGAAGTACAGGAAACGTGCAGACACAAGAGACGGAGACTACTTCACCTCGGTTAATTAATCACTAAAATTATTAATATATTACGGCCTTGAATGTTCTCATCATGTATCATTCAAGGTTCTTTAATGAATAAAGGGTGCAGAAGTCTGTTGTGGACAGAAAAACATTTAAAACAACTTTTGTTCTGTATCTTTGAAAAACAAAGTCTAAACCATTTGTTTTTTCTTTCCTGTAGCGCCCAAATTCTCTTCATTAGTAATATACTTAACCAACAAGGGGGAAAATGAACAAATATACATACATATATATATATATATATATATATATATATATATATATATATATATATATATATATATATATATATATATATATATATATATATAATATATGTATATATATATGTGTGTGTAAATTTATTTCTCTCACGTCTGAAATATTACCCAACACCATCTACTTGCTCTATTTACATAATACTTGCTCAAAATGTCCCAACACATGCAGTCATCTAAAAGTGAAGCATCGAAGCAGATGTGTTTCAGTCAAAATGAAAAGAATAAACCGTTTAACCACCAAAAGAGTCTGAGGCATGATGTCACTTCCTATCAGTGTCTGTTGTCAATGCATAATGTGAAAGTTACAACACTAAACATGCAAGTTTGGATGATTTTTCTTTCAAATTCAGCTCCAAATGGTGTTGCACTTGTCCTGTCGTGGCCCTGCTCATCATATATTTAACTTATTGACATTTATTGCACTCAACTTCAGTAAAATAGAGAAATTATTTCTCATTAATGACACGGTTGTCTTCAGGTATTAATACTTTCACTTCGAGTCTTTTTGGTTGTTTAAATAATCCCGTCCTGTTTGCTTTTGGGAAGTTAAGCTGTTAAAATCCTAAACAAGCAAAGCTATACGCTGTAGCCATACAGCTTCCAGAGCTCCCATTAAACTCTAAAGGACTAAGAATAACAAGACCAGTCACCCAGAGAGGACAACGCACATTATGTTGACATTACTCATCAGGAGTAAACTTAACACACCCAGCGTGTGAGCGACGCGGTCTACGCTCCAGTCTGAAATCCTGATCAGCTTCTGAAAACGTGATAAAATAGAAATCGTGCTGCTATGAATTTTATGGAAATGTAAACCAGCACTGTAGTTTTGAGTTAGCAAAGAATAACTTTGAATCTTATTAATTCCATTAAATTTAGTCAATATCAAAAAATATTCAGTATTTTCACACCAAAAAGTTATACAGACTTATATGGAAAGGCTGTGATAGTGAAACACAAGGCAGTCAACACCATCAATAATGGATGTCATGGTTAGTATGCACTTTTAATGAGACATTAGGTAAAAGTGCTGAAAACATTCTAAACATGTAGGGAACTCTGACGTTTGAAAAGAAACAAACCAACAAAGGAGAACAATCTCAAATGGTACCTACTATGATATAAGACTGTACAAGTGCTGGTCCTAAAATTACAATATCGTGACAAAGTTGATTCATTTCAGTTATTCTATTCAAAAAGTGAAACTTGCATATTACATTCATTCATTACACGCACAGACTGGTATGTTTCAAATGTTCATCTCTTTCATTTTGATAATTATAACTGACAACTAATGAAAATCCCAAATTCAGCGTCTCAGAATATTAGAAATTTGTCAAAAGGTTCAATTATGAAGACCCCTGGTGCATCTGTTAATTAACTCAAAACACCTGCAAAAGCTTTTAAATGGTTCCTCAGTCTAGTTCTGTAAGCTTTCTGATCATGGGGAAGACTGCTGACTTGACAGTTGTCCAAAAGACAACCTTTGACACTTTGCACAAGTAAGGAAAGACACAAAAGGTCTAAAGAGGCTGGCTGCTCACAGAACTCTGTGTCCAAGCACATTAATACAGAGGTGAAGGGAAGGACAAGATGTGGTAAAAAAAAAAAGTGTACAAGCAATAGCGATAATCGCACCCTGGAGATGATTGTGAAACCAAACCCAATCAGAAATGTGGGGGTGATTCACAAAGAGTGGACTGCAGCTGGAGTCTGCTTCAAGAACCACCACACACAGATGTATGCAGGACATGGTTTCATCTGTCGCATTCCTTGTGTCAAGCTACTCTTGAACAAGAGACAGCATCAGAAGTGTCTTGCCTGGGTCAAAGACAAAAGGGACTGGACTGCTGCTGATGGCCCAAATGTTCTCTGATGAAAGTTAAGTTTGCATTTCCTTTGGAAATCAAGGTCCCAGAGTCTGGAAGAAGAGAGGAGAGGCACAGAATCCATGTTGCTTGAGGTCCAGAGTAAAGTTTCCACAGTCAGTGATGGTTTGAGAAGTCATGTCATCTGCTGGTGTTGGTCCAATGTGTTTTCTGAGGTCCAAGGTCATCACAACCAGGAAGTGTTAAAGCACTCCATGCTTCCTGCTGCTGATCGATTTTGTGGAGATACGGATTCCATTTTCCAACTGGACTTGGCACCTGCACACAGTGCCAAAGCTACCAGTACCTGGTTTAAGGACCATGGTATCCTTGTCCTTGATTGGCCAACAAACTCACCTGACCTTAACCCCATAGAAAATCTATGGGGTATTGTGAAGAGGAAGATGCAATACACCAGACCCAACAATTCAGAAGAGCTAAAGGCCACTATCAGAGCAACATGGGCTCTCATAACACCTGAACAGTGCCACAGACTGATGGACTCCATGCCACTCTGCATTGCTGCAGTAATCCAGGTCAAAGGAGCCCCAACTAAATATTCAGTGCTGTACATGCCCATCCTTTTCATATTTGTACTTTTCATTTGGCCAACAAATTCCCTTTTTCCTTTTCCTTAATTGATATTTAAATTTTCTGAGATACAGAATTTGAGATTTTCATTAGTTGTCAGTTAAAATAATCAACATTTAAATAAATAAACATTTGAAACACCAGTCTGTGTGTAATGACTGAATTCATATATATAAATCTGTCACTTTAAGGGAGACAAACTAACACCTCCCCACACTGACAGGAGCTTTGAGGCTTGGAGTAGAGCCGCTGCTCCTCCAACCTACTGATGGGTGTAGGTATGATTGTGACATCACAATCGGGGACTTTTTAAGGTGGCTTGTTTTAGGCGCATAATTCCTAGAACCAAACACTGACAGAAAATGGATGGACGGGTTTTTTCACATTTGGTGTTTATACAGGCAGTATAGATGCACATGGGGCAGATCCGAATATATTAGATATATTTTGCATAATATGCCTCCCTTTGATTGAATGCAATTAAATATTCCATCTGTGGGTGGCATTAAAATGACCTAAATGATATTTACACTCTTCTACTGTTGCCGAACACTGGTATATTTCTGCCTATGCTGCCTGTTGGATAATTATTTGTTGCATTCATAATTGAGTAAAATCACTTTAAAAAAAACTACCAAGCAAAGAATGGTGAAATGTGAAAAAATGTGGATTATTTACACAAGCAGAGCTCATTTCATGAAGTTGCAGTTCACTTACAGAGTGCAAACTGTCGTTTATTTTCTCAGGGCTCTGTCTGATTTACATTTAGTTCAACCCAAGATTTTCATATTGTCATGCACCACGTGAAGCTCTCAGCACGTTTTGTATAATCCCAGTAGAAGAATTGAATCTACCTGCAGTGCTTGCATCATCAACCAAGATGATTTCCTTCAGCATGATGGCAGGAGAGGTGTGCAGGACGCTGTAGACTGTTCTGAGGAGCGTGGACCAAGCCTCGTTGTGGAAGACGATGATAACGCTGGTGGTGGGGAGAGCAGGGCAGCGAGGAAACTTCCTCTCAACGCACCTGCGCCAGGTAAGCCACACCAAATATCCAAAGAGAGACAAAAGAGTACGAGTGAAAGGCATATCTGGTTAAATGAAAGTCAGACAAGGTCTCATGCGTCTAAACATAGAGGCTATTGTTTATAGATATTCAAGGTCTGACGCTTTTAATATCTGTGTGAAACGCTCTTCAACAAACAGCTCCTTTTCAAAGCCATTTGAAACCTCTGTAAAGCAAATATGTCAAGGTTTGCAGTATCATTTAGTCATTGAGACACCGACATCAGTCTCAGCTACCGCAGGTCATCAAGTTAACTTATCTGGGTTACAACCTGGTTACTCAGTTAAAGTGGATCTTCATAATATCTCTGACAATGTCAGTAAATAATTGACCTGTGTGAGCACAGCCCCAGCTGAGACTCAGAATCTTATCTATGAGTCAACATTCTTGTCTATTTAAGATTAAGCACTCACTCTGGAGGCCTGGTGTCATCTCCAAGACTGCGGCTGAGGGAGATATGGTCGCTGGCAAACTGATTGAAACAATGCCGGGTCATGCCTTCCTGCTTCTCCTTCTCCTCCTCGGGAGTCATGTGATCTTTCTGAAATGCCTTCCCATCAGCCCCGAAGCCCTGCGGGTCCTGAGGTGGTCTCTCCAGGTGTGGTCTGAGATCATTCAGGGTGTAAAATCCAGAGGGACAGTTGGCGTTCTCCGTGGGTTGTTCCTGCATCGGTGGTGGCTGCGGAGCTCCGATCTGAAAGCCTATGTTGTTCACGGCGTGTCGGACCATGATTATCATCTCGTCCCTTTTGTGAGCCAGGTCCTGTAACCAGGGGTCCCCAGCCGTTGAGGAGCCCACGTCCCTCTGAAGAACCACCAGGACCACCAAGAAAAGAGTACCCCCAAGGAGCGCCAGCTTCAGAGGAGACATCCGGCGGCGTAAGAATCGCATGTTTGATGGGTGCTGGTTTTTAAGGCTGTAACAGAAAAGAGAGGAGAACTTACGCTGAAAAAGCGTTTACACCCGGACACACTTCTGCCTCGCTAGACATTCTCTAGGGTTGCCTGCATGAAACAGACAAGCAGGAGGGTAAAAAAAAGTCTCTCAAACCGGTTTGTGCGTCTCTGCAAGTGTCATAGCAGCTGGTGCCAACCCTGCTCCTGCTCCACCTCCTCTGTCTCTTTAGGAAACAGTCCCACGGGGAGAGCAGGGAGGTGGTGAGAGTGAACAAACACACAGCACCTCTCGGCAAACACCTGAATCCTCCTGCTCTGATCTCAGACAAGTCAGGGCCCACGTGGCAGCAGGTGAGCCTGCAGGTTCACCCTGCAGCTCCCGAGCCACTCCGTACATGACATGCGACATTATATGTCCTTTTTCTCTCCGCACACCTCATCATTATAAAGGCCATTTGTCAACTGCACCAGGAACTAGAGTGTGGAGTAGTGACAACTTCACCTGGCCTTGACTAAATGGAAATCTGTTTCCTGCTGAGTGAAACAGGGTATTACTGCAAATGGGACATCTGTATGTCCCCGATCACTCTGTCTTGGTCATAATTTACTTTATTCTAAAGCCAGCTGGCTTCATGACTGATTCGGGAGTGGACACTTGATGCTCAAGAAAAGGTAAACAACTAGCCCACTCTGTCAGTCCACATATCTGTCAAATGTATGTGAAGCAGCAGAGATCCGCACTGATTATGTCTAATTTGTGTGACTTTATATTAAATTGAGCTTATTTGAATCAGATCAGAAATGATAAACACGAGTTGAAAGGAAAAGTTAAAGTTCTGAGCTGAGACAAATAAAAGCTGACTTTCTAAAACTAATCTCAAAATGAAAGAGGAAGATCGAGCGGGTTTGAGATCACGCCTTTAAGGTCCAAAACTTCTTTTCATTTTAATTCAGCGACAACTGTTGCGCAAACATCCGGAAGTGGCGCTAATGTAGGATCAGAACGTGCGTAAAGGTTCGGAAATACCGCTACTTACCTAAAGCTGACGGCGACACCTGTTCAGTCCGATGAAACGCGGATGTTTGTGCGCGTGGAGCCTCCTGACCAGCCCGGTTCCGTTCTCCAGGTGAGTCAACCGAGCCAGAGAGGAGTCAGACCGCAATCCCGGGTGCTGCTCCTTAACGGATAAGCAGGTGCCATTGTTGTTTTAAATAAAGATATGTAGTTAAAGTGAGTCCCCTGCTGGCCACCTGCGTCCCGAGCGTCACAAGGAATGCAGCCAATCTGCGCACTTGGGAGATAAAGACTCAAGTTTAGAAAAGTTTCATTAGCTTTCACCTCATTTCAGGCGCCTGAAGGTTTCTTATGATTAAATTAAATTATTCTAGTAGGAAATCTGCCGTTTATACAATATTTTGCCTTGCAATAAAAATATAACGTGCAGAGCTGCGCAGAAGTTTTAAACATTCACTAACATTTTCATATTTTGCTTCCAAGCAGCCAAATTTTATTTTTCTTTTGAAAAATAAGAGAGAAAGTGGACTTCATTTACATATTTTCAAACGTTTAAAAGATCATGAAAAGTAACTTGAAAGAATGATGATTTATTTCGACAAATAAACAAAAAATAACGTGCAACAACAACAACAATAATAGTAATGACAATTCCTATTGTGATCAAAAGGAAGAATCATAATAAAAAGATTCACTTGGCTTTCTCAAATCCTTCAGCTGATCTATTAAGTTTTCAATCAGCTAATAATCAAAAATTCTATTTTAGGTGTCAAACAGTTATTTGATGTTTTTCATAGATTCAGCAACAATGGAAACAATTAGTGGCTTTCTGACCGGCTGCTGGTAACAAAACATGTAAAACGAGTTATTTTGTGAAAAATGTCTCTTATTTGACCACACAACACCCTGTTAGTGAAACATCAGAGTTCAGTGACCTAAATCAAAACCATTCCTATGGAAATCAGAGAAACTCCTAAGAAAAACCTTGAAAGACCTTCAGAAAGTCTGAAGAACCATTGCAGGAACATTTGGAAGTCAAATATGAAGAAATAGGCCTACTTCGCCACACAATGTGATTTTGAAGGCTTGCTGCACAAAGTGATGAGAACATCTGGTTACTATGGCTGTAGTAAATTATAGTCATATCATATTTATTAAACCTGTGTTTATTCATTTTTGATGTTTAAGGATGCATTTCCCTTCAAAAGGCCATGTGAAGGTAAAATAATAAAGGTAGGCCCTTTAAATGACCATGATGTGTGATAAAGGATGATTTGTTCAAAATAATAATTTGTTTTAGTATTGAACACAACTTAATCAGAAATTAAGTGTAATTGGAAACCTTTATTATTCCATAAATAATGAGTGAAAATGTACTTATAGGTGAAAGATCCCAGACCTGTGAACATAACACAAGTCATGTTCCTGTCATGTATCCATTAGAGTTACATTAGTGCTTTTTCATCAGGGATTAGGAGGAATTTATGTCTCTTAATTAAAGCTCACCATAGAGTGCTGTGAGCAAACACCTGCAATAACCTCAACAGAAATGTTTTATTCATGTGCCAGCAAATAAATACTCTCTCCTGTACCACCCTCCTGAAACCGTAGAGCGTGTTGTTCAGAAAAAAGAGACGGCGGCGTCTATCGGGTTACTGTGACACAGTGCAATCTTGATTGCAGGCTGCTGATTGATGTGAGAGTACGCCTTAAGAGGGAGGAAAGCATCGTTCTCTGAATGCTTTATTCACTCACTTTATGAATAAAGGAAATCAAACACAGTTGTGCAAAAAATAGCTGTTTATTGACTTTTTACACTACAAAGGCCCAAAACTAATGAAATCGTTGCACTCGTTGTTGACCTCTGCCATGTTCTGAATGAAGATGTGTTTACTTGGCGGAAACATGAGCAGATCAACACAAAGTGCAAAGCTTGTCTAAAATATCCTCCAGCTGATGATTTATAAAAAACAGTTTGCTCTCTAGTACCAAAAAGCTTCCTTCAGTAGTCAAGAATCTCAGTTATTGCATACATTCCTTTGATTTTTTTAACATATTTTTACAAATTAGGATCAAATACTGATGGGTTAAGTAGTGAATATTGGCCTGTGAAGGATGCTGACGTTAGCGCTGAGTAATACCAAGGCAACACGAAGCAGAGTCTACAGAAATGTAATCCTGTAGGATGACCGTTTACTTTCACTTGTAGGTCGTAAAATCCCCAAAAAATAAAAACTACATAGCTTCTTTCACCTGGAATGAAATCATTCATGAATCACAGTCCCGTAAAGCCTCATGATAAAGGGATGAAAACCCTCCTAGAAAGATCAGCCAGGCTCAAAACGTAGGAATGGGCACGCAGCTATGAAGGGTAATCTATAAAACAGCGACAGGTTTGTCAAGAAGGTGTAATCATACAGATCTCACAGTGAAACGTTTCAGTATGCCCCTTAATAGATGCACTTACATGTGCCCACACACACACACACACACACACACACACACACACACACACACACACACACACACACACACACACACACACACACACACACACACACACACACACACACACACACACACACTTGTAAAACAAGCTTCCAATGTTACAACTGTTCCTTCATTTTGCACTTCTTGTTTTTTGCTCCAAACTAAAAATAATCCGAGTATTCAGTCGTCCGCAGTGGTTCCCAATCTGGGGTCCATGACCCCCGAGGGGGTCCCCACGAGTTTGCAGGGGGTCCGCACAACTTTTTCTGTGCTATAGTTGTGAGGTTACAAATTACAATATAAAATCCCAATAACTCACCCAATAGTATGATCAAAACCCTGTATGAGTTACAACTACATATAGAGTTTGCAATTGATCACTTTTGATGTGTGTGTGGGAAGGAACTGTGATTGGGGGGTCCTGGCTTGTCTTGGACACAGCCGGGGGGGGGGGGGGGGGGGGGGTCCTTGTGGAAACCACTGCTTTAGAGTGAACGGCCTTGTGGGTAATCTCAGACTGGAAGGAACAAAGGAAAAAAGGAGAAATGATAAGAAACACAAAAGTCCAAGCCAAGGTTATTGTGTTTTTAGTCTGCATATGTGTGCGTTCTCCTTCATTAAAAAGTCCAACAGCATCAGAGCGTGACGCTGTCGATAAATGAGATATTAACGTGGCCTTTGCTCTTAAAAAATAAGAATAATATTGTTCATCATTCTCCGAATCATCATCAGGGTTCCGCATTTATCCTTTGTTCTTTGGTTATTCTTCTCCGTCTTCATGTCCCTCCATTTTCCTTCTAAGAAACTGTTTTGTTTTTCATAAAAATAAATAATGGATCCAGATGAAATACTTGTACTATTGCTCATTAGCGTTACCACTTCCTTCCTAAGGCAACTGGGCTTCATCATCTCTCGGCCAACTTGAGATCAAGCCTTCAGACATCGACCAACAATGGCCTCCATATGTGCATCTGAAACAGAGACAAGATGTGGACTCGTCTCTGTTGGACACATCCTGTCCTCGGTGTGTCTGAGCCATGAGCCGACCACTCAGGCTCGCTGCAGCACGGTGGGGGTGGGGTCGCCTTCAGCTCGGCTGGTCGCTCGCTAACTACCGGGGGGGCCGCTGGTGAGGAAGTAGGTGGTCATCTCCCCCTTCCCCTTCACCTTGATGACACCCCGGCGGTCCAGCTGGTACCCGTTTTTGGCGAGCACGTGGTACAGGTCTGTGGTCACCTTGGATCAAAACAGGGAACACGTTCATTTAAAACTTTATTTCAGATGGAAATATTTGGCCTGTCAAGAATATTTTTATTTCAAAGTAAGAATATTTACTATAGATTCACATAAAAATAACTAATTATCTGCATTTTCTGAAACCACTAAATAAAAAAGTGAAATAAAGACAAATCTTACAAGGTAACATTTAAATTTTTATAAAAATTATTTACTTTTGTCAACTAGGTTTTTGGTCTTGATCACCATCTACTATAAAAAAAATTAATCATAAACATGCTTTTATCTTTTTTTTATTTTTTATTATTATCTACACTTTTATGATGTTAAATTCCAATAATTAGTCATCGAAACAAAAAAGTTAATATTTATTTAACTAGAAAATTCCTGAAGAAATGTTCAAAAGGGACCTGCCTGCTCATAGTGGCCACATTCTATACAGGCCAAATGATAATTTTAAGGTGATATTGGGTGAACAACCCAAAATAATATTTGTGTGATATTGGGGTGAACAACCCTAAAATAATGACATTTGGGTGACATTAAGGTAAAAAAAAAATCATATTGTTCATGCATATGTAAAAATGCCTCTTTGGAGGGCCTGCCATCTAATCTAGTATTATGTGCACATTTAATTGATAATTATGCAAAGTTTTTGCAAATTTAGAGTGGCATGTGTCAAAAAGAATTTTTTTGTGTTTTGCTAATGTAAATTGTAATGTAAATCAAAATGCTTTGAAAAGTAATAGCACCCCTCCCACAGCCGATCCGCTCGTTTTGATGTCTAATGTGTGGGGGTGCACGCTGCCGTTCGAGCCACATTAATGTCCATGGAATAATAACAATAATAATAACAATAATAATAATAATAACAATAATAATAACAACAATAATAATAATAATAAAGAGAACAAATAGACAAATCCTCTAGTGAAGAACAATAGGGGACTTGCAGCAGGTCCCCTAATGACGTTATTTATTTTAATGCATTCACTATTGGTGTTTCTGAAAGTAAATGCACCTTATTTAAAATGTTTTTGCAATTTTTGTTTATTGATTAGAAAATTGTGCGACCATTTCTTTCATAACCTAAAAATACATTTTTTATTTTTACATATTAATGAGATTACTCTGCTAAATTTTCATTACTGTAGAATCTTTTTAATTCTGTCAATAATTATGAGTTTTTTCCTTTTCTTTCTTTATTTGATGTTAGTTTTATTCTCATTTGCTGCAAAGCCTTTGGTTTTACATCCAACTGTGTAAAAAGTACTTAGTAAACAAAGTTTGACACAAAAATGTGTGTGCTGCAGTTACACACTTTGGGCCGTAGGCAGCAGCATGGATCCTTCTAGTTTTTCATGAATTCCCCACAAGCGTTGATCCAGGCTGGCAAACTCCCACATTTCAGAAATAACGCCAACATCTGCTACATGTTTACAAATTGAACGATGATGACATTGTGGTAGACGTGTGACCCCTGGAGGAAACACAGATTTATCACGCTCCCCTGAAGGGACTTTAAAGGAACATTTCCGAGATGGAGCTGCATGTTTTGCACAAGTGGGGGATTTGTTTGAGGGTTTAAAATAAAAAAATGTGCGACTCATAACAGCTTTGGAGTGAAACTATCTGAGCTATGGAGACATTTGCTGATCATTTGCATATTAATTGACTTTAATGAGACTCAGTTATGTGGAAGCAACTGCTGACAGAGCCTCGGAGACTAATGCCATAAATATTTGCTTTATTATTCTGACGTGGATGACTCATTTAACCGTAATAGTACCTGGATGCAGTCTGGCACTCCGGTGCTGTCCATCCTGCTGGCCACATTGACCGTGTTTCCCCAGATGTCATACTGTGGTTTCCTGGCTCCGATCACCCCGGCAACAACAGGCCCCATGTTCAATCCTGACAACAGATCGTGCCGCAGTGAGGCTTTAATCATTTAAAAGAAAATACTAATGTAGCTAGCTCAACACGGCCTATCCAAATCAAATTATTCATAAGTGTCCAGAACTTCCTCTTCCTTCCAGGCTTACCTATCTTCATCTGGAAGTTGTTGAAGGAATGTTCGTTGATGTGTTTCATCTGCTCTCTGAGCCTCATGGCGTAGTCCGCCATAGCCAGGATGTGCGAGCCCTTTCTGTCATAGGTGGAGTCGTTGAGGCCGGAGGCGGCCATGTAGGTGGAACCGATGGTTTTGATTTTCTCCAGCTGACGGAACCTCTCCTCGCTGATGATCTGGAAACATGCAATCAGCCACACAGGAGGAGAGGAAATAAGAGCTGTAGCTGTCAGCGGTGGAGCCACACAGACAACCATTTCATTTTACCTCGTCGAAGTCAGCGATGATCTCATTCAGCAGCCTGAGACACTCGACCCCCTCGTTGTTCGCCTCCAGCTCCACATAAAACTCAGAAAAGTTGCTGATGGAGGCAAACATGACGGCGACGCACTCGCAGGACTGGTAGTACAGTTCATCGTTGCGACGCTCCCATGCAAGAAAGTGGGCAGCCACGTCTTTGGGTAAGATGTTGTGCAGCAGGCGGCGGTTGTACGCCTGTAGCTTCTCCATGTCCTCCTTCTCCTCGGTGGCCTTCAAAGGAAAAGAGTTAAAAGTTTCTTCAAGCTCTCATTGCAGCAGCCAAGGTGCAAAATAATAAAAAATCACCAAGGCTAGAATGTTAGCTGACCTCTCTGCATGACTGACAGAAACTGTTGTTACTGTGACTCATCACTAACATCTGCACTGAAAAAGGATTTTTCTTGAGTTTAAAGAGAAGTGGAGGAACTTCTGTTTCCAGTGACGAAATGGAACTCTTTTATTTTTACCTGCAGCTTCCAGAGGAAGTCGAGGCGTGAGGTGGACTCCACCTGTTGGCCATGCAGGTACAGAGCCAGAACGAAAACCATCAGGACCACAGGGATCGTGACCTTTAGAGACACTTTAGTCACACTCTCCACGCTAAGGAAGGAGAAAAAAAACATGGGTGAGCGGCTTGCTTTGGACTAAAAATGAATTTACTCACTTTAGAGGACAAATAAAAATGTTTTACCACTGTTCCGCAGTTTCATTGAAACCATGTCTGGAATGGAGACGACAGAAAGTCAACCAGCAAATCATATGATCCACTTTAGTAAAGCAGGACAAAACACAAGACACAACTTACTTTAACAAGGACTCATTACCAGGTGATAATTGCCTGAGGAGAAAAAATGAGAACATGTTCAGAAAATAGAACTCAACATTCGGAAGTAGGTCTACTACATTCTAAACCTTAGAAAAGTTCCAGTGACACGTAAGTTTATCTACTCAGGTTTACTGCGGAAAAGTGTGTGTGTGTGTGTGTGTGTGTGTGTGTGTGTGTGTGTGTGTGTGTGTGTGTGTGTGTGTGTGTGTGTGTGTGTGTGTGTGTGAACAAATGTTGTTGTCTCAGTCGTTACAGAAGCTACACATGTTCAGAAACTGAAACAATGGTTTTATTTATTTATCATGCCTTAATTTATAATTTTATTCATGCATCAAATTATTGTTTAATTCATATTTAAATTTATGAATTTATTCAGGCATTAATAATTATGTTATTCATGCAATGATGTATTTTTTATTCATGCTGTATTAGCAACAGAAACAAACACAACAGTGCTCCTTTGATGACATCATCATCTAGAGTCTATAGGTGAGAACTAGCTCCAGGCTCAGTCAGAGCTCTCTGTGTGTCTGAGGAGAAGACATCGTATTTTTGCTGTCTGACCTGAACTTTTGCAAAGAGTTTGTGAACATCACGCATGTCCGCAGGTTTTTGAGTAGTTTAGGGGGGTGAGTCGTGTCAGTGTAATTAAATGCCAACTTGCATACTTGCTACGCAAAACTCGTACAGGTTAGCAGGTCTGGTAACAGCCTGACGCTCAGCTTCACCTCTTTTCCCATTTTTTGGATTGTCTAGGCGTGACGAGACGTGTGACACGGTCAAAACGGTGATGGTGGAAACATCCCATTTAGAAACAAAACTTTATAATTCCTGCCTATGGAAATTAAATGTTCAGTATATATGTTGGGACGCATCATCAGTGTTGTTTTCTGGGATCCTCGGGTGTTTCGGGTCCCTCAGCATCAGACAACCCAGCCAGGGCAGATCAGGCCCAGGAGAGTTGGCCCACGATTCAGACATTTTAATCCTAATCCACATAGACTCTGTGGTGGATTTGACGACTGTCCTCTTAGCAGCTCCTACGATGCTCTGGAGCGACTGAGCGCAGGGAGTCGGCTGCAAAGCCTCGAGATCCAAAAGTAAAGGTTGTCAGGAATTGAGGTTGTGTCCTGTGTGTGCATGCATGCGTATGTGTGTGTGAGGTTGACAGAGGACTCACAGGGTGTTTGCAATGACCAACACGTCGGCGTTGTCAAACAGGTTCACTAGAGGCCACTCCACCAGCATCAGGAAGACAAGCTGGATGAGCAGCATCAGAGCCAGCTTCCCGATGCTGCTGATGTGGAGGAACACCGAGCAGGCCAGCAGGGTCAGTAGCACGCTGTAGCTGAAATACTGCAGTGTGGGGAGAACAGAGAGGGTTTAGGGCAATTATCCAAATACTTCTCATTTCAGCAGAGAAACAAATAAGCACAGGGACCAACCTCTGGGAAATGGCAAGGCATCGTCTGACTGGAACACAACGTCAAACCGTCCTCTGCTGCTTGAGTCCGGTTGTGGAGGAGGCAGAGGGTCGCTGTGGTGTTCAGCTCCTCTTCTACACAGTCCTGCAGTCGCTCTCTGCTGCAGGTAAGCTACGAAGACAGGATACAACTTTCTGTTTAGGAGAGCTAAACAGCCACATGTTAGCCAAGCTGTTGATGATGATTCATTTTGACTTCAACCCAGACATGTTACTGAGTCTGACCACACAAAGCAACTCATACCAACCAAATTACAATATATATAAAAAACAAAAACAAATAAAACCCAAGCAATAAAAAATACACATTTTCACAGTTATAGCCACAGTTTCTCATTTTTAGAGTTAAGATTTAAGTTAGGTTGATGTCATGTGTTCCTGAACCTTTAATCCCAGCTAAGATGTGGGGTTTGTTTATGAATCTGGTGAATTATGAGTTATAATAAACATCAGCTATTTAATGCAAGCCCAGTATTTAAATTAATTTAGATGAATCCATAGCAGATGTTACCATGTGACTAGTTGATTTGTTTATTATTTAGTACATGCTCCTCTCTCTCTCTCTCTCTCTCTCTCTCTCTATATATATATATATATATATATATATATATATATATAGAGAGAGAGAGAGAGAGAGAGAGAGAGAGAGAGAGAGAGAGAGAGAGAGAGAGAAAAGGAAAGATGAGAGAGAGAGGAGAGAGAAAGAGACAGAGAATGAGAGATGTGAGAGAGAGTAGGAGAGAAAGAAAGATATATATAACTATATCTAAATATAGTATATAGATATAGATATCTATCTATATATCTAGAATTTCTTCTGTACTTTAAAAAAATCAGGATTAAATAAATCAACATTTCAGCTCATAGCGGAAATGGGCCTCTATTATTTACATTCTCTGTATGAAGTATTTATTATTCGACACATCCCAAAAGACAAAACTAAACTTTACATACAGATGAATATTTATTTATTAGATCCCCATTAGCTGTTGCTTCGTACAGCAACTATTCTTCCTGGGGTCCGACACCACAATACAGCAACCCGTATTTACATTAAAATTCACTCAAACATTCTCACATCACAAAACAAAACACACAAAAAAACATCTGCTCAAATTACACAATAATTACAAACCATGGCAAAAGCTGCATCAGCCATTTCAAATATTTCCTTCACATGTTCAATCACAATTCCAATAACTAACCTTGGGTTTTCTTTAAAGGAATTTTTAGATCCTAAAATAATGCACTTTGTTTTCTTATTCAAAACTAATTTATTTTTTGTCATCCATGTGTCTATTACTGCAAATTCCTCATTTAGAATCCTGTTTAAATCCATATCTGTATCCGCAGAGGCATGGATTGTGGAGTCATCTGCATACATAGTAGCTTGATGTAAACTAAGAAAGGTAAGTCATTGATAAAGATGGAAAACAACAATGGTCCCAGAGCGCTCCCTTGTGGCACCCCACAGCTCACCACTACCTGGTCAGAATAACTTCCATTGAAATATACTATATTTTTCCTATCTGTTAGAAAGCTGTTCATCCATGTTATGGCAGTTGATTCAAATCCATAGCACTGCAGCTTATCCAATAACACATTGTGATCTAGTACATCGAAAGCTGCACTCAAGTCTAACAGCACTGCACCAACAAATTTTTTATTATCTTATTTCTGTCTTCCAATCATCAGTCATCTGCGCAAGAGCAGTAGCCGTGGAGTGCCCTTTCCTGTATGCGTGTTGATATACTGAATTCAGTCCATTTATACAGAAATATTCTTGAAATTGTTCACATATTACTTGCTCCATTATCTTACCAAGAGCTGGTAGTAAACTAATGGGTCGGCTATTTTCTCCAGAAACTGATTCGCTATTGTTCTTTGGTATTGGGATTAATTTGGCTATTTTCCATTCCAATGGACAAACACCTGCTCCTAGACTTGTATTAATAATATGAGCCACAGGTATTGCAATTAAATCAGCTACTGACTTTAACAACTTCATCTCCAATTCATCAACTCCAGCTGGGTTTTCTTTGCCATCCTGAAGTAATTTTGCTATTTTATCTGCATCTACAGTCACAAAAGAAAATATACATGTCTTGTTTGTCATAATTTTCTCTCTTATTAATTCACCAGATAATCCTGCATCTTAATCCACAAAACCAAGTCCTTCCCATATATTTTGAATTTAATTACTAAAATAGGTGCTGAAATAGCTAGCTATTTCTCTCGGCTTGGTGAGAACTTTCCCGTCCACTTCTAAAAAGATGCTGTTACCCTTCCTTTTCTTCCCATTAATTCATTAATCATATTCCACATTTTTTAATAATCCCCTTTTACAGAATCAATTTTACTTTGTTAAAACACTCTTCTTTTTGTTCTATTTAATTTAGTGACTTGATTCCTCAGTTTCTTATAAGACTCCCACCTCATTGTGTCTCCTGATTTTATCGCTTCTGCCTTTGCTTTCTCTCTTAATTTCATTTTCTCTCTATGTTCTTCATCCAACCAGGGAGCCTTAGAGTTCCTCACAGTTAATTTTCTTGTTGGTGCATGTCTCTCAATGACAGGTGTTAATAATTTATAGAAAACTCTTAGAGCCTCATTAGGATCAACCTCTTTCAAAATTATCGACCAATCAATGCAGCTTACATCCATGTAATACTTATTGCACTCCAAGTTCTCTAAGATCCGCTTGAAAATGATCTTCTGACCAGATTTTGGCATTTTTGTCTTTCGGCCTATTGCTACTAAATTGTGGTCACTACAGCCTACCGGTACTGTCATTGCTTTTGAACACTTTGCTGGTGCGTTTGTAAAAATTAAATCAATACAAGAGGCTGCTACTGATCCATCAGCACTGATACTTATCCTAGTTGGGCTCCTGATCATCTGCTTCAAATTACAAGTTTGTGTACTAGCTAACAATATGCTTCTGTTGGCACATGATGTTTTATTCCAGTCAATATTAAAATCTCCCAGTAAATAAATCTCATTATCCACATCACACACTCTGTCAATCATTTCACATATTACATTAACATATTTCACTTCTGCATTAGGCGGGCGGTAACAGCACCCAACTAACAGCGGCTTTAAATGGGGTAAATGCACCTGTAACCAGATTACTCCTAATTCCCCATTTCTTGAATCCCCTCTAACCTTTACTGGTATGTGATCTCGAACATAAATTACCACTCCTCCTCCTTTTATATTCCTGTCAGATCTATATATATTATACCTCTCTATACCTAGTAAATTATTACTAATTGACTCGTCTAAATGTGTTTCAGTAATCACCATTATATGTAAATCCCATCTGGATGTCATTTCTGTTACATCCTGTATCTTATTTCTTAAACTACATATGTTCAAATGAGCCATCCTCAATCCTTTTTTAGGCAATTCAAGAACATTTGTCATTATGTCATTTCAGTACTTTCCATCTCGATACAAAAGCCTTTGCCATCGTCATAAAATAATATACATTTGAGCAACACATAACATTACAGACATTCAACCACAAGAAAACCCCCATCACATCACACACATTCACCCATTCATACTCCATACCACCTTTAACCAAATCTAAATTAGAAGTGTCTCCCCAAGCCAGCTGTATTGTAACATAAATCAGATGCTGTGGTCTTAATATATCATTCTCTAGTACTCAAGCTTGGCTCTATCACTTTTTTCCAGTAATCTTCTGCTTAAAGGTAATCTACGAACATCTTGGTTTCTTCTTTAAATGATATAATTAATGTTGCAGGATGAATGATCCCATTTTTCACCCCCGCCTTCCACAGTTTCTCTCTCACATCACGGAAGCTTGTCCTCTTTTTCGCCATCATCTCCGTCAGGTCTGCAGTGATTCGCAGCTTCATCCCACAAATTTGGAAGATGCGTTCCTTCTTCATAGTTTCCATGATCTCTTCCTTCATTTTATATCGTTGTAGTCTCACAAGCATGGCTCTGTCTCCGGTCTTCCCAGCTAATCCAATCCGATGAGCCACTTCAACCCCAGGTTCCAAAGTTAGTTTACTTTTAAACATCTCACTCAGGAGAGAGGCCATGTATTTTGATGGTTGTCCCTTTTCTACATCTTTCGGCAGCCCATAAACGCGTATGTTACACATCCTAGATTAACTTTCAAGATGATCAACCTTCTTTCTTAACTCACTGTTCTCCTAACGAAGTTGTCCGTTTTCTTTCTCTAATATTGTAATCCGACTGTTCATTTCACACAATGATTCTTCCACATCTTTTATTTTATTGCCAGCCTGCGATATCTCTTGCTTTAAACCATCCAGTTGTGGCTGCAAGGTCTCTATTACTCCTCTTATTTCCTCTCTTATTATCATGTGAATCATTGTCAGTAAATCCTGTTGCTGGTCATCCATGCCTGCCATTGTAACTCCTGTCACCTGTCGCTCGTGAGTCACACCTTGCTCCAGCGTTGTTTTCTTGTTCGCGTTCCTTGTCCTTGACCTTTTTAACGACGTAACGCCATCCGTAAGCTCCAAATATCCACCAGCAGCCCTTCACCATAAAAGTGATTCGAAAAGTTTTATCCACAATATTAATCCATCAATCTTGACAGTTTTTTAACCACTTTCCATAACTCCGGTGTGTTCCTTCAGCGACTTGAGTGCCTGTTTTCCTCACGCATGCGCATCATCTGGCCTGATTACTTCAGTTCAATTAAAATAATAACTTAAGCTTGTAAATGGAAGTGACTTGTGTCCAAAACTACCATAAAACATATAAAAATGGGTGTTTCCATAGTTTTTGTTGCCTCATCAGACTTTTGTACATATTTAGTTTTGGCTTTCAAAAATAAATAAACATGGTTCACTACTGCACATTTCCTGCATCTATTTCATGTAGCTATGAAACCTAATTATGTGAATATAATATAATAATAATTGTATATATATATATATATATAAGAAAATACCTACATGGAGGTAGTTGATAGTGTGAGAATATTTACAGGAAAGATAAATACATGAATATTTTTTGATCTGATAATCTAATATTTTTTTGCCATTTTAACCATATTTTTAATCATAAAAAATGTTTTTTATGTTTAAAATGTAGGCTATACTATTCTGTGAAATTAGATTATTTTTTCTCATTTACTTTAAACCTTTGGCCAAGTTGACGTCCTGTTTTTTAGTTACATTTTTAACTTTAAATTTATGGCTTAGTTTCTGTTTAAGTTATAATAAATTTTATTTAAACTTGAACATCCCTCAGATTTAAGCACGTCTGTGTTCCTGTTAACAAAGAAAAAGGATCTAAAAATATTTTATTTAACGTAACACCTCAGTTCTATGACTGTGCTGCAGGGAGACACATCGGTTTTGTGTTTACAAGTAACGGCTGAAAGCGGGGCTTTCCATGCTTGTTTAAACCTGAAAAAAAAAAGTGTTTATGAGTTAATCTAATCATGATAAAGCATATGTGCTTGAGCCCAGAGGAGCCGTTTCTCAGTTTGACCCCCGGCCACAGTGATGTGTTATATAAGTTAATACAGATGGCTCCAATTATAAACCGGTCTGGTTTTAAAAGCCAGAATAGTCCAGAATTTATTCAAATATCTCAAAAATTCTATCAGCTCCACATGTCAGGAAAAACAAAAAGCCAAAATCCCCTTTCCGTAATTCATCTTAAAACACGTTCACATAAAACAGCTGTTTTCATGTTCCTAAAAAACCCCTCTGATGCCTACCATGTTAGCAAAGGAAGATATGAAGAGGAGGATGATGGTGAAGACGCCCACCAGTGTGCTGTTTGCTCGAGACTGGATTATCTTCTTGGTAAGTGTCTGGAAGGCAGCTGGGAAGTGCTTTAACACAAAAAGATCAGATAAGTGAGTGACGCTAGCTGTAATAAGCACTCTTATCTAAAGATATCTGCCTAGGGGGGTTTGTTTCTTACTTTAATGCAGGAATATATGGCGCAGATGAAGAGGATGTTGGAGAGGATGATGAAAATGATGATAAAGAGACAAACCATGAGTGTTGTTCTGCGGAAGAGAATCAAAGAAGGCTCATTAGGACGCACAGCTCTTGTTAACTCCTCCTAAACTAATAGGAACACATTTCCTGCCTGATTAAGTAGAAACTTCGAAAGAGAGAACTTACTTTGGGAAAAGGATCATCTGAATGAAACAGATGCAGAAGAAGACAAGAAGAGTAGAGGCCACGTATCCCCACAAACGATCATCCACCTTTTTAGAGTACTGCAAAAAAAGAGAAAGAAAGAAACATCTGAGCTGTCTTCCTCCAGAAAGCGTTGATGGATGTCTCTCTGCTCAAGCACCAACCATCTTCTCAAGGTCGTCTGTCTGAAAGGTGAGCCAAAACTTCCTGACATGATCCTTCCTCAGCTGGTCGATGCTGCGAGCATCGATGGCTCGCCCAAGAAACTCGTCCACCTCGTCCTCGGGGTTCAGAGCCTCCTGAGCACAGCAGCTAGGAGGCGCGTGGAACAAAAGGTCACCGTGAATGTGAGGGGATTGACCTCCGTTATGACAGGCAGGCCGACTCACAGCTAATATGGTATTAGTGCTGTGTTGGATCTGATTAAATTAAACCAACAGCAGGCTTTAAAGTGAAAGATCTACAGTGACAGTCTGCCAGAGGACCTCTAACAACGTGGGCCGGCCATGATTGCAGGCCCCAGGGCCAAAATACTCACGTCTCTTTGCTGGATGGTCCTTCGATACCCTGAGAAGCAAAAACAAGAGCGAAAATCTCAAAATGTTGCAGGAAATAAAAAGAAACAGGAATGTGTTATTGTGGAGTTACAGCGAACCAGAAAAATAGACAGAGTCTGAGACATCTGCACAGCTAATCCCTGCGAGCCTGACTGATGTTTTAATTAATGCTGGGAGGCTTCAAATTACACCCTCTTGGCCCCGGGGGCTCAAACCCTCTGAGATGGAAAGGACAGAAGAGATGGAAAAGGATGAGAAAGAAAGAATGCAGGAAAGAAAAGGAAATGAGACAAGCTTAGAGCGAGTGAGGGACCAGAAAACGATCTGCAGCTGCAGCCTCGATCGGGTTAACGTGAGTTATATTTGGTGGAGTAGGAATCCCTCCGAGCCCTTTTGTGACTCCAGCTTGTAGTGTTCTCACATTCACACAGCTTTTTTTTTAATAAATACATATCCTTTTCTAGAGCTGAAATCTATTTTTAAACAGTCTAAAATCAATCTGAAGGTATTGAGTTTTGCAAAGGCTGAAAGTTTGCAGAGTCCCAAATCTGTCTGTGTGAATAAATCTCAGCTGCACAGCTAGTTTTAATGTTAAAACACCTTAACTCCTGTAGAGTTCATTCCTTATGAGAAGGCTGTTATATAGATCTGTAGACGTGTTAGAACTACAGTCACCGTTCCTGTTATCTTGCAGGGTGAGGTGAACTTTATGCATACATAAATCTACTTCAGTAGATATTATCAAAGCTTTAATGTACATAATTATGAGCTTAAGGGTATGATTTAGGTGAAATGCAAAAAGACTATTGAGAAATGTTAGATTTGACTTTGGAGAGAGAAGAGGATGAGCATATCTCACCAGGAATTTGGACTCCTTACTCCTGGAGAAAGGTCTATCAGGCCCCCAGCCCTGCATCAGCGGCTCTGCAGAGTTCGCACGTGCTCGATGCATCTTGGCCAGCAGGGCTTTCTCTTCTTTCTGCAAGGGAGGAGACTCCACCTCAACTAAAGCCCTCTAAACCAGGTGGCACACCATTATACTGCTCGTGTGAAATGTGGCACTCATGTGAGGGGTCATGCAGATAATCTGGAGCACGCTTGACCATGCACTCACCCGCTTCTGGCTGCAGCCCAGCACCAAAAAGGTGTCGATGTTGTGCTCCTTCAGGTAAGCGTTCCTCTCTCCTCCATGTCCCGGCTCAACGTCGTAGTCCCCGTTGAGGTACTGCAGCGTGGCTTTGGTGATGTGGATACGCCTGCAGAAACAAAAAAGGTTTAGTGTGGTCCCAAAACTCCTACTTTGGGGGGTGGGAGGAAGCAGGTGGAATGGGAGGTGCTTACCCAGCCTTCCCCCCGGCCTCCATTTGGTTGGCGAGAGTCACGTCGTTAGACCACACGTCAAACTGCCACTTACGCAGACCCAGCACCCCGCAGTGAACGCGCCCGCTGTGAATGCCCACCCGCATGTTCACATTAACACCTGTCACCTCTCTCACCAGCCTGCAGAGGCGCACACACAAAAATACACACACTGTTGTCAGAGAGTCACATTCAGCTTCGGGTCGTCCCTAAAGAAATCTGTGTGGCGATCACAAGAAGAAATTTGAATGTTTCTATTATTCACACACGAGATGGCTTCGATCATGTCTACTCCCATCTCCACACAGCAGTGGGCGTGGTCAGCCCGAGGCTCAGGCAGCCCTGAAACACAGTAGTAACAGTCCCCGAGGATTTTGATACGCAGGCAGTGGTTTTCCTGTACAACAAAGACAAAAACACACACATCACCTCCAACATTAGATATTTAATTACAGTATATACACCACTAGCTCTTGTCAAGCAGATAAAAGGTTTAGGCCACTCCTCAGTCACAACCCGACACACACACCTCAGGTTTTTTTCATCACACACACTGCTGGGGTTACAGAACACATAAGAGGAAATGGGTCACAGATCTGCTGTGAACACTGCAGCAGTAGGTGTCTCACCGAGGCCAGCTTGTCAAAGCGGGCGAACAGCTCGTTCAGCGTCATGACCAACTCCTGAGCCGTGCACTGAGACGCCAGGCCGGTGAAGCCCTCGATGTCAGCAAACAGTATGCTGCAGGTCAAGTGGTGACAAAAGGGTGGAAAAGAGGGGCAACAGACAAACAAAGGGGTGTGAAAATTAGACCAGCTGATGAAGCACAGAGAGAGCTTGCATGACGCTCCCTCCTGTCTCACATAGGAGACATTAGGAGGGAGACATTCCTTCAGCTCTGGCTCTCATCGCTATGCTGATGTAGGTCACTGCATCCAGCCCTTCCTCTGAGAACACAACCAACGTTCTCTCGTCTGCATGCCTTTCATGCTGAAATACAAGGATTCAGAAAAAAAGTTCAAGCTGAAAGGGACAGGTGGCGCTGTGGGTCCCATCGGGCTGAGCTCTGGACCTTAAAAACATCATGGGTGTGTTTTCCCACCATGACCGAGGCTGTGAGCCAGGACAGATTAGCTCTTTTCCAAAGGCTAGACTCACTATTATAAGATTACCACTGATGGTATTTCATCATGTGGTGAACGTAGTTTTTGGCAAACCTTACAAACCAAACAACATTTGTTTTGACCGGTCAGAGGCAGAAGGGAGTGGGAGTCGGACTTTGGTATTCTTGACAAAACAATCTATAAAATGTGTTACACGTGCAGGAGTGGGCATGCTCAGCGCATACACAGAATCTAAAGGACAAACACATTTGAAGATAAAGAAACATATGTGTATTTTTAAACGTTTGACCTCAAGATAATCAGTAGCGATGCCAGCAAAGATAAGATGAATTTAGCACAATACGCTATCATTTCAGAAAATCTGACTTGGTGTTCCCTGCAGCTGTGTGGTTTGTGACTCAGAAATATGCAGTATATAAGGTGTTAAATTATGGGGTCATAGACTGAAAGTTATGTGATGATTAAACCTTCAAATAAGATCCAGTAGTGAGAATGAATTTGAGAATCAAACAATAAACTTCCCCTGAATTACATTCAAAACTTTCACAGTCAAAAATATTAAAGGTGTGGGACACTCATTTAAATAATAAATTTTTAGTGATCTCTAGTAGGAATGAATACCTCGCAAGCCATACTTGGGAGGTAAAAAAGCTCACATGTGTTTGTTTCAGTAACTAAATGCCACATCAGAGGTCAGCTTAACATGGCAGGATTACGAATCTTAATTCATGATATTAGAGCATCTCGCCTCAGATTGGATAACAGCAACGTGGCTCTTCTCTGTTTGCTCTGCAACGTGGATGTTTTATCTTCACAAATCACTCAAGCTTGGAGAAGTTCGGCTATGTGGTGGAGTTAATGCTAATGCTAATTCCTAGCTTCTAAAACAGCAACAGCCTTCGCTGTTGTGAGCCAAGATTGGTGAGTCCACGAATGTTAAGTGACAATGTGACGTAGATCTGTCAGGCTTTTTAAATCTTAGCGTTTCACTGTCTATCTTCTATCAGAAGCTAAGACAGCTGTATTTGTATTTTCACGTTCAGCGTGCATGAAAAACTCAAGAGGAAGAATCATTAAAAAGTGTTTTTTCAGTGCTGCACAGCTTTAAAGTAAAAACTTCATTTATTTATTGACTCGTTAAACACTACAAATTAAATCAACTGGTGACTGGAATGTGAAGTGTGCTAATATTCAGCACGATAAGCTTAATTAATGACTGGCCAGTCCATGAATGCAGCAACTAAAATACATCTGCTTTCCTGGTCAGTGAACACACCACTAAGCAACAAATCACACTAGCAATAACAGATCTTCCACTTGGACGCTTTCAATTTTAGAATCCAAATTTTAAAGAGACTTCAGAAAACCAGAATTTTCAACAAAAGTCTTTTGTTAATCACAACTCTTGAAAATCACTAAAATCTGTAATTAAATCTAGAATTGGCGCATCTCTAATAATATTAAAACAATTGATCCCTCACATGCCATGAATACATTTTATTTATTTGTTGTCTTTGGCTCTTGTTTTTCCACCATGAGTAGGTTTTAATCGTGTTACATTTTAATAATGGATTTCTCCTTTAAGTTTACCCCAGGGCAGTAAGTAGACAAACTTATTGGTGACAGCTGATGTCTGCTTGGAGCCAATTTCATTCTCCACCATCCCTACGCGCATCAAAACAGAAATGCAATAACCTCCAAGTTCCTCCAGCTCAGGAAATGAGACGGGGAGCAGTAAACGTTAGATTTGTGTTTTATGAAATGGGTAAAAAGAACGTTAATCAAGGTTTACCTCACATTATCGTGTTTTTGGATGTAGATCTTGTGAAACATCATATCTTCCTTCTTGGCTTTGATATCATCCTTCATCTCCATGGCAACGTGCCTTGGCAGGACTGATAGGAGTAAGCGCTCCTGAGAAAAGGAGGGAGATGGAGTCAGGGAGAGGAATTAAAACAGAAAAAGGCAGCAAGGGAAGTCAAATCTGTTCATCATTTTTAACTGGGAGTAAGCTCAGTGAGTCATTCTACTTCGTCTGCGTGGGAATGTGCTAGTCAAATAAATAAAAGGAGTGGTGATATGTTACACTCCTGAACATTATTGTTGGCCTCGAAAACCGAAATAAACAAATTGGGGAATAAAACAGGGACACCCATTTGTTGCTCATTTGCATTTGTGATGTGTTTTCCTGCAGGACGTGGGCACGGCCGCCTTCCTGTTTTGCTTTGGTTGAACTTGCAGGTGTCTGTGTGTGTGTGTGTGCATACATGCATGTGTGTGTAAGTGTACCTGCTGCTGGTTTTCCCTCTGCAGGTGCAGTCTGGACTGGATGAATCCTCTCGTCTCCTGGAAGGCCTGCCTCTGGGACACCTCAGCAGGGTAGTGGGTGCAGATCCCGATTATGTTAGTGCACAGAAAGATCAACACGTTGGCGCTGATCTGGAAAAACACACAACCAGGCAGAAAGGGTGAGGATTAAATCTTAAAAATCAGCACAGGTCTTGACACAAGAATCCATTAAACTCTGCCTGACCTGGGTGAGGCCACTCAGTAAAAACTGATAACATTCTGTGTCATAGCAGCGACCGTGAGATGAAAAATTCCTCAAACGTCTGAGGCGCCATTAGACAGGATCTGGTTAGAGATGATGGCTGCTCTGTTAGAGGACATTATCCTCACTCTGTGTTCCATCTGGGAGATAAGATGCCAAAGGGTCCAGGAACATCACACAAAACACGGTGACACACCGTGATTGTATTGTGTTTGATCCACATAATGCTTCTTGTTTACTTTGTGGAGGATGAAACCTTTACCAGAAATCAACTTTTATGAAATTTCAGGACTTTAGTTCTCAAAATTTGTATAAAACAATCCAAGAAAACACAATTTTAAGCTAAAAGGTTGCAGCAGAAGAAAAAGCTATTGGAAATTGTGTCCTTATGTGCAAATAGTGCTGTGAGCTCTGAGGCTGTAGCGCACAATCTGTATGAGATTATCCGTGCATTGAGTAAATTAAAGTCGGCTACAGAGTACAGTTAACTTTCTGGGGTCTTTGACCTTGAAGGCATCACTCTCTGTAGTGTTTCTGCTTCTCTTCGTGTGTTTTTGATCTGTGTGTTAAGAAAATCTGTTAGCGATTTCTCCACTCACTCATCCGCTACAGAGAACGAACACCAGAATCTGAGCCCTGGTTTTGGACTTCCCCTCTGCTTGGAAACACACACACACACACACACACACACACACACACACACACACACACACACACACACACACACACACACACACACACACACACACACACACACACACACACACACACACACACACACACACACATCTTCTCCATGTTCAGAAGCACACTCCGGCCTGGGAAAATCACTTGACCCGTGACCAGAGCACCAGAGAGTTTCCTCTAAAGATGATATTATCAACAATGAGAGAATAAATAAGAAGCGTCGGTGCAGTCTGCATATAAAAGCTGGATTTTAATTTGTCTTAATGGCAGCTGTTTGATTAAAGAGCTAAAGTCTCCCATCACTAGTACCAGCATATCTGAACAAGGGCTGGTATGTTGCCAAACCAGAGTCTGTTTGTGTGCATGCTTGTAATTTGAGTTCATCAAAAGGATGGCGGATGGCAGCTGAAGCCAGAGATGGAGGATGATTATCTGCACGCTTACATAGGCTGCATTTTTTCACGGATGTGTCACCGCTCTTTCCAAAACGTGAATGAAAATTAGATTGGGAGGAGTCTTAAACTACTGCGTTAGCATCCAGACATCAGTTAAATGGCTGGATTTCAACACAGCCCTCAAAGTGATGACAGCTTTCCTCATGGTGTCCCGAGACAAGTTTACACTGCACACACAAGACCTCGATATTTGTTGTCACAACAAGGCAGAGATAATCTAACAACCTTTGCTGGAAACAGAACACCCTGTCCACAGAGCAGAGGGAGGTAAATTCCACTAGGAGAATAGAGAGGGACAATCAATTCTAGCCACCTATTCAACCTGAACACAAATGGCTCAACTCAATTAGGACTGTTCACAAAAATAAACTCGCTGATGGGTTGCAGGTGCAAAGGGAGACTTTTGATGCGTCGGGTGTGTGTAGTAATGGATGCAAAAATCATCAATGCTGTTCTTTATTACAAATTAAAAAAAGATTTCTAGGGATGCACCGATATAATTTTTTTGGCCAATACCGATATCCGATAATAATAGTGCTGTATTATATTGATCCGAAACCAATAAATACGGGGGGTTACTGTCACAACTGGCACCAGCCACCTTGCGACCAAAACTAGCAACAGTCGCCTCAACAATTGCAGAGTGGAATAAGGCCAATTCAGACTCAATATCCCCCACTGCTCTCAGGACGTGGTCAAAGCTCTGCTGGAGGTGGAAGTTGAAGACCATCTGGACAAGCTCATCTGCCAGGCGTTCCCAGCAGACCCTCACAATACATTAGGGTCTACCAGGTCTGTGCAGCATCTTCCCCTGCCATCTGATCCAGCTCACCACCAGGTGGTGATCAGTTGACAGCTCCGCTCCACTCTTTACTCAAGTGTCCAAAACATACGGTCTCAGGTCAGATGATACAACTACACAGTCAATCATTGACCTGTAACCTAGGTTGCCCTGGTACCAGGTATACCGAGGAGCATTCTTATGTTTGAACATTGCATTTGTTTATAGCCACACTGTGACTTGCGCAGAAGTCCAATAACAAAACACTACTCGAGTTCAGATTGGGCGCGCCATTCCTCCCAATCACGCCACTCCAGGACACGCTATCATTGCCAACGTGAGCAATGAAATCCCCCAGCAGGACTATGGAGTCCCCAGTCGGAGCTCCATCTAGTACTCGTCCCAGGGACTCCAAAAAGGGTGGGTACTCTGAACTGCTATTTGGTGCATAAGCACAAACAACAGTCAGGTCCCATTTCCCGACCTGAAGGCGCAGGGAAGATACCCTTTTGGCCGCTGGAGAAAGAGTCTTGAGGCTAACAGAAAGCCCACCCAGCCCTCTGCCTCTAACCTGGAGCAACTCCAGCATAAAAGAGAGTCCAACCCCTCTCATGGACTTGGGTACCAAAGCCAATGCTATGTGTCAAGGTGAGCCTGACTATATCTAGCCAGTACCACTCAACCTCTTCCACAAGCTCCAGCTCCTTCCCCACCAGAGGTAATGTTCCATGTCCCAATAGCCAGTTTTTGTGTCCGGGTATACGACCGCCAAAGCTCCCGCCTTCATCTGCATTGCACCGGACCCTTCATGTTCCTCCTACAGGTGGTGGGTCCACAGGTGGATGAGCCCATGTCTCTGACACACATTCTGAGGAGGAACCAGAGCTGGGAGACCTGGGGATGAACTGTCCAATTTCTGGAGCAGAAGTCGCTGAGGTAGTCATACAACTTTGCAGCGGCGGAGCCCCTCGGGTGGATGAAATCCTACCTGGATATCTCAAGGCTTTGGATGTTGTAGGACTGTCTTGGTTGACACGTCTCTGCCACACTACGTGGTCGTCGGGGGCAGTTCCTGTGGAGTGGCAGACCGGGGTGGTGGTCCCAATTATTAAAAAGAGGAGCCAGAGCATGTTTCCAACTATAGGGGGATCATACTCCTCAGCCTCCTGGGAAAGGTCTACTCCAGGGTACTGGAGAAGAGGGTCCGGTTGATAGTTAAATCTCAGATAGAGGAGGATCAATGTGGTTTTCGTCCTGGCCATTAAACTGTGGACCAACTCTTTACCCTTGCTAGAGTGATGGAGGGGTCATGGGAGTTTGCCCAACCAATCCACCTGTGTTTTGTGGATTTGGAGAAGGCTTATGACCATGTCCCCAGAGGCACCCTGTGAGGGGCACTCCAGGAGTATTGGGTGGATGGTCTTTTGCTAATGGCCATTCAGTCCCTGTATCAGAGGAGTGTGAGTTTGGACCTGTTCCCAGTAAGGGTTGGACTCCACCAGGGCTGCCATTTGTCATCTGTCCTGTTCATAACGTTTATGGACAGGATTTCTAGGTGTAGCCAAGATGCTGAGGATGTGGAGTTTTGTGGCAGGAGAATCTCATATCCGCTTCATGCAGATGATGTGGTCCTCCAAGCTTCATCAGACTCTAACCTTCAGCTCTTGCTGGGGAGGTTCGCAGCAGAGTGTGAAGCGACTGGGAAGAGGATCAGCACCTTCAAGTGTGAGACCATGGCTCTCAACCGGCTTGCCAACTCCAGGTCGGGAGAGAGGTCCTGTCTCAAGTGGAGGAGTTCAAGTATATCGGGGTCTTGTTCACAAGTCAGGGAAGGAGGGAGCAGAAGATCGACAGGTGGATTTGGGCAGCATCTGCAGAGATGCGGATGCTGAACCGGTCTGTTGTGGTGAAGAAGGAGCCGAGCCGGAAAGCAAAGCTCTTGATTTAGATGTCAGTCTACGGCTGGTGGAGGTGTGTGTGTGTATGTGTGTGTGTTTGTGTGTGTGTGTGTGTGTGTGTGTGTGTGTGTGTGTGTGTGTGTGTGTGTGTGTGTGTGTGTATTTACGTTATTGTATACACACACCACACACATTTACACTTCTGAGATGATTACCATTACTGGCACATGACTAAACATTGGGCTCTGAAACAGATACACAAACGGAAACAAGATGGAAAAATATTGGTTGTTAATATCGGCCCAGTTTTATTTATCGGACCGATACTGATATGTTGATAGATGACTAACATCGGCCGATGCCGATATATCATGCCTTCCTAAATATTTTTGAACAAAAATAATAAACAGGTTTCCAAAAATGCTTTACAGAGAGTCGCTGAGGAATTCATGCCAAAAATGATTAAAATGTTAGATGCATCTTCCTCATAGATCTCAGGTGTGTGGACTTGCATCCATTGACGTCTTTCACCCAGCCCCCTTTGTGTTTGTGCTCTGAGTGTAACATTGAATTTGTGACAAGGCGTCATTCACTTTGTGCTGTTAAACCAGTCAGAAGCTGGGGTTCCTGATTTGAACATCCAGAGGAAACCTGACACTCCAGTCTCAGTACAACCTGATCACATAAATCAAAACAGATGGCTCTAAAATCACAGAGCAAAGATAACCTGGTTAACTGGCTCGTCTTGAGATTCAGGACCACCTGCAGTTCCCACGACTACGCTTTTCATTGACACACTTAATTTACATTTGGACAAGCTTTCCACTTAGACACAATGTCTCCCTGTGGCCTACAAAGATTCCTTATACTTTTTGTCAGTTTTCTTTTCAAATAATGACTTTCTAAACATAGGACGTCCAATAAAAACAGGAAACTGAATTGTAAAAGCATGCACGTACATTTACTTGCAAATGCAATGCAAATGTGAGGTAGGACTTTATCAAAATGTTGATGGTTTAGGAAGGAAAAGGCTGCCAAAACACAGGTTTGCTGGAGTGATCGCAGTT